AAAAAAAATAGAAGAACGCTGCGTTATGTTTTGTCATGAGTTGTCAAAATATTTGTGTATTTATTTTTATCAGTATTATTCCGCATGACTACAATAAAAGTTTTTTGTGAGCGACATGTATACGGTTTTTAATTGCGGTAATCACCCAAAATAACAAATTAAGCTCGCAGTTGACGGGGTTTATTTTGATTTCGGTCGTCTTAAACTCATTTCCAGTCATTCTGAGTCGTGTTCTAGTCACTACTTATCCAAGGATTATATGCAAAACTAAAGAATGTAAGTGCATATAAGTGCTGTTTTTGCAACGGTCGCTTTGATGTAAAATTTAGAATAAAGATGCTGTCTGTTTCTCTGCCTCCGATTTATTTCATTTACTATGTAAAACGTTCTGTTCTTCAGCCTTGCCCTCTTGCACAGAATGGAAACGATTCAACAGCACTAGCGGCGTCTATTGGGTTGACCCAGATGGCGGTGGAGGTGTGGCCGCTTTCGAGGTGTATTGTGATATGTCAACTACACCACCCACTGTGACCTTTCACCATGATTATGAAGACAGGACCCACGTCAACGGCCATGATGGTGCTTACTCGTACTCGAAATCGTTGGCGTACAAAAGTGAGTAATCAAGGTAGCCTATATGTGTGTACATGTTCCACAAGCCACATCTTAATTGGACAATTATATTCAGTTTAACCATCCATTACACAAACTTCAGAGGATAGCAAGCTTTCGTGGCATCACCCACTGCATAATAAGAGTCGGATATCAGAAAACCTTTCACTATACAAACATAAAATACTTAGTAAACATACTTTGCAAGAAAGTGTAAGCGTTTTCATGAGTTTTTTGTTAATTCTTCTACAGATTACCACAGCATTGGGTGCTGGACAGATTCTAACCCAAGAGCCATTGCCACACTGGAAGGTTCGGACTCAAATCTTGATGGCGCTTACAGTACAAGAAGCAACCCAATTTACAAATGTTACCTAGCGGCCAAATCTCGTGGCTACACATATTTTGCTGTCCAGGCTGGCGGCTGGTGTGCTTCTACTGCTACTGCTGGCGACACCTATGATAAATACGGACCTTCAGGTGCCTGTAACAGTGACGGGGAGGGAGGAGGAATGGCCAGTGAAGTTTACAAAATCGTTGAAGGTTGGTACTCTTTCGAAAATTTCCTGTCGGACGCCCAGTGGGACTCTATGTGAATCCTACAGGTCTGTTTGGGACTCTCCAACAGTGTAGGAATTCCTATAGGATTCTCATCTAGAATATGTGACCCATAGGATTTTGTTCCAGTTTGCTATAGGACATCTCGAAGGACCCTAAAGAATATTTCTGTACATATAAATTTGATCAGTTTACTTTTTTAACAAAATGACCGAATTGATATGCAGCTTGTTCATTTTAAACAAAACATTAAAAGAAAAATCCAATGATCTATATAAAAAAATTTCGATTTCGTATTCAGGATATGGAATGGGGTACAAACAGTTACTTTTTTATCACCAGAAACACTAAAAATTAAGTGCCAATTTTCAGCAAGGTTTTCAATTGTGTCTTTTCGTTCCTACAGCGAGTGTTGACCAAGTGGCGGCATACGTGGATTACGTCGGTACAAGCTGCTCACAGTATATAAAATACGAATGCTACCATTCGCTCATAAACGGCTACGGTGGCTGGTACGATCGACATGGACAGAAAGCGCCATTTTGGGGCGGAGGCGATCCAGACGGTACCTCTATCAATTGCGCATGCGCACAAGATGGATCATGTGCAGACTCTTCTAAGGGTATGTGTAGTTACCTACTCCCTATGTGGAAAAAAAACATTATCTGTCTGTCGATTGTAGTTTTTTCAGGTCATAATATAGCTTAAAAGAAATCTGCTATGCTATGTTTTAAGATTTCTGTCTTTGTGATTTCCTTTTGTTTAATTCTGCAGTTTATTTATCATTCAAACGACCCCAACTTCCGTCCCTCTTAATGGTACAAGCACATGTAGAAAGACGCAGTTCAAATTTGAAAAAAGGGTAAAAGATCTAGGCCTACTTTTTTGACTCCTTTGTGCAACGTTTTGAGCTTCTACACTGCCACAACCGTACCCATATTATATTTTATTATCTATCTCGATGATGCATCCGAATTTACGCATTATAAGAAACACGCATTATAAGAAACATTTCAGGGGCGGATCCAGGGTTGTTTTCTGACAGTCTTCTAAGTTATCTTCGTTAATCCATCCTCCATTTTTGACCGTCTTCCGACAGAAAACATTAGATACCCGTCAATGTAAACTTAAAAATCTGACCGTCTTCCGGAAGACCCAGAAGACGGCCAAAATCTGCCCCTGGCCATTTATAAATGTGTTTAACGTGCAGTATCTGGTGTCCATAAGATGTTCTTTATAAAGTCATGTTGTTTTTTTTCTACAGAATGCAACTGCGACAAAAATGACAACGTTTGGCGGTCAGACGAAGGATACATCACAGAGTCAAGTTATCTGCCGATATCCATGATTAAATTTGGAGACACTGGAGGAGGAGAAGAAGGATATCATACTGTTGGGCCTCTCACTTGTTACGGATGAACACGACGTACCCAGCTTCAATTTGGATCGATATTTAAAGATAGGCCTACATAACAGGCGAAGGTACAGATTTGTGCATTCCCTTCACTACTACAAGTTTTCTTCATAATCATATAAAGTGGGCGTGCCAACAAAAATCCAAATTAATTCGGTCAGCCGAAAAAAAGGTTTGACTTTGAAAAAGCACTTTCCTCAAATTTCTGGTCTTTATCTTGGCCGACTGACTTATCCTTCCTCAGTTATGAAACTAAAATAAAACAAAAAAGACACAATCCTGTCTTATTTCTGTACTTTATACCGTTTGCATTTGGATAACAGTTGGATAACATTGCCAATGTGAGGTGTCATGCATAATCTAAAGACATCCACATTTGCCAGAATAAATATGAGATGAACATACAATTAGTACGAAGGCAGCAATGAAGACATAACTATTATGGTCACTGTAACGTGTTTTGTGTCACAGTACCGATGAGGAATGTCTCTAGGGCTGATTGAAGTTGGCAATGATATCACAGTGATATTTGGTAGGGACGACAAATTCCCAAGAAGAGTTAACTTTTTCGTCAATACAAATAAGATCAATTTCATTTTGAGACGAGTATTTTTGAAATGCTTGATAAGCGTATATGCACAATATACAAGATTTAAAAAATTATTTGGAGGGACTGAACTTTGTGTGTATGCTGATTTGTTTTTCAAAAAACTTTTACAGCATATTGGCAGCTATAAGACGGATAAATGCAATTTTAGGCACAGTTTTATGTGCGTAAAACTAGGCAATATCATCTGACATACAAGTGCGCGGACTCTGCGTGATAAATGATGTAAATATGGTAACTTGTGTCTGTGGAATAAACTTTTGTTGTTTCATAATACTGTACATTGTAAAAAGACGTGGGAAATGTCTGTGATAAAATTGTATAGTTTTTGTATCCTATACACTACAGTATAAGTGAATTTGATTTCTAAATGCAGTGGACTATTTTATATGGGGTGGGTGAAAAACACATTTTAAAAATAAATACGTGAAAACGTTGGTAATTACTTTTTTAATTTCCCCGAGATCTCCTATTATTAATAATTGTAAGTTATTTTAGGCACCACTGCTGGACTCCAAGTTTGGAGTCACTTGGACTCTGATTTTATTCTCAGTGTTCCAAATATTAGATGCCACGTTAATGTATCACTATAGCATGGAATTTTATCCGGAGCAAGCAGAATTGACAAGAAAGTTTTTTTTTTTTTTTTTTTTGTGGCCTCTTGTGGGCCCTTCTTTACCCAGACCCCTGTCTGTATCACAATGAAAACCATATTTTCAGTTAACAACGTGGCCAAAACTGAAGTTCACATAAATTGTTGAACATCGTGTGTTCACATTCATCAATGCAAATACAATTGACCGGATTAATAAACTCTAGCCCCGCAGTCATAACACTGATCTGTATCCAGACGAGAGCCTCATAGTCATAATAACCCGAGTGCGTTTCATTGAATGTAAATCGCACTTTAGACGTTTGAATAGTTATAAAGGGGTAGAGGTCCCCGCGTGAAAAAGAGACTGATGAAAAGCGTGTCACAGAAGAAGAAGATTGGACTGCTTTATCTGAAAGATTATTAGTGAAAATTTGGATTTTATTTATGCCATTCTGTGCCACAGGGTCCTCCAAAATCTTTTGACTCAAACAGTTCTTATGTAGGGGGCAGTGCAATGAAGGATTGCATTAACTTTGGCAATATCTTGAGAAGTAGAAAAAAAATCAATGTATGAACAATACTTGATTGACTTGATAAGAATGTTTGTCGATTCAGAACGACAATGAATAGCTAAATGACTACCAATGAGAAACCGTTTGAAAATATTCAGAAACAAATTCATCTCTATTCTTTTAAATTCAGGGAATCAATTGTTAAAAGCAATTAACCACCATACATTTACAATATTAATCGTACCCTTACGCCCACTAATGTTCCTATATTTATCCAGCTAACATCCGGGTCACAAAGTTTTCTAGTTCTCCAGCTGCATTCGATGAAATTTTCAAAATAAATTCCTCAATTATGTATAACAGTAAGGCCAATATTTGTGAATGATAAATCATTATATATACTCATTCGCTTTTTAAGAAAACATTTTAATTGAGGAAATACTCAGTTATGGAATTAGGGAAATATATTAACATATATTAACATCAATTAATTGTCCAAAAGAGTAAATGATAAATGATGTAAGTGGAAAACATTTTGGTACGTTTCTTTTCAAATTTCTGCCTCCTCCGTTTAACAGAAAGATAATATTAAAATATTAATCTTAAATCACGCTGCAAAGTAGAGGCCCGCAGGAAAATCTTTATTAGCAACAGCGAGTTTAAATGAAAACAAACTGAACGCAGTATCTATCAGAGAATTCAACATTTATTCTCACGAAAAAGGTTCTGTTGAATTTAAAAGTATGTCGTTCAAAATTAACATTTATTGTCATAGCAAACAATTTGATGTCAGTTTTTCTCAATCTTCATTATTCCATCTTGAAAGTCTGAGTCTAAAAGAAACGCCGTCTTCTACTGCGCTAGCTGTAGCTGCGTTTAAAGCCAGGCACATCAGACTTCAATGGTGTAGAAAGCCTCCGCCGCGTTGCTGGGGTAGTGATAGTTATTACCGACTCGTATGATTCTAGAGTCCATCTTCCCACGGCCACACCACTGGTCCCACACCTAAAGAGAAACCATACACGGCAGTTCAACTGAAGCCACTATGGTTAATTAATTCTTATGCGAGGATTTCCGATATGTGGGGCGAAAAGCCCCCCCCCCCCCCCCACCCCCACCACCACCACACACACACACACACAAAATGCTATTTATTCGAGCGCCACGAAAAGTTTAGAAAATGGAGCAACACCTGTTTCCTCGTGCCTGTGACCCCCCCCCCCTCGCCTCCATCCAGATTAATTGTACCAACCCTCTTACTAAAAGAGTCAACAGTGTTATCCTAATCATTTCTAGACATTACTCCTAGAACAATGCTAACATAAAAAAGAATATTTATATGTTATTCTGACATATTAATTAAGCCCTATATTATATAGCGAGTCTACATTGTGGTACATATTCAAGCATGTATCTAATCGATCATTCACAGGTAAGCAGAATGACACGTCAAAATCAATAGGCGCCAAAAGGATGTCTAAATAAGTGAAAATCCCGAGCTTCAATGCACCCTGTTATTTATTGAAAAAGACGACAGCTCTTAACTATTTGGTCCACCAAAGGTTGTTTAATTCCCAATGTATTGACCGGTCTACGTCAACATTAATCCAATGGCAGAGCTGGAAGAGCCGTTACACGGTTTAGACTGATATTTGTTAAGAGATTGGTAACGTCTGACTAGTCAAACTGTTGAACTTACCTTGATCCCGTTACTAGTGCAAGAATCAAATATGGCAGCGTGGCCACTGTAGCTACCACTGGGAAACGTTGCGATAGCAGTGAATTGCTGGATTCTGTTGCAATTGCCCCATACCTGAAGCGATTTCAGTTGTGATTATATCAGATGTGTACGACTGGACTCAAATATAGCAAGGAAAGGTGCAGGGTTTATAATGACATGAGCAATGAAAAGAAAAAAATAAACGAAAATACGGGAGAATAAGGGAAACTTATCAAAAGATAAGTTCAATAAAATTATGAAATAAAAGAAAGCAAGAATAAAAACTCTATATGCCAAATCTTTAAAATAATAATAAAAAAAGAAAAAACTGACTTTAGTCCCTCTTTTCCAGTTCCTAGTCTGTGTGTACGCTCTGGAACAGAGGTTCTTGACCACGTTAGTGCACTCACAGCCGTCAGGGGCGCCACCTATATAACTGCCAGCCCGACCACGTGGGTCACTGCACAAGATGTCAGCATCCGGACCGTGACAGCTGGAAAAGTCAGGTTAAATCTAAATGCACTGAACTGTATATTGTCAAAACGTTTTATAAACCCAAACTGTAAAAATACGATTTGATAACGTCTATTAATCATTTGTATTGGTACAGCGTCGGAATGGCAATGCTTTAAATTTCTATCGTGTTTCAAAATGGAAAAATATAAAGTCGATTGAATGTTAGTCAAAAAGTTACGGCAATATCACATGGATGATGATTTATGTAGACCTATTTACTTATTTGATAATCAAATCAATTTTTGGACACTTGTTTCACGCTCATATTGGCCTATAGGAAAAATGACGAAGACTTACCATAGAACAAAAAGATACCCAAAACAACCAGTATAAGCTTCATGGTGGTTTAAAATGTGTCGCTGAAATGACGAGGACCCGGAGCTAGGTACGCCTTATATACACAACTGTGCCAGGGCTTGCAAGTGTGTTATTTGCTACAGATAACCTTGAAAATTGCGTCTAGTTTCATATAACCTTGAAAATTGCGTTTTTCATTGGAATTAAGGATGTGGTTAATCAAGGGACATCTCTAGGCGTCGACATAGGACGCGTTCCCAGATATTTTGCAAATCTATTTTCAAAAGAACTGATAGACAAATGTAATGAAATGACAGCAAACAACTAGAAATCTGAATTCAATAAAAACCCTTTTAGGGAAAAGGACTAATTCTATAATTTGAGTGTGATTTAGTGCCGCATATTTTAACCCATTTACTTTCATCTCCAAAATGGGTGTTCATTTATTCCTTGGTGTTGAAATCATCGAGATATTAAATATTCCGAAACACTGACTTAAAAGAGTTCGAATGCGTGCAGGATTAATCAATGCAAAGTATTTTGTCTGAAAAAGAAAATCGACAACAAGATAAAGGTACTACAAAACTCGTATTTTGCACGTGAGTGAGAAAATATCTATCTGTAACCCTGACTGCCAGAATTGGTGACCAAACTTATCAGCGTGCCTAGACAGTGTTACGACGTGTCTTGTTGATAATATTAAATTTGTTGGCAGGTATAAGCTCATACTCACTCTACCAAGATTACAGAGAGCTATTTTCACTAAATATGCACAGATATTTTTCTAGCTAATTATGTGAATATCTATTTATAATAAAAATCCACCTTGTCAACGTTCTAGTATGCTACGTGCGAGAAAATACATGTATCAGTCCTCGTGCGCGCTTGCTTGTCTCCTATCTGTTACAGTAAACATTTGTTCACTGATTAAAAGGATTTTCTGCCGTGACCTTGCATTGAACAGTAAACATGTTTTGAAAATTAATGCCACAACACTAACAAAATTTCTGTTGAAAACATGCTCCAAGGTTTGTTGCTTTATGCATAAATGTATATGTACATAATTAGGGGGAAAATGCAAAATAACATATATATATGCGAAGAGCAGAGAGCGAACACTTAAAAAGACTCAATAGCTTATCAGAAATGCTTAATTCTTACTCAAAAACATTGCAGCTGCTAAGGATATGTTGGCCAACAGTTGTCTACTCCTCGTGACCATTCCCACTACCAGATATTTTTAAAAATTCTATTCATTATTTACGACCCTTGTTCCCATAGTATGATATAATATTATTGTCTCTCAATTCATCAATTAGTTACCAGTATTTTTTGTGTGTTTATATTTTTTTTATTAATCAATTTAGCTGGTTGTTAGAACTTATTTTAGACTGTAAACAACGGGGTGGGGGCGTCCTAAAATACGTAGAATACTCATAAATGCGTAGAGTTTGCGGTACTGGTTAATTAAATACAGGCTTCCAATACCCTCTCAGAGCGCTTTCACAACAAGTTGATCCGCGGACTAACTGATTTGCCGACTAAATATGGCCGACTCCACATAAAAGCGATGCCGAGTCATCCGCCGATTGTCTCTTCGACTCGACACGCCGTCGCTGCAGGGGCCTAGCAGTTAACTGTAAAGTAGATGGATAGATAGTTTTGGTATTTTGTTTCTTTTACACACAATACCTTCGTAAAATGCACTCGGAGGAACTGCATAGCTGGGCATTATTCTTCGTCCCAAATGTGCCTATGAAGAATAGCACAGGTACAGGTACGGCGAGATTTAAACCGTGCATTGGCGCGTATGGAGGCGGGAGACCATCCGGGAATTAGCGGCATTGCTTCAAAGCGGGTCGGCCATAAGAAGCCGGCGGATCTGTTAGTCCACGGACCATGTTGTTCTGAATGTGCTATCTTGCTCCGGGTACATCAGGTGATACATGTACCTGAACCGTGACCAGATAACCCACTGTCTAGTACAGGGAGGTGCCACACGTGCAATTTTCGAAGAAATAAATCTTCTTCGTCTTTCTCGGAAGAAGAAATTCCGACAATTTCATTACAGACGAATCCCACGTATTCTCCAGGTCGGGCCACCACGGTCTATTAAAGCAACAAGGGCAACTTTTAACAGAGACCATTCTTTTTAGATTTTATGTTTTACGTGAGGATTTTTTTCAGATAACAGCTCCAGGGGTAGACATGAAATAATCAGATATCTCCTCCACCGATTAGTACCATGTTTATATTCTTCCTGGTCCAGACGTAACGTTTGAAGTGCAGTGACGGGTGTCTGCTCTCTCAAAAGGGACCGCCCTATATATGCCTGCGAAAAATTGTCTCTTACGGTTCTCAGTCTATTCTAGAATATTTGGTGTGTTTTTTTTTTACAGTCCTAGAACAGATTAAGCACATTTTATTTAAAGAGAAAAACATTGTGTTCCAGGTCAGATTGAGAACGGTAAGTGAGCGTTAAATGAGACAAGTTCTCACAGGGGACATTGCACACTAAAATCGCTGCATCCGTGCTATTCTTCAGACACATTTGGGATGAAGAAATTAAAGCCCAGCTATGCAGTTCCTCCGTGTGCATTTTATGAGGGTATTGTGTGTAAAATAAGCAAAATACCAAAACTATCTATCTACCTAACAGTGAATTAACAACAACAAAAATACTGTTAAACAGTGAGTGTAGTTTTGGACTTAATTTTTATTTCACGAAGAAAAGAGATTGATTAGGTTGGCCTTATTATGATAAAAACCACGACGACTGGTGATAACAAATTCCCTTCCAAAGAAGATAGACATCTCTTTTCTGGTAATTTCTGGTAAAGACGGTTATTATTTACCTAAACCGAGTCAATTCAAGTTCATAAAAGATACTCATCTTATTCTGTGTATTCCACGTAAAAACATTTTTTTTACTTCAAGGAATCCGATTTCAGGGTTAAAGTAAGATGCAACATAACTTTTTTTCCCCTCAGCACTTAGTCATCATTGACGTTAGGAAATTGGACAGCTGGTCATGCAAGATAAAACTAAAGTATGAAGCAATTTTTTTTCTTAAATAAAATATGAAGAGGTTGTTAATAGGGCAATAAATTTATTTGCGTTTTCGGAGTTGAGATGGATTGGAATGACATAACATGGGTAGCCTGATACCAAAAGTTTTTCCCTTTCTATATCCCCTTTATTTTCCATTTCTCAGGTCCTTGTTTTTTGTTCAAGTTTGTTCACTTTGTACATGTACGACCTGAGGTTAGTTCTGTCAGACTCTCTGGTTATATGCCACTGATCTGAATAAGAAAAGTTATTTATATTATACCGACAATAATCAGTCTGAACCAAGTACACCTGGGACTACCTGGGCATCCTTATCTTAGGGTGTTCCCAATGAAAATACATTTCTACGCAGACAGATCCAACTCTGCAGTGACTCTCGCTGAGTACAATCAGATTAGCTGAATGACGGGCCTCCTCAAGCAGATAAGGAGTGATTAACTTACGTGTGCGGCCGAACGCACGCAAAACAAGTGAAAAAGCTCCCAGAAGCCAAGTGCATAGATTATGAATTATCCTACACAAAGCTTGTGATCGTATCGTCTTCACATTTGGTTCACTGTAATACTGAATATAATTGTCCTGGTGCAAACTTGGTCACCGTTTTACGTTCATGAGCAATTCAACAACCTGTAATAAATATGATTAAAAAGAGATATCTTTCTTTACATAGTTTTGTTATAAAAATATTGCACATAAAAAAAATATGCATAACATGTTGACAACAGACTTAGCTGGGCAGCACAGGGACACTGAACATGCAAATTACGGAGAATCTCCATCAAAATCTGACACAGAGTCTTCAATTTTCACTTGAAAATCTGTTACAGTCACACTCCGTCCTTTTGAAGAACCCAACTGCAGCATGACTTCTGATTCCACTCAAATTTATGTGTTCTCTTTTCTCTGTTTGTGTACATATTCTCTCTGTTAAACCCCTCAAATATTTCTCCTTATAATATCACCTCTGAAAAAGAAAGATATTTCTTGATTAAGTTTAACTTGACAAAAATACATCATCACATACCAAAGGGCAAAATTACTTGGTTTAGATGCTTCTCAGTTTTTCTCAGATAAAGAACAAAATTAATATCTACATTTATGGGATTAGCAGTTCACAATCATTACATCTTTTGCCATCGCAATATATAATTACAATACTGTAACTAATTCCGTTGCTTTGGTGTTACTGAAGCAATCATTGTAATAGAATAAAGGAAAAACCGACCCTCTTTAAAAACTGTTCTACTGGAAACTGGTCCACATATGACATCTTTTTCCTTTGTATTTTCTTTTTCTGAGCACAGGAATCAGCACTGCAAGATAAACCATAGCTTGTGGGCACGGTCAAATAGGTCTGTTTCAAAGTTTAAAATATACAATTATCATAATTCCGAAAATCCCATGCTTTAGGCCAAGTAAAAACTTTTTTTATATTTTAGATATACAGTATAAGAGCTCAGTCAGGATAAAACTTAAAAAGCCCGAGTTGAATCAATCCAAATATTTTTTTCTAACATTCGTCTTATCTAAATTTTGTTGTATTCTTACCCAAATCATTTTTGCTAACTAAAATCAAATAGAAAAAAAGGGAAGAGGATAAAAATGTTAACAGATCATGAGATACTATAACGTTACCTGCAAGTTTCCCTGTCAGATGCTGCACTATCACCAGTATCACCAGTATCATTCAGTGTCACAGTGTATGGTGACAATTCCACGTTCCTCACACTGCCAAAGAAATCCGTCACCAGCACCTTCTTAGGGTCTCGCTGAAACAGGTCTGTCCTCACTCCCACTGTAGATACACAGGCAGACTTTGGGCACACTTTTAACTGGAAGTGTCAATACAAAGATTCATCAGATCATAGAAGTTTCAGCAGTATATCAATTACCCATGTAAGCCTACGGTGTTGGGTTACTTCAAAGTAAGTGGACTGGACTGAAATCTGACCAGTGCCTATGATCAGATTGATAATTTAGAATATATAACTACGCTAAATTTGCAGAAGTAATGTACATGAAAAACCTGAATAGCTCAAATACTAGAATTATATTTAAAAAGTTTCAATAACATATATTTCCAGTCTGTGTATTTATGTTTTACTGTGTAATAATCAGGGGCGGCAAAAGGCTGTTTTCTAGATCTTTTGGAAGATGGTTTGAATTTTTCAAGTTTATACTGACCGCCATTTAAGTTATTTCTTTGTCAGAAGCATTAAAAAACAGAGGATGGACAAAAAAAAGATGATTTGGAAGACTACCAGAAAATATCTCTGGATCCGCCCCTGACAATTGTCATTGTTTTACTTACAAATTGACTAAGAGTTTTCTTGCTTTCTGGTGTCACTTTCTCCAAGAACTCCAGAGCATAGTATGTGTATCTGTCTATGACATAGACACCAATAGCAGAGTCTACATGGTGCTGGAATATACAGTATTGAGTTATCATAGAACATAATATGTATATCTGTCTATAACATAGACACCAATAGCAGAGTCCACATGGTGCTGGAATATACAGTAAGGAGTTATTATAAAAGATAATATATAGCCACACCCAGTATACTTACAGACAAGGAGTCCTCCCCCACTCTGCTGCTAGCCACGCCCAGTATGTTTGGGGAGTACAACTTCTGGTACATGGATTCTGCCTGACATGTGTCAATTATAAATAACACCTCGTGATACCTACAACAAAGGAAATAAAGTACTTCTGAACCATTCTATGGCAAACAAATTTTTTTTATTATATATCACAACATTTCTGCCCATCATATGTCAGCATTATTAATTACTAAACACACTTTCAAAGGAGAACAAAAAGAGTAAAGCATCTTTGTGACTTTGAAAGTATTTTAAGAACTTTGGCATGTCTGGTGCCTCTTTCATCTAGTTACATGTATGCACCTAGTCACAAAAAATCTGGCAACTTTATAATTTAAAATTGATTTTAACAAATTTCAAACTTCCTTCAACTTATAAACAAATCCAATCACCTCATCTATTCTAGTTAGGGTGTTTACCTCTGTTTCTGCCACATTTGTTCAAAGGCGTCAGCCAGCTCAATACTGGAGATTTCTTCTGCATCTTGGAACTTCAAGAAACCATCACCACCATGACCTTAAAGTACATCAGTGGCAAAGTAAAACTTTTCTGGTGAAATTTTTGGGGAAAAAAAATTTAAAAAGCAAGAAAAAAAGGCTGATATAACAGTATTGTACAAGCTTCATTGTAAACAAATACCCACACACTATAAACTATCTACTATCTGCAATCCACCAAAACCAAGGAATTGTACAAAACTTATGCTATTTTCTGAAAGACAAGATAATGGGAAAGGCTTGTCAAGTAAGCATCATGCAACAAATATAAGCTAGTTACTTGGTCATACTATATTATACAACACTTACCAGTCATGTAGACTAAAATGTTACTTCTGTCATCAGAGAGGAGTCGTTTGGAGCGCGGGGTGCTGGGAGGAAGCCGTCCAGTCATTACTCTGATGAAGTTCTCAACCGTCACCTGAAGGCAAAACAACATAAATTTAAAGAACAACTGATCACAGAAACCAACTTGAAATTGGTTACTTAAAGAGGTTGACTGTTCCTCTGAGACATCATTATATACCAGTACTATCTAAAATGATATAAGAATACTTCAAAAGAATAACACCGACTGTCTTTGAAATATTTTAGTTCAGTTCAGTATTCGAAGCTGAAGCAAAACTGAAGCTGTACTTCTACTAGTAAGTAACTTTTTACCAAAATGTAAACCAAAAGACTTGTACCTCATATCCCCTATAGTCCACTTCCACATCATGGCCATACACATTGATCTGTTCATTGGCATTATTGAACACCATAGCTACAACAGAAGAACATGCCAGGAATTATAAAACTTCACACTAGATGGAGCTGCCAGTGTTATATTGGCATTGTTGAACACCATGGCTACAATAGAAGAACATGCAAGGAATTATAAACTCCACATTAAATTAAGTTGCAAGTTTTGAATTAGCATTATTGAAAAATATGGTTGTTAAAAAAGAACATTCCAGGAATTATTATCTTGATAGTGTCTCTAGGTGTTACATGAAGTCAAAAATTACACTTACTATATTTGTTATTGAGAAAGCGATATTCAACTAGGTTTAATCGCAACAAAAGAGGCATACTTTGTACTTTTTTTAACATGCCACATCTCTCCTACTCCACACAAATAAAATAAAACATGTGTTAGTATCATTTTCAACTCTTTATTGCTAAATAAGCAATGATAAAACTATTACCTGGCCTTGGATTTCTAGGATTACATGCCATGTCATCTGCTATCATCAGGATAATCTGGCTGAAATAGACAATGAAATTATGCCACTAGTGACTACTTTAACTAATTCATGTCTGATATTTAAAAGGTTGGCTCACTGTTAAGTTAAATGTGAAAACATAGGTTGTCACATCTTATATATATAGAAAGTTACTCCATGTCTAAATTCACTTTGCATTTCTGATTTTCATCATTGGTATATTTGTTTTCTTTATTTGTTTTCTTTATTAAAGGCAATGCTAACTGCTTAGACAGTTAAAATCTCAGATCTCAGTTCAGATTCAAACTTCTCACCAACAAGATCGCGCTTGGCTGTCACCTTGATTGGATAGTAAACGATTGTCGTAAAATCGCTAAATNCCAGACAGGTAATATTGTCAATGTTCTGTCCATCTATAGGTCTGTGAAAAGACTGGGGATCCCAGACAGGTAATATTGTCAATGTTCTGTCCATCTATAGGTCTGTGAAAAGACTAGGGATTCCAGACAGGTAATATTGTCAATGTTCTGTCCATCTATAGGTCTGTGAAAAGACTGGGGATTCCAGACAGGTAATATTGTCAGTCCATGTCAGGGATAAACCCATTCATATTGTTTACTAGCTGGATCAATCCAACTCAGGAGATTCTCCCTAATTACAATCACTGTAATGGCCTTCAATGTCTGAGTTGCTATGGGGTAATTAAATAACTAGCTACTCAGGGAGACATGTCATACAAGTAGATCACACTGTCACTGAATGCACTAAGCAAAATACCCCACAGATTTGGATTGATCTTGTTCACGCTCGGCTGTCACCTTGATTGGATAGTAAACGATTGTCGTAAAATCGCTAAATGATATTAAAACCGGGTGCATAAACTTGAAAACCACCTAGAACAACCTTGGACTGCCACATTAATCCAATACAATGCAAAAATAAACTATAACAAGTGGTTAAAGCCTTCAAACCGAAAGTCCCCATATACCTCCATACAGACAATAAAATAGAGTAAGCTTGTGAAACAAGAATAAACCAACTTAAACATAATAATCGAAATAAAATACTGCCGGGCATCGGAGCGGCCTAAAACTTGGCACGCTTACCACAAATACTGCAGGCTACATCATCCCTTCGCTCGTTTGTAAATTCCGAGCATGGCATACGCACAATCAAACCGTAAATCAAAATTCCACCTCTGATGTTTATTTCGGTCCACTCTAACCTCCAATTACGAAAAAGAAGCCATGCCATTGGACAATACGACCTCTGCGGTTACGTCATTTCCTGAATTGGATTGTGGATGGGGACTTTACAACATTCGGTTTGAAGGCTTTAACCACTTGTTATAGTTTATTTTTGCATTGTATTGGATTAATGTGGCAGTCCAAGGTTGTTCTAGGTGGTTTTCAAGTTTATGCACCCGGTTTTAATATCATTTAGCAATTTTACGACAATCGTTTACTATCCAATCAAGGTGACAGCCGAGCGTGAACAAGATCAATCCAAATCTGTGGGGTATTTTGCTTAGTGCATTCAGTGACAGTGTGATCTACTTGTATGACATGTCTCCCTGAGTAGCTAGTTATTTAATTACCCCATAGCAACTCAGACATTGAAGGCCATTACAGTGATTGTAATTAGGGAGAATCTCCTGAGTTGGATTGATCCAGCTAGTAAACAATATGAATGGGTTTATCCCTGACATGGACTGACAATANAAGTGTCTACAAGCACTGCCCAGTTATTAGTGTGGCCACTCTTGAAGAAATCACTAACTTTTTCCTGGAATGAGATGGAATAATTATTATCAGTACCAACACAGTGACATTCCAATTTAATTTAAATCTCTAACTTAATGACAACCCAGCAGCATTAACTTATGGACAGCAAAACACATTCTAGGTACTGTAGATCTAAAAGTAAAACATTGCAAAAATAAAAATAAATAAATAAATTTGGGTGATAATGCATGAGTGTCGAAAATAAGTTATGCATGACCCAAGGATGATTTCATGAGGCGACTCGTTTAAATGACATAAAATATTTTAAATGTTAAAATTTTTAGCAAGCCTAGACCCCGTGTACCGTAGATCTACATGATGTATGGTGGTGGTGATCGAAAAAAAATCGCCGGTCCTAGTATTTTAGGATTTGTAATCAACTCAGAGTGTTCTAAGTAATATCATCATAAAGGTAGCGATAGGTAATGACGATTCTTACCTCCGATGTCTGTGATTGAGTTTGGTTCAGAAATAACAACAAAACAAATGTGAACATGCATGCTTTCTGCAAATCCTTGTTATCCTCCATCTTGGATTCGGCTGCACAAATTCTTGCGCTCCAAACAAAATAGTTCCATCTAGATTATGTGAAAATTCATGTCTTTTAATCAAGTTTTTTATCATTCTACCTCTCAGTGATTTTATCACAGTATAGACAACATTATTTTCATGATGACATTGGGCATAACAAGGTAAGAATATAAGATGTTGCATTACGTTAAAATAGCATAGAAAAAGTTAAAACAAGGCCCCAAATTTCAATCAATATAATTCAAATAACCACTTTCATCTGTGGATTGCTTTGCGAATTTTCTTTGAAAAGAGTAAGCTTAGAACAGAAATTTAATATAGGTTAATCTGATTTCAAGCTGTGTCTTATTTTCGGGACACGCCAGGGTTTTAACTTTTCACGCGTAACCTCGCGCACCTTGCTTGAGGCTACGTGACCTAATTTGCCGCCATATTTGTTATCCTTGGTTACAGCTCAGTCAAGCAAATATACTGAGCCAAAGAAGTTGGGACGATAGCGACCTAAGTCAGGAACAGACCGTCAAAACTTGTCAAAATGACGAGTAGTGACGCAAAGAAGTATTTGACCAACAAGGAGATCCCTCAGTTATTTGAGGTAAGTCTTGAAATGAGGAAAATTTGAGACTTTTTGATGCAGTTTTCGTTTCTTGTTGAAATTGAAATGTGATGTCCCGAGTCAATACAAATGGCATTGCCATTGACACCATTCATAAGACTATGGATGGTGACTTAGATACCGCTGAGTCCACTGTAGGCGCTTTGCTAACATAATCTGTGCACGTTTTTGGAGAAAATATAACTGGCGAATTAGCGAGATAAATTTTTGGATGACATACTATATAATAATTAAATTTAAGCCAGCGTTAAATCGCAATTAAGAAGTTAGTACACGTGTGGTTGTGCATGTAAGTAAACCAGTAGTAAAGCACAAATTCTGTGTCCAAGAAACCGATGCAGTCTAGTAAGTGGCAACGAATACCTCTGTCATAAACTGTGTATATGTTTGGATCCCATGCAGTTTTTGAATTAATAAATGAATATAATATGATCTGTTTGCAATGAATTTACAGGGCATTAGCAATTGTCCAAAGGATCAATAGTCCCAGTGTTTATTATAGAACCTTCCGACCAACAAAACCTTGATTAAAGAAATGATGACAATGTCAGGATTTTTCAGCCCAATTGATGAGCCTTCTGACTATCGAGATGCCCCCAATTTTTACATCTACACATGTATTTATCTGTTATGTTAAAAGTAGATTTATTGATATGCTATTATTTATATCTATTTCAGAGTCTCATGACAGGCCTCCTGTTTAACCGTCCTGAGGATCACATTGCATTTTTGCAAGCTTGCTTGGAGAAGGTAAAACACGAGGGCCTTCACAATATCAAATGGAATGTTTTCATAGAGCACGCCAACGGCAAAAAGCCTTTGCCTCCCATTGCTCCAGGAACAAATGGAAAGATAGAGAAGAAGGAGCCAGAAACACGTGAGTATTCTTTGATATTAAGTAATTCACTCTGCACTGTCTGTACATGTAGAAAAAAATAATTAAATTGATTTTACCAGTTGAGGGATTGTTTTTATTAAAATAATTTTTTTAATGACAGCCCTCCAAGAAAATCTTATAATCAGTTTTTGGACAGATCAATACATCAGTAGACTAAAACCTGTTAAGACAACATGAATGATTAGATAACCCATTCTGAAACTTGTTATACTTCAAGGCCTGTGGCCAGCTATTAATCAGATATCTTATATATATATATACAGTAATATTAGTGACCCAAGCCATCAGAAAACCAATTCAGAGTCTGTATTTTGATACAGTACACTTATAGCATTCCAATAATTCCAAGGTTGAAATTAACATAAGTTTCTCTTATATACTTTAAACTGTTAAAAACCATACAGATTCAATAATACTGGTACAGTACACAGTAGTAGCTACTTACTAGTACTTAATTCTTAACATATACTTACTGGTTTTAATGGCAGTGCACTGTTCTGTTATTTTTGCACACACTAGTGGATGAATTACTTGCCAGTTTGGAAACATCTTCAAGCATTACTCTAATGGCATGTAGGTAACCCTGGTGACAGGAAATTTTTAAGGCGCATTTCCAGCTCAGTTGTGACAGTTTAACTTAGCATCATACTATCCTGGTGGACCATGTGATTATATTGTCTAACCACAGGGAGTCTATCTAATATCTCTGTTGTCCCACACTCTGTCAGTATATATAATGTATAACATATAATGTAACATAACTACCAGTAGTTTGGATGGACAAAAATCAAAAGGATGTGGCCTACCAAGATAGTATGTTATTAATTTTGAAGTATCACAACTGAATCTTCATTTAATATGTGTCTGTATAGCTTCTTCCTTCCTACTTGACGCCTTCAAACCCGATATAGTCCACATTATCATTATTAGAAAACAGAAGACTTTATTTTACCCAAATCTGGACATTGGGTACTCATCTCTTGTCAGTATGCCATTCATTGCCTAGCTTAGATTTGGGCATGGTTCTTCAAGTGACATGTGCCTAAAATAAGTCATATGCAAACCCAGCTAATAACTTTGAAAGAAACAAACATAAATCCCCATGGTAACCAGATCGACCCTTTGTTGCATTTCTCTCCTTGCCAAAGTCAAAAAGAGAATTTTTATTTGATACAGATGGCTTGTTGCATGCACAGCATGTTTTATGTGGCTCAGTTACATACTTATAGTGAAGTTGTTTTTGTAGTATGTGGGATGTTTACCAGCAGGTCCTTGCATGATGGCTTCAGTGATTTCTTTAAGTGATTTATTTTCACCCTCGTCATCTGTGCTGAAATATGTACTGCATGTCTCTCTGCATGCTTTCAGTAATATTTATAGTATTAATACTTAGTAAGCTTTTTACCCTGCCTCCTTGTTCTTACCCACTCCTTCATGTATGTATAGTAATCGTCCTAAGAAATTATTGTGAATCCTGTAATATGATAATCAGCAACCTTTGTGATAATTTTGCCTGTTAGTTGTATAAATATTGGTTAATAATATTGTTCATGTACCGATGTGACCTTTGCTTCAATATTAGTTAATTGGTGTGCTTTATTGTATGAATGTATATGTTCATGTCATGTATTGGATATCATAAGTAATAGAAACTCTTTTGTAACATATAAATTTATGCCCTATTGTACCCATCACTGTGTATATAAATTTTGACTTCATTGGTAGGATATTTAAGGATACACAAAGTTAACAAATGTTTTGTATTTTTTACTTGTATTAAATGATTTTGGGAATGCATGCACAGCTGTTAAAATGTATAATTGTACTTTATCAGAAAAATTGAAATTTTGAAAAGTAATGAAAATTCAAGTGTTTTTCTTAAATTGTAAGATAAAATTAATGCATAAAGTGCCAATTTTTCAATAACTTTTATTCTCTCTCCCCCCCCCCCCCAAAAAAAAACTACATAATTTCACATCTTTGCCATAAATCCTTATATTTTAAAATCTTATTAATTTCACACTTTATTAACAATTTCCTGATGGTTTTCAGCTTCAGTTCCCACAGAGATGAGGAGATCCAGTCCTCTCCCACCTATACGAAGCACCACACCCTCCAAAGAACCAGCTCCTGTTGCTCCAGCCACGCCAGCAGTGCCATCTAGTGGCAGTGATCAGTTGCCAACTGCTCATGTTGTGCTGGTCATGGGTAGGGTGGAATTAAACTTATATTTTAATATATGAAATTGTAATGAATGAAATAAATGACATTACACTAAAAATCATTCTACCACTGAAGAATATACATAAAAGTAATAATTTAATATTTGAATTCACAGAATTTTTTTACTAAAAAATACATCCAGAATCATCAACAAGTGCATATGTCTAAACTTAAGTTATGGTTGTTCCATGTTTAACATCTTGGTCAGTTAACACAGGTACTGCAGGGGTGAATCCAGAGATATTTTCTGACTGTCTCCCAAACTACATTGTATCTTTGTTGATCCATCCTCCATTTTTGACCGTCTTCTGACAGAAAAAAATAGATACCCATCCATGTAAACTTGAAAATTTGACCGTCCTCTGGGTCTTACGGAAGACGGTCAGATTTTCAATCTGCCCCTGTACTACTGGTAGATGTAATGTTATATCTTTGCCTCCAGGTGGTCCGGGCAGCGGCAAGGACATGCAAGCACTCCGCCTGGCGGACAAATACCAAGGTTGGGTGTATATATCCACTGGCGATCTACTCAGGAAACAGGTGGCCGACAAAGGTGCCAGTGACACCAAGTGGGGCCAGATCAGCACGCTTCTCCAGGACGGAGAAATGGCACCAGAGGTCAGCACTTGCTTAAATACAAGTAGAGGGTTAAAACTACGGCCTACATGTGGTTTTTAGAATTGCTAGAAAAAGGTTCATGTGGCTTGGATACGTTTTCACAAATTATGTACAGTGTCCTTGCTTTTTTATTTACAAAGTTGATAATTTATTTGATTTCATCTTAATTAAAAGGCAATGATCAAGCAATTCCTCCGTCAGTTGATTTACTGCTAAGTTAAACATCTTTTTCCCTGTGAAATCTTTTTTTTACCTGTTTATTAAAAGAGACTGAAAAATGGAGACTCTTTACTTTCTTTCTTTCTTTGTCCGTTTCTTTATTTATTTTTATTGGATATAAAGAGTTTGGAATTTTGAAAAAATGTTACAGAGGCGCAATGAATTATAATTATATCTTAATTGTTGCTTGCTAACAGATGGTTTTGATAACAATTTTCTAATTTGTGCTCAGGAGGACACAGTCGAGCTGTTGATGGATTGTATGAAGCAGCACCCTGATGCCAAAGGTTTCATCATCACTGGCTATCCCAGGACACTGACACAACTAGAGGAATGCAAAAAACATGTAAGTGCATGGTAGCCCCGGGGTATTCAGGGTACCCGCAGTTTGGATAAGAGACAATAATTAAAAATAAGCAGTTAATTGTGCTCTGCCTAGCTATTTGTAAAATTAAATAGATTTGATTTACTATTTTTGTGTGTTTATTTTTATATGATGTGAGTTGGTATTAATTGATATGTTTTATTTTAATTCATTTGAAAAATGTAGTCAGTTTTAAAAAATATATGATACACAGAGAAAGTATTTAAAAAATAACACCACATATTAGGAACCTGTCATTTATGTTTTGATTCTTTTTTTGGTACAAATTTTACTTTTTTTTCCTATCTTTTCTAATCCTGCACCTCTTTTTTTTTCAGATTGGTCAGATAGACTTAGTTTTGATGTTCGACTGTGACGAGAATGAATGCTTGCAGAACATCATTGGCAGAGGTGCCACCACTGGCAGATCTGACGACAACGAGGCTGCAGCAAAACGTCGCCTTGCATATTTCAAACAAAACACACTTCAGGTTGCCAAACAATTTGAAGATGCTGGAAAGTTACACATTGTAAGTAAAATTTGCCTTATTTATTGACATCTATTTTTGTTTTTATGAGAGTGTTTCCTGAGATATCAAAGGAAATAGAACTTGGAATTTAACTTCTTTTTCTCATTTCCAAGAAAACTGTGAATAACAATTTGATGCATGAAATATTTTTGAATAAATTTTAGGCAAAGCTAATACTCTTTCAGACTATTTAATTAGATAAGATAAAGGACTTCCACTTTGAAGTTAGTTTATTTAGGCTCACATTGGCATTTTTTTTTCATTTCAGGTTGATGGTGGTAGAAGTGCAGACGATATCTTCTTTGAGGCTTGCGTGGCTTTTGACAATGTTTTTTACAATAAGGGCACACCAGGTATGTAGCCTATAATTTTTAAAAATGCATTAATAATTTGATATCTTTTTTCTCAAAATCTCATGCTTCTGCTTTACACTTTATTCCAAAACAAAATCAATACAAAAATGTTCATGATCCTATTGACATGCAGCTGTTATGAACAAAGTAAATAAATTGAGTGAATAAAGTGCCTCAGTAGTACATGTAAGACTTGTCAACCAAACACACATGTCATAATTTTATTATTTATGATATATATTCCACTATTGTAGTCCACTGACTCTTGATCATAAGTTGATATTAATTTTTGTGTATTCCAAACCAGGAGAGCCCAGCGCCACTCCAGCTTCTTCAGGGTCAGCAGTAGCTTCTCTGGTGAAGGTTCAGTTACCCCCTGTGCCCTTAGTGCTGGTGATGGGTAAGTTGCCATGGAAACACTCACTCGGGGAGAGGTTCATCAGATTAAGCTTGTTATAACTGTGACTTGATATTCTCCCTAAAGTAACATTTTTTCCTCCACCTTTTTTTTTTTTTTTTTTTTTTAATCGGATTATCATGAATTAAGTTCAAGAGAGTGGATTATTAAGCCTTGGGTAATTGCTTACAATAATTGTCTTTCTGAACATAGTGGTCTGTGACAAGTTGAATGCTTGGGATGAAAAATACTGTGGAGGGACCCTTTATTCCTCTAACTAAGTTTCCAATTTTGCAATTAAACTCAGCATGAACATTGAAAATTAACATTTTGATGATAAATTCCCATTCAAGCACTGTTTTTCTGCTTCTCCAGGTCCCCCAGGGAGTGGCAAGGACACCCAGGTTCTCCGTCTGGTGGACAGATACAAGGGCTGGGTGTACCTATCTGTGGGTGATCTCCTCAGGAAACAGATAGCAGAGAAAGGGTCCAGTGACATGAAGTGGGACATGATCAGCACGCTTGTGAAGGATGGAGAAATGGCACCAGAGGTCAGCACTTGTGTCTCATATTGAATTTATAATTTTTTTCAATATTTATTTAATTTTTTTTTTTTTTCAACAATTACTCTGGCAATCGCAACAGAAGCAACAGTTACTGTCAGTTGACACTTTTACAACTTTTCTTATATGAAATTCTTACAGTGACTGTATTTTTCTTACGTACAGTATATTGAGATTAATTATTATATAAACTGACAATTAAATAGCTTCATTTGTCTTTTACTAGGAGAACAAATCCATAAAGTTTATTTGGTGCAGTGTTTCAAACGTATGGCACTCAAGTTTTATGAAAATATTATTATTATTATTATTTACAGGATGTTACCATGGAATTACTGATTGAGAATATAAAGAAGCACCCCGATGCTGCAGGTTTCATAATTGCAGGGTATCCAAGGGATATGAAACAGCTAAAGGAATATAACAAATATGTAAGTAATGATTATCAGGGTGCATTTTGAAAAACAACTGCTACAGTGTTGTTTTACTTTTTGAGAAACNGTTTTCGTATTTTCGTAGGACCCCATACTGTATAATAATTAAATTTAAACCAGCGTTAAATCGCAATTAAGAAGTTAGTACACTTGTGGTTGTGCATGTAAGTAAACCAGTAGTAAAGCACAAATTCTGTGTCCAAGAAACGGATGCAGTCTTGTAAGTGGCAATACCTCTGCCCTAAACTGTGTATATGTTTGGATCCCATGCAGTTTTTGAATTAATAAATGAATATAATATGATCTGTTTGCAATGAATTTACAGGGCATTAGCAATTGTCCAAAGGATCAATAGTCCCAGTGTTTACTATAGAACCTTCCGACCAACAAAACCTTGATTAAAAAAATGATGACAATGCAAGGATTTTTCAGCCCATTTGATGAACCTTCGGACCAATGAATGTTCAGACTATTGAGATGCCCCCAATTTTTACATCTACACATGTACCGGTAGATACTGTGTGTAATATGTTGAGAGTAGATTTATTGTGATGCTACTAATTATATCTATTTCAGAGTCTCATGACAGGCCTCCTGTTTAACCGTCCTGAGGATCACATTGCATTTTTGCAAGCTTGCTTGGAGAAGGTAAAACACGAGGGCCTTCACAATATCAAATGGAATGTTTTCATAGAGCACGCCAACGGCAAAAAGCCTTTACCTCCCATTGCTCCAGGAACGAATGGAAAGATAGAGAAGAAGGAGCCAGAAACACGTGAGTATTCTTTGATATTAAGTAATTCACTCTGCACTGTCTGTACATGTAGAAAAAAATAATTAAATTGATTTTACCAGTTGAGGGATTGTTTTTATTAAAATAATTTTTTTAATAACAGCCCTCCAAGAAAATCTTATAATCAGTTTTTGGACAGATCAATACATTAGTAGACTAAAACCTGTTAAGACAACATGAATGATTAGATAACCCATTCTGAAACTTGTTATACTTCAAGGCCTGTGGCCAGCTATTAATCAGATATCTTATATATATATATATATATAGTAATATTAGTGACCCGAGCCATCAGAAAACCAATTCAGAGTCTGTATTTTGATACAGTGCACTTATAGCATTCCAATAATTGCAAGGTTGAAATTAACATAAGTTTCTCTTATATACTTTAAACTGTTAAAAACCATACAGATTCAATAATACTGGTACAGTACACAGTAGTAGCTACTTACTAGTACTTAATTCTTAACATATACTTACTGGTTTTAATGGCAGTGCACTGTTCTGTTATTTTTGCACACACTAGTGGATGAATTACTTGCCAGTTTGGAAACATCTTCAAGCATTACTCTAATGGCATGTAGGTAACCCTGGTGACAGGAAACTTTTAAGGCGCATTTCCAGCTCAGTTGTGACAGTTTAACAATAGCATCATACTATCCTGATGGACCATATGATTATATTGTCTTACCACAGGGGGTGTGTCTAATCCATATGTTGCCCCGCACACTGTCAATTAATATATGGGTTTACTTATAACATATAAAGTGACACAACCAGCAGTTTGGATGGGTGAAAATCAAAATGACATGGTCTACCAAGATAGTATGTTATTAATTTTGAAGTATCACAACTGAATCTAGATTTTAATTTATGTGTGTTTGTATAGCTTCTTCCTTCCCACTTGACTCTTTCAGAGCCGATATAGTCCACATTATCATTGTTAGAAAACAGAAGACTTTATTTTACCCAAATCTGGACATTGGGTACTCATCTTTTATCAGTATGCCATGCCTATAGCTTAGATTTGGGCGTTGTCCCTCAAGTGACATGCCTAAAATAAGTCATGTGCAAACCTAGCTATAATAACTTTGAAAGCAACAAACATAAATCCCCATGGTAACCAGATCGACCCTTTGTCGCATGCTCTCCTTGCCAAATTCAAAAAGAGAGTTTTTATTTGATACAGATGGCTTATTGCATGCACAGCATGTATTATGAGGTTCAGTTACATACTTATAGTGAAGTTGTTTTTGTAGTATGTGGGATGTTTACCAGCAGGTCCTTGCATGATGGCTTCAGTGATTTCTCTAAGTGATTTATTTTCACCCTCATCATCTGTTATGAAATATGTACTGCATGTCTCTCTGCATGCTTCCAGTGATATTTATAGTATTTATACTTAGTAAGCTTTTTACCCTGCCTCCTTGTTCTTACCCACTCCTTCATGTATGTATAGTAATCGTCCTAAGAAATTATTATGAATCCTGTAATATGATAATCAGCAACCTTTGTGATAATTTTGCCTGTTAGTTATATAATTTAAGTATTGGTAATTAAGTGATGTTGTTCATATACCATTGTGACCTTTGCTTCAATATTAGTTAATTGGTGTGCTTTATTGTATGAACGTGTATATGTTCATGTCATGTCATGTATTGGATATCATAGGTAATAGAAACTCTTTTGTAAAATATGAAAGTAATACTTTGTGCCCTATTGTACCCATCACTGTGTATATAAATTTTGACTTCATTGGTAGGACATTTAAGGATACGCAAAGTTAACAAATGTTTTGTATTTTTTACTTGTATTAAATGATTTTGGGAATGCATGCACAGCTGTTAAAATGTATAATTGTACTTTATCAGAAAAATTGAAATTTGAAAAGTAATGAAAATTCAAGTGTTTTTCTTAAATTGTAAGATAAAATTAATGCATAAAGTGCCAATTTTTCAATAACTTTTTAAATAACTTTTATTCTCTCTCCCCAAAAAGAAAAAAAACAACAACATAATTTCACATCTTTGCCATAAATCCTTATATTTTAAAATCTTATTAATTTCACACTTTATTAATAATTTCCTGATGGTTTTCAGCTTCAGTTCCCACAGAGATGAGGAAATCCAGTCCTCTCCCACCTATACGAAGCACCACGCCCTCCAAAGAACCAGCTCCTGTTGCTCCAGCCACGCCAGCAGTGCCATCTAGTGGCAGTGATCAGTTGCCAACTGCTCATGTTGTGCTGGTCATGGGTAGGGTGGAATTAAACTGATATTTTAATATTTGAAATTGTAATGAATGAAATAAAAGTGACATTACACTAAAAATCATTCTACCACTGAAGAATATACATAAAAGTAATAATGTTTGAATTCACAGAATTTTTTTACTAAAAAATACATCCAGAATCATCAACAAGTGCATATGTCTAAACTTAAGTTATGGTTGTTCCATGTTTAACATCTTGGTCAGTTAACACAGGTACTTCAGGGGTGAATCTAGAGATATTTTCTGACTGTCTCCCAAACTACATTGTATCTTTGTTGATCCATCCTCCATTTTTGACCGTCTTCTGACAGAAAAAAATAGATACCCATCCATGTAAACTTGAAAATCTGACCGTCCTCTGGGTCTTTCGGAAGACAGTCAGATTTTCAATCTGCCACTGTACTACCGGTAGATGTAATGTTATATCTTTGCCTCCAGGTGGTCCGGGCAGCGGCAAGGACATGCAGGCACTCCGCCTGGCAGACAAATACCAAGGTTGGGTGTATATATCCACTGGTGATCTACTCAGGAAACAGGTGGCCGACAAAGGTGCCAGCGACACGAAATGGGGCAAGATCAGCACGCTCCTCCAGGACGGAGAAATGGCACCAGAGGTCAGCACTTGCTTAAATACAAGTAGAGGGTTAAAACTACGGCCTATGTGTGGTTTTTAGAATTGCTAGAAAAAGGTTCATGTGGCTTGGATACGTTTTCACAAATTATGTACAGTGTCCTTGCTTTTTTATTTACAAAGTTGATAATTTATTTGATTTCATCTTAATTAAAAGGCAATGGTCAAGCAATTCCTCCGTCAGTTGATTTACTGCTAAGTTAAACATCTTTTTCCCTGTGAAATCTTTTTGCTATTTTATCCTCACCTGTTTATTAAAAGAGACTGAAAAATGGAGACTCTTTACTTTCTTTCTTTCTTTGTTCGTTTCTTTATTTATTTTTATTGGATATAAAGAGTTTGGAATTTTGAAAAAAATGTTACAGAGGCGCAGTGAATTATAATTTTATCTTAATTGTTGCTTGCTAACAGATGGTTTTGATAACAATTTTCTAATTTGTATTAAGGAGGACACAGTGGAGCTGTTGATGGATTGTATGAAGCAGCACCCTGATGCCAAAGGTTTCATCATCACTGGCTATCCCAGGACGCTGACACAGCTGGAGGAATGCAAAAAACATGTAAGTGGAAGCCCCGGGGTATTCAGGGTATCCGCAGTTTGGATGGGAGACAATAATTAAAAATAAGCAGTTAATTGTGCTCTGCCTAGCTATTTGTAAAATTAAATAGATTTGATTTACTATTTTTGTGTGTTTATTTTTATATGATGTGAGTTGGTATTAATTGATATGTTTTATTTTAAGTCATTTGAAAAATGTAGTCAGTTTTAAAAAATATATGATACACAGAGAAAGTATTTAAAAAATAACACCACATATTAGGAACCTGTCATTTATGTTTGGGTTCTTTTTTTGGGACAAATTTTACTTTTTTTCTTATCTTTTCTAATCCTGCACTTCTTTTCTTTTTCAGATTGGTCAGATAGACTTAGTTTTTATGTTCGACTGTGACGAGAATGAATGCTTGCAGAACATCATTGGCAGAGGTGCCACCACTGGCAGATCTGACGACAACGAGGCTGCAGCGAAACGTCGCATTGCATATTTCAAACAAAACACACTTCAGGTTGCCAAACATTTTGAAGATGCTGGAAAGTTACACATTGTAAGTAAAATTTTCCTCATTTATTGACATCTATTTTTGTTTTTATGAGAGTGTTTCCTGAGATATCAAAGGAAATAGAACTTGGAATTTAGCTTCTTTTTCTCATTTCTAAGAACTGTGAATAACAATTTGATGCATGATCTGAAGTATTTTTGAATAAATTTTAGGCATAGCTAATACTCTTTCAGACTATTTAATTAGATAAGATAAAGGACTTCTTGTTCCACTTTGAATTTAAGTTAGTTTATTTAGGCTCACATTGACATTTTTTTTTCAATTCAGGTTGATGGTGGCAGAAGTGGAGACGATATCTTCTTTGAGGCTTGCGTGGCTTTTGACAATGTTTTTTACAATAAGGGCACACCAGGTATGTAGCCTATAATTTTTAAAAATGCATTAATAATTTGATATCTTTTTTCTCAAAATCCCATGCTTCTGCTTTACACTTTATTCCAAAACAAAATCAATACAAAAATGTTCATGATCCTATTGACATGCAGCTGTTATGAACAAAGTAAATAAAGTGAGTGAATAAAGTGCCTCAGTAATAAATGTGAGACTTGTCCACCAAACACACATGACATAATTTTATTATTTATGATATTTATTCCACTATTGTAGTCCACTGACTCTTGATCATAAGTTGATATTAATTTTTGTGTATTCCAAACCAGGAGAGCCCAGCGCCACTCCAGCTTCTTCAGAGTCAGCAGGAGCTTCTCTGGTGAAGGTTCAGTTACCCCCTGTGCCCTTAGTGCTGGTGATGGGTAAGTTGCCATGGAAACACTCACTCAGCTTGTTATAACTGTGACTTGATATTCTCCCTAAAGTAACATTTTTTCCTCCACCTTTTTTTTTATCGGATTATCATGAATTAAGTTCAAGAGAGTGGATTATTAAGCCTTGGGTAATTACTTACAATAATTGTCTTTCTGAACATAGTGGTCTGTGACAAGTTGAACGCTTGGGATGAAAAATACTGTGGAGGGACCCTTTATTTCTCTAACTAAGTTTGCAATTTTGCAATTAAACTCAGCATGAACATTGAAAATTAACATTTTGATGATAAATTCCCATTCAAGCACTGTTTTCTGCTTCTCCAGGTCCCCCAGGGAGTGGCAAGGACACCCAGGTTCTCCGTCTGGTGGACAGATACAAGGGCTGGGTGTACCTATCTGTGGGTGATCTCCTCAGGAAACAGATAGCAGAGAAAGGGTCCAGTGACATGAAATGGGACATGATCAGCACACTTGTGAAGGATGGAGAAATGGCACCAGAGGTCAGCACTTGTGTCTCATATTGAATTTATAATTTTTTTCAATATTTATTTAATTTTTATTTTTATTTTCAACAATTACTCTGGCAATCGCAACAGAAGCAACAGTTACTGTCAGTTGACACTTTTACAACTTTTCTTATTTGAAATTCTTACAGTGACTGTATTTTTCTTACGTACAGTATATTGAGATTAATTATTATATAAACTGACAATTAAATAGCTTCATTTGTCTTTTACTAGGAGAACAAATCCATAAAGTTTATTTGGTGCAGTGTTTCAAACGTATGGCACTCAAGTTTTATGAAAATATTATTATTATTTTTATTTACAGGATGTTACCATGGAATTACTGATTGAGAATATAAAGAAGCACCCCGATGCTGCAGGTTTCATAATTGCAGGGTATCCAAGGGATATGAAACAGCTAAAGGAATATAACAAATATGTAAGTAATGATTATCAGGGTGCATTTTGAAAAACAACTGCTACAGTGTTGTTTTACTTTTTGAGAAACGTGTTGTGTGTCAGATAGTTCAATTGGACTACATATTTTTTTAAGTTGCTATATGAAACTAGAATTAATGAAATTGTTTATTAATCATGTTTTTCAGATTGACATGTTTTTGATTTTCAAATTCATCTGCCATACTTATTTTTGCATTCAAAATGATGGTTGTTTCTTAAAAGAGCATTATTTGACAAACTAAACATCAGATACCACTCAAGACATTTCTATCATATAGTGATTTAAAAAGTGCATTCTAAAATCTCTTATGTTTTCTATAGATCGAAAAGGTTGACATAGCATTCATTCTTGACTGCGAAGAGAGCACGAGTAAAGAGCGCCTGAAGGGCAGGTTAACAGCTACGGGAAGAATTGACGATAACGAGAATGCGGTAGCACGTCGTTTGGAGTTCTTCAAACAGAACACCCTCCCTGTGGCCAAACATTTTGATGAACAAGGAAAATTATTAGTTGTAAGTTATTTGATTCATGATATTTTTAAACTATGTATTTACTTTGAGTTACTTGCAAAGTTAAACTTAATCAACTTGGTGTCTTCTATAAGTTGATTAGGGAAAGTATCTACATTGAAAAGTTAAAATGGTTTACATGATAGAAACTTTTATTGTTTTCTATTACAGATTGACGGTGACCGTGATACAGATGAAACCTTCTTCGAGTTGTGTATGGCGTTTGACAATATTTTCTTTCCATCCCCACCTGCAGCAAGAGGTAAGGATGCTTTTCACTCTTATGCTTCAGACATGAAAATATAGCATACAATCATTAGTATTTTAGAGTATGATTTGATTCTTCATATCAGCACACTGAAACATACACCGACTGTCTGATATGAAATAACATAATTCACCTGGCAGTTCCTTCTCTCACTTCCTCATTAATTCAGAGAAAATAAAAACAGTACCCAATCCCTGGTTAATAAACTCTACATCAGCTAACAGCAGAATTATGTTAATTATTCAATATTAAAAGTCTTGATGCAAAGATAATTCTAATGTATAGAAATTAAACAGCTTTGATGCATTTAGGGTTTTGGTTTTGCAAAGTTCTGATGGATAAGAACAAATTAAATTAACAGCAATTTGTGGTAGAAAACTGATAAATTTTATTAATTGGCTGGAAATGGGTGAAGTGAATAAATATTTGGGAAGCCAGTGATGATACTGTTTCAGTTGTGTTCTGGAGAATTATAAAGATTACTATTATTATTATTATTATTATTTTGATTTTATCAGTTCCGTCCCCTCCAAAAAGTCCCAGAAAGACAAGTGGCAGACGACCCAGGTCGCGGACAAGTAGCCAGACGCCAGTAAATTCAGAAAAACCTGCAGACGCACCACCAACAGAGACGGAAGAAGAGGTAGATATGCTTTTATACACAAGAGTGACTGCATGCCTCTTACAGGCTTATTTTGTTATTTGAAAACATTTTCTCTTCTTGAAGTATATTGGGTGCTTGTATAGGGCAGATATGTCTAAAAGACTAAGTTGTGGTAAAAAAAAAGGAGAAGGAAATAAGAGAAAATATGAGAAAAATTTAGAATGATTTTAGAAATCCATATGCATCCTTAAATATTACAGCAAGGATTAGATCTGGAAAAATATTTTCCCCTGACTTATTTATTTAACCCCACAAAGAAAGGCAAATGTTTAAGTCAACTGATGCAATAACTAAGCTAAATAGACAGCATGAAAACAAATTAAAGCTCCATCTTCAACTCGTAGGTATAAGTCTTTTCCCACACCCAACACCTAACATATATAACAGATCAGTGAGATAAACTCAGGTAGAACGTACCGGGGTATGTGTAGGTGTTGTTGCAATTGGTTAATGCAATATCAGGTAACACATTTAAGAAAACCCTACACAGAGGTTTATTAGGAAATATCGTGTTGATAGGAGTTCCCCTTCAACTTGAATGCTAGTTTCTTTAGGAAGGAAATACATACCGACAGAGCATTTAAGAATGTAGTTATGATATGTGTAGAATATAGTATGTGGTAACTTTAGAGACTGAAGTAATATTGATTTGAAAACCAGAAGGCAAAATACATTTGTTGTGCAGATGTAAACCATGCAGATTCATTGGTGATTTTTTTTTTTTTTTTTTTTGAAGTATTTAGAATTTCTATTTATGATTGTATTAGTTTTCACTGCATTGATAGGGTGAGCAACAAATTATCAGTTAAATCAGCTCTTGGTGATTGATTGTTTTTTAAATGAGATTGACAAAATCAGTAAAAGAAGATATATATATATAACAGTACACTTTAAGTATCTACAGAAAACCTGTTTAACTTAGAGGAATGCGTCAAGGAGCACATAGTTACAGGTAGTGGTACAGGTAGCTGTTTTTAGACCTCAATTAACGTCAGGTGTTTGGGTTACCTACTCGTATTACTGACAAACCTGACCTCAGTTTACGGTTGCTAGGGAGAGACAGGCGGAGTATTATGGGATGCACTGAGCCGTCTGCTTTGCCCATTTTTAGAAGCCATTTTCTGGGGCAGACAGCCCTGATTTATAAACATCGTTCTTGCCGTTGGTTATCCATGTTTAGGGGAAACATAATATCAGCTGAATAGGAGGATGTGGATATTTGATAATGGGGTTTGATCAGATACAGCTGTCTTGGCAGCCTAAGTTTTTATTACTTGCCCTGACTGTGTATTATAATCATGAGCTGGTAAAGTGAATTGGAGGTGTTTCCTAAAGGCCAGACATGTTGGAGAAACCACAGTTCCTGCGCTGGGAAGATGTTGTAATTTGACATGGAAATATTACAGTTTTTTTACCTTGAAGCATCCTAGGAAACGGAGCGAACTGCCTTGGCAAGAACCAAGGTGATTTAGGTTGACTGGATTCACGGGCCGCGGCCTCTGTACAGAATACTGCCAGGATTTAAGCTGTATTGTGTTTGGGATTACCATAATCATCATGCCTGTAAGTTAATATTGATAATAACTGGGTGACGATAGTGTTCAGTCATTTACCTTATAGCATGCCCTAGTTTTATTGACATTTAATGTTTTTATATTACTGATAGTGTATCCAAAGCTGTAAGCCAAGGACAGGTAATATTCCAAATCAGTCATTAATTGTCATTGGTGTGACATTGACTGCACTTCTGTGTCATGCTTAATAGATTTGCCCAAAGAAATGTAATTTACTGCTATAAATAGTGACCAGCATTTGGAATTTGAAATATGAGTCGATCAATCCTGAATGCAGTGTTAAGATTCTTTGATTGCTCAATTTAGGCATGTAATATTTATAGTAGAGAAAGGAGTATACTTTGGGTAATATTGCCAGAGACCTGGTATTTAATTCAGCTGAGGATTACATAATGCACTATTTAGTAGGAGAAACTGGATTGCAGAATAATAAATTACTACAGCATGGATGTGCAATAGCACACACAGCTAATATGATTACTTATTAATAGGGTCTAGGAAATATAAAGCCTTACCATGTTATTTGTCATGTAATCAGGCAGTTTTTTCTGCTTGTTTCTCGTCAAAAGGGCTCTCTTTTGGACTACAGAGAATAATGTAGGAAAAAAGTAGGTCTCGACTGAATAGATAGAATGAGGGGCTTGTATCTATCTATGTTTTTAAGATTGTCATGATCAGATGTATGTGGCGGGATTTATTAATAATTGATAATCATACTAATTATAAATGAAACTGTGGTTTAATAGATTTCGGTGAAATAATTGCAGTAAAAATTAATTAATATGGAATTCGTGTTACACTGTAAACTTTGCGACATAGGCAATCTGTGGTTCTTATTAACAGTTATTTGTACATCATTTTAAATGAAATAAATTAAAAGCCCTTAGCTATCAATATTGTGCATATTCATTAACCACTTATTGTGCAGAATATTATTATGATGTGAATTAATTAATTAACTGAATGAAAATGACAACATTGTTTTAATTTTGAATTTTTTCTTTTATTTTAGGAAACTGGAGACAGTAAGTATACCTTTCATCAAGGATGACACTTGGTGACAGTGAGTTGTCTGCAATTGTCACTTTTTAAGATAGCTGGATGTTTCAGTCTTAGGCAATTTGTAACCACTGTGGACTGGACCATGTGTTTTTAAAACCAACCACAGCATAACTGGGGTAACTCTGGCATATCAACTGTCTTTTGAGCATGGGAGCTTTTAATTCAACAAATCAAAATGTTAATCAAAAAGAGATCAAAAACAAGTTCATTAATTTGTCATAATTCTGTGAGTGATAATGGAAATGAAATATCCTGATAAAGGGCAGACTGTTGAAATTTCCAGGATAATTTCATGTTAAATTAAAAGTAGGCAAAAAATTTCTCCCAAATGTTTCATCTTAGAAAAGAAAAATCATATTACCACAGAAGAACATTTGATATGCTAGCTATAGCCCAGAGAGAGATGGTTATCTCAGATGCTATATGTTAAACCTCTGTCTACCACCTGTAGTCTACATACTGACTGCACAGGTCTGTGTGTCCAGGTAAGTAGTTATCCAGGTTATTATCAGCTCCTCACACAGTGCCTCCTGTAGATAGAAATGATCTAAATTGATGGACAGTCGGACATATACCAAGTACTAACATATGTAAACTATATAGAGAGAAGCATTCCAGCTACAAGAAATGGATTTTAGAAATTTGAATCCCTCTTCTTTATACTTGCTGCAGATAGAAATTGAATAAGGTAAAAATCCAATGAAGATGCACTGTTAGGTTATGTAATACATTAGTGTCATATGAACAGTCAAAATGTTAAAACCGTTCATTTAAAGGAATATACTGTGCATTGGAATTTTTTATAGCAAAGAAAAAATATGGAAAAATTCCTGTAATTTCAGTGATTTTCCTATAATCATCACACTTACAGACCCTAGCCAAAGGTGATGAGAGAATTATGATCTATATGCTTGTCTTTGACTTCTAAATTTCTGTTTTTACCATCGCAAAAAAAAAATTGTATGTCTCTATCAGAATTACCAGTTTTGATTAACACAAAAACTAGCACTTAGAGGTCAAAAACTAGCTTATTAATGTGTCATAACTCTGAGATTTTGGATAAGATATGCCCCAATAAATGGTTAATTGTTGAAATTTCCAGGATAATTGAAATTTTTGCAATAAAAAGCTCTAATGTCCATTGTATGACTTTTAGGATAAATCTTCAGCCTGTCGCCCCCATATATGTACTAGTACTAGCATTGATAATTACTGCAGTCATTAGAGCTAGACATTAGAACAGAGAATGTATTGAACATCTTTAGTTAATTAATGATTTAGTATAGGCTGTGATGTTAGAAGTCAATATGGTGGAAAATAATCCATTATTTTTATCAAGGACATAGGGGCTTTGATATAAAAGGAACTGATTTAAATAAAAACAAATTAAACAGTCAGTGAAAGGGTACATGGAAGTGAAAAATACCATATAAATAGGGAAAATAGAGTAGCTTAAATGTGTGTGTTTTTTTTTTAATTCTTAAAAAAACTTTATTTTTATCACACTCTCAGCCCTTATGTCCTTGAATTTTGCATGATGATAAATACCGCACTATGAAAGTCATAAAATGAAGGGGACTTGGATTTTGTGGTTTTGTTACTTTAAATTCACTATGGCTAACTAACATTTAGCCTGGCATAAGGAAGTAATAGATATCATACCTGAGCTTCATGTGCCTTGGTTCAGTATAAAATGGTGGTATTTTTTTTAAGGAAACATACAAGAAACATGAACAAATCAGTTAAAAGTTGGGCTTGCACTGCTATAATCATAAGGACTTTGACAATTTATATTTAAGACATTTTAAGGAATTAACTGAAGGAGCAGACTGTATTTTTTTTTATAAGTTTCCTTTGTGGCACAAATATCTTGCTTGTCAGCTGCATATATACCCAGCTTTGCTTTTTAACATGATGAACACTGCACAATGTTTGAATGATTTTGGAACACCTAGCACCTGTTAAACACAAGCTGAACTCATTCTTATTTGATTCTGCAAATATATTTGTTTTGAATCAACCAAAGATTTATCCAAATTAGTGATAATTTAACAGAGAGAAGTAAATATATTTTGAAATTTTCTAAGCTAAAAGTCATCTAAAAGTAGATTAAATTGAAGTGAATATAAAAATGAGGTCAGCTAAGGCCCTGTCACACAAAAGCTATAAGCTGATCTACTGAGCTCTGATAGTTGCCACCTATTGGGGATGGTAGCTCAGCTGGTAGCTCACAGTGTATGTTGGGCATTACAATATTACTGTTTTAACAAGCAGTTTGGTTGCTTGTTATATGTTATTTGCTGCCTGTTCTATTTCTGCATGTTTGTTACCTTGTGTTTGTTATAGCTGCCCCAGCAGTGGAAGAGGTCATAGAACCCACCATCTGTAAGGAAGACGCCCCCGTCACTGGAGGGGACACGGGGAACCCAGCGTACACCCAGGAACTCGACCAAACGGCTGCGACATAGTTAACACGCACCATTCAGTGTGGCTATAAAGACCTGAAGTATAGAAATATATCTCTGCAATACTTGACTACAAGAGGAGATTCATTGTGTTTTAACACACACACTGACAACAGATCTTAGCGATAAGTCTGGTTTCTACAAACTGTGATCTATCCTCAACTTTCATACACTTCTACAGGGAACAAACATTTCAAAGCTTGGACATGGCAGCGGTTTAACTCAGCAGAGCTTCAGAAGAAGCACCTGCAAAGGAAATTTTTATATTTATTTTAAATTCTTTATTCCTTTTAACTAATGGCAGCTTGGGAATATGTCAAACGCAAATTAAAAAGGATGATTTTTTCCTGCTGAATTTATTGATTTAAATTGATAATGTAAATAATTGTGACAATCATAATAATTATATTAGTTAACTTTTCAAAAACAGTTTTAAAATAATCAAATATTAAATGTTGCAGTTAAATGTTTATGTAAAAAATATTTTTGATACATCTTTTTATTACTGTTTGACATTTCCCAAAAGTTCATTTAACAATGACTTTGTGTTTTTCTTTTGTTGAGTAATACCTGCATTTGCATGTTTGGGAAGTGGAAACATACAGAGTGCTGGTGGTGGGTATGCACAGTATAGAGAACAGTTAAGACAAGTCAATATTTGACCAGAAATAGGTCTAACTTGCACCATCAGAAAACCACATGTAGCTTGACTAGATTATGTACTCTAGTTGTGATAAGTATTGTGGTACAGGTATCAATCTGTACAATCTAAGACTGGGTTCTCATGCCTAGATCAATCTAACAGGATCGGTCCATCTCTGCTGGGTTTTTCACTTAGATATCTGGCACGCCTATTAAAGCTGCTAAACAATTATAAATTACCCCTTAACAGCTTTAGTAGGCATGACAGACATCTAAGCTGCTTAAGGTGATTGCAATTTAGCGAGAATCCCCTGGGAGGTAGATCAATCCACAGTTAGTATGATACGCTATCACTATGGTCCCTAGATGTTACGTTACCTGATGATGCAAGTTAGACCTATTTTTGATTTCAAATAACCCACTGCATGGGTATACATGTGTCCAACTGCGTGTGAAGAAAGTATCTTCATTAAGCAAGGGATGATTACGGCAGGGAAAGAACAGAGAAAATAATTGAGACTGGTTTGGAGGTAGAAGGAAACAGGCAGCCTCACTGTCAGATGGGGAATGCTTAAGAGCTTCACTGTTTGACCTTTTCATTCAGTGGGTTCAAGTGGCCCTTGTATAGGTTAGGTATCAGGCAAGGTCTGAACTTACCTTCATGTATGGTTGCCAAGGCTAATTTGTTACACACAAATGATCAATACTGGGCATGCTGTAGCAATTCGATAGTTAACTTGTCTGAATTTGTAAATTGCATCACATCATGCAGAGACTTGTTTGAGAAAACCAAACCACCTGTTACTTAATTTTTTTATATTTAATCTTGGGTTAGTTGACATATGGATACATATGCTGAAATTCTTCAATAACCAGTTTCATAAGAAATGCAGTTGAATCTGCTTTGCCATGAACTTCCTCCTGAGCTTGAAGATTAGTCATATAATTTTGTAAATATGTATATTTCTCGCTTTGTACATATAAAATAGTCTGTTAAATAATAATTGCAATCTCTATATGCAGTAATAGCGATAAAACCTTCAGAATGTGGCCCAATGGTGAATGCCAGACATTAATTACACTAGCAATCACTTGATCATATCAAACTGTGTTTTATCAGAGATATTGTTATTCCTTCATCATGAAAGTTTGCGCTTGATTTAATCCTAAAGTACCAAAACAAGGTTAGCCAGTTTACCTCTGTCAAGGCAAAATAATGTTTTTACAATGTGTTTGTTGAGTCAAATGTGATCACAACATCTCACCTAACACATTGCTCTGCCTCACTGACACTGGCTTCTTTGGGTGTATATATTGCTGGTGATCTTTTTCGATAGAATAAATCTCACTGTTTATTGGTCATTTTCTAAAGCTTTAGATATTGGCATTTGTATAATAATATTTATATAAAAACCGTCCTTGATATCTGTGATATCTTCTGAAACGCATCTGTCACTTTTGTGACTCTAATCATTTAATAATATATTTTATAGCTTTTGATTTTTTTATTACAAAAAGGAGGGCAATGACCTTTATGTGAATTTTTTAGCTTTAATTTAAATCTTGAATGATCTGTCATATTCATTGTTCTGACTTATTGGTTTTAACATTGATATGTTTGTCTTTGTTATACTTTTAAAATCCTTCATCTAAAGGATAACTAGAATATGGGTGTAAAATATTACTTAAATTAGAAAGATTCTATAATAAAATTTGAACCTTAATGTTTTGACTTTTCTTTGATTAGATGTTGTGTCATTTTAGGACTTCACACACATACAATATTAAGAATCATATAAAACCATCTCTCATTTTATGTGTAAAGTGAGTGCAAGCCAACAGCAAGAGGTATTCCTATTTTTTTTCCTTTGGTTGAGATAACATAGTTAAGCAAGTCGTACAGACTTGCCTTGCAGAAACAGCATAATTTTGGTTAAAATAGTTAAATCAAATGTTAAATTATCAGAATTATTTTGTTCAAAGTTGCAAACAGTGTTTTTATGCCCAGAAACAACAGATTAGAGGTTTATAACCAGTTACTCTTCACATTAATAGCAATAGTTTCTTGTAGCTGGAGTGACTTTTCTTTTTTTTTCTTTATATTTCATTGTGTTAGTATTGCAAACTAAAGAATTCTATAAAAATTCTGTCGTAAAAATAAATAAAAAACTGATGAAGGCTGTATGTTTACTGTGAAGGTAGGTCTCTTTATGATTTTATCCTTACCCGTTTGATAATTGTTATTTTAAATAACAATAATTTAGAATTAACTGATTTTGTTTAATATTTTTAATGAAAAGAAAATATTACAAAGATATAAAAAACAGGAGTTACTTTGGTCCAAATATACACAATGTGTATGTAGATAGAATATTGAAAGCAAAAAGGGCAACATATAAAGACCTGTTAAATTCATTTAATTTTCTCAAAAATGCCAGCCAGTAATAGATAAAGATAATATAAGATACTTTGCTTTCTGTACTTCAGGTGGCCATGAGGTGTTGAAGAATGCCAAGGTGGTATTTGTGATAGGTAAGAACTAGACTTTTATTTTAAATCTCCTGCATTGTCTGAGGTTCACAGTGGAGTCCTTCTGGTCCTGGTTGTTCTCTTTTGGGATGGGCATTTAAAGCTCCTAGTAACACTTATGAATTAAGTACATGCTTTTGATCACAATTAAGGTGTAGAATTCATCTCCGTGTGGAATCTAGTTTGTGATAATATGAGAATGGTCCAGGAGTATGGGTTAAATAATATGTCAATATTCTGTTATATTATGTATTTTAGGTGGTCCTGGCAGTGGTAAAGGTACCCAATGTGAGAGAATGGTCCAGAAATATGGGTTTACCCACCTGTCAACGGGTGACCTACTTAGGGCTGAGGTCAAGGCTGGCACACCGAGAGGGAAACAACTGGCAGCTAAGATGCAGAAGGGAGAACTTGTCCCCATGGTAGGCTATTTGGCACTTTTCTACCCCCATCCCCCCTTCCACCACTGTCATTAAAATTCTACTTTTGCTAATTTCATGGGGGCCGTAGCGATAGTCCGAAGGCTCAATAGTCCGAAGGTTCATTGGTCCAAATGTTCACTATAGAACCTTCGGACCAATGAACCCTTGATTAAAAATTCAATAAAAATGTTACCACTTTTCGGACCAATGAACCTTCGGACTATCAAGACGCCCCCATTTCATGCACCTACTGAGTATATAAAGCCTTCATTGCAGACTCTGTTAAGTGATATATTTTTTGTCTTCAATCAGGGTACTCATCACAATATTTTCACTTCTACTTTCATTGTCAATAACTAAATCAATGTGTAAAATGTACCTTTGATTCTAAAACATATGTGTAGATATCATCACATAATGTCAGCATCTTTAAACATTTTATTGCTAGTATAACTACGGATACACATGTACTGCACTAAGAATCTGCGAAAAAATTAGGCACAGCCCATCCTTGGCCATTTAAAATATTATGTTAATTTTTTATCAATGTGTAACAACAAGGAATACATAATGCTTCAATGCATCTGATAAGATGATAAGTTACTAGTACATTAACCCAAACATCAGCCATACAAAAAATGGACTACTTAACTAGAACCAATGCAGAATCCTTGTTTTATTTTTAATTAGTAAATAGCTGAATTACATCTTGACAGATTGACCATAATTGTGTTCCAGACAATGCACCACATAGCCCACACTCCTTTTTATCCCACCTCCCTTCACATAATGTAATATATCTCAAGTTCAATTTTTTGTTTTCACATACACCAGAAACAAGGGCGGATTTAGGCCGTCTTCTGGGTCTTCCGGAAGACGGTCAGATTTTCAAGTTTACATTGACAGGTATATAATTTTTTTCTGTCGGAAGACGGTCAAAAAATTGAGAATGGATCAACAAATATAATATGGAAGACTGTCAGAAAACATCTCTGGATCCGCCCCTGAGAAACCCACATAATGGTTCTACTAGTACATGTAAATATGACATCGATTCATATAGATTTCAAATCTCTTCCAGTATTCTGTTCTGGGTCTTCTCAAGGATGCAATGATCAAGCACGCCCCCAAGTCCAAGGGGTTTATCTTGGACGGCTACCCCAGGGAGCTGAAGCAGGCCACTAACTTTGAAGATAAGGTATGAGGCAGCTTTGTGATGACTTTACTTAATACATATATTATATACTTGTGAGACAAGAGTATGAAATTATGCAACCAACCTGTGATCAATCTATTCAAAATAAATAAATAAATAATGAAAAGAGAAGAGAAATACCAATAGACTAAGTGCAATAGTTACTAGTGGTTCAGGATTGTCAGTATAGATAATTAAGTGCCAGTGAAATATTACAGAGTCATATGGCCAGATTTAGTGAAATATTCCAACATTTTCAATCAAAGAAACTAAGCTTGATATAGTGATTGTAGAATCAGTAATCTCTGGTCAGTTCAACTGACAATTTTATCTTTGATGACTGTCAAAAACAAGACAGAAAAATTGATACAAAAAATGCCTCAGCAAAGATTGTAATTTGGCATTGTGTCCAATGCAGTAGCCCGTATTTCAGTCTTGATGATCCGCATGCTGTGTGAGTGATCCATGGGATTTCAGACTGGTATTCACTGCTTGTCCACACACTTGTAAGAGTTGATCCCGTCCACACAGGTCTGGCCTGCTGGACAGCGAACATGGTAGCAATCATCATGATCTAGAAATTGAAAACAGTTCGAGTTATTTGAAAATCATGATTTAAATAAGGTTATTTCTTTCCCTTTGAAATGGTGCAATGACTGTTTTAGTTTCTGCAAGTAGCTATCAGGTGAAGCATTTTGGATTGTAATATTTTTTTTGTTAGAGATTCACTTTCAAAATTCTTTCACAACCAAACCAGGGGAAACTCGCAGAAATATATTGTGATCTCCAATCATCATGGAGTTTGTCTTTCAATTTAGAAAGACAGACTCAAAATTAAAGTAAATTTTCATGTATTTTAAAAGGAAAGGATGACCATTAACAATTAATCCTAGTCTGGTATTTATTAGTAAAAGAAAAGAAAGCGGTGAATAATAGTTAAATGATCATATCAACACGGTACCTTTAAAGTAAAGATGTAAGCCATTTCTGATACTAGGGGTGCTGCACTCCCGGTCGTACAGCATGTCCACTCCAAACGACTCTGCGGGTCCGTAACGGTCGTCAAACCCTCGACGGCACATCCCATGACCAATGCTCAGTGTGGAGTAACAGTCGCAGTTGTCGTCATCAAGGAGGATGGACTTTACTCCATGTTGCATACGATACATGAATGAGTCTACACTGGCCCTTGGCGTGGCTCCTGGGAAATCATAATCCACAAATTATTTTAAAATGAATTTTACTACAAATTATTTTCTCAACATAAAAGGTTAAAACGGTGATACACTGAACATGACAAAAAAGTTCAAGATTTAAAATGTGGTTTATCAAATGTATGTAAGATCAATATTTACATGCAGCAAGGGTAAATAATTGTCAGTGATTGTTCAGTGCATAAAATTTGCATAAATGGATAGAAAATAAGTGATTGATAACATGGAATAAGCACTAAATAAATAAAAAATAAAGAAAGAAATGAATAAATTAATAAGTTGATATACATGTATAGATACAGAAGTTAATCAATTGACGGACAAAGAAATTAATTAATTGACCAGGGAAGGAAGGAAAGTTAAGGAAGAAACAGAACAAAACAAACAATTGAAACAAAAATACAAATAGGTGATATTTTATTACCCACCTCCAAGCACTTTGGGGTTCCAGGGTTCCCCATTTGCCACATCTTGTTCTTTGTGGTCGTGGAACGCCTCCCAGACGGCATGGGAAACCTCATTACGGGACGTAAACTTCCACCTTGAATTGGTTAAAAATAGCATTTGTATAGAGATTTGTTTTTATAGATAAGGTACAATGGGGTAATGTTGTATCAGAGACTTCATTCCCTGACATAAACTGCCAAACTGAAATGATTTATCAGTGCAAAGTAAAATACAGACTAATTTATTCTCATTGGACAGGTGCCTTTTTATGCTATTTTTATAAAATATTAATATCATTAAAAGACAGAGAATAGATCGTCTCCCCAGGGGCAAGACTGTTTACCTGAATGCTGTACCCCTATGGTCCACTGCCCCCCTCCCCTACCCCCCCAGCCCCACCCCAGGGTCAGGCTAGTTTACCTGTATGCCGTCCCCCTGTGGTCCACTGCCCCCCCAGTTTCACCTCCACCCCACCCCAGGGACAGGTCAGTTTACCTGTATGCCGTCCCCCTGTGGTCCACTGCCAGCAGCTCTGACATGTTCTCCTCAAGATTGGGAGGCAAACGGCCAAAACAGTAGGCATCAGTGGGGGAACACTCTCCGAACTTATCTGGAAGTTATATGCAGCATTTAGGGTTATTTGAAGTACCCTTAGTCAAAATAAATGTAAACCACTGTTTCATCTACAAGTCCTGGTCCATTTCAAAACACAAGAGATAAAAATAATTATCCCTTGCTTATAATTATTCAAACATTGTGTGAAGGATAGCTACTGTAAATAAAAGTTATATTGTGAAATTTAATTAAAAGTGACTCAGTTTGTGTCATTTATTGTAAGATGCCTCAGATCTAAACTAATGTGTTAATGGGAATGTACATTTCAAATGGGAATTTGTAAAATTTCCTAAATATATACATATTTTTTTATATTCTTTTCACAGAGTTATTTTCAGCAACTTGTAAAAAGTAAGCCAAATAAAGTAAAAAATGGAGAAAGTAAATCAAATCAAAATGCATTATGCATGATCTTTTGGAACATTCTCTCAATTCTGTACAGTAAAGAACTTTAAACTGCTGGTAATTTCCTCACTAATGCTTTGACAAGTGGGGAACCCTGTTTGTACGTGGCCAGAGTCTACATAGAAAGTGGCACTTAATCAACACTTCCAGCAATAATTAAAAACACATGCAACACAGAGTAAAATAAACTGCTTTTTCCATGGGAAATTTGACCTTGCGCCTCCGATGGTTGAGTTTGATAGGGAGCTTGTACGAGTAAAAATTTTGGAAAGCCTGGGACAAAATGCTGTTTTTCTATAATAAAATAGAGGGTGTCATTTATGAATTTTTTTCTTTTCCCATATAATATATGAGCACAGTTGAGGCAAAAATGATTTTAGTTAAAGTAAACGTATCTGTATAAAATGCAGTATGTATAATTGAGTAAAAAAAAAAAAAATTAATGCAATTAACAATTTATTAACTCTATAAGTAAAATACTTTTTACTGTTTGTCGTGTCTTTGTAATTTTGTAGTGATATTGCTTATAACTGTAACAACTTTTATATTTAGAAGCTTTGACAAACTTCTAGTAGCTGTACCTTCATTTTATGATTATGAAATTTAATCTCAAATACATATACATGCTTTTGCAAATAAAATATCCAATGTAGATCTAAAAATTGGATCTGTAAAAAAAAAAAAAAACAATTTTTTTTTTTACCTTTGAGGACGTCACTGACGACAGTTGGCCATGGGGTTCCTGGTTCATACCACCAGAACAACCGCCATCTCTCCCCATCACGCTGTATTGTGTTATAGTGACCTAACAAATCAAATAAAAGAAAAACACAATTAAAATACTCCAAAGCAACAGACAGATGCACTGTTTCTAGTGAACAGTTTATCAAATATGCTCAATAGGCATATTATTGGCACAGAAATATTCACAGAAATATTCACTGTCCCTGAGAACCTACCATCAACAAATGCTTTGCCACCGTCCGCCGAGCTTTGCAGTTCCTGCAGTTCTTTAATCTGCTTTCTTAGCTGCTCCGTAGTGTGCTGTAATTCCATGACAACACGTCCCCATTGACGACAGCAATCATATGCACGGTTGTAGTAATTATGTTGCAAGCTGGCATATTGAAATATCCCTAAAAAGCAGACCAGAGTGAGCAGCATTCTTGAAGCCATGGTCTCTCTGAAGTTTCTCTGTGTTGTTCCGGCCAGACTGCCTCACTAAGGCCCTGGGTTGCTTTTGGGCCTGTTCACACAGGTTCTAACATATAACCACCATTTGCTGTGGTTCACCTGCGAATCAAATAATTTCATTTGACAAATGATTTTAATATCCTGGCTACAGAGTAGAGCTTGGATTTACTTAGAGTCCACAGTTGTTGAAGCTTACATAGTACCGTCAGTTCATTTGAGTGGTGGAATTAGTTAAGAATCAAAAAAAAAGTTTTATCTTAGAACCAGTGTGAACAGGTCTGTTATCACAGAGGCTTATTCAAGCAGCATGTGCTTGCTACAAAGTAATTAACTTGGGAGGTGCCGCATGCTGTAAAATGTTTGTTTTTATGTTCCCCACTCTTGATTTTATCTTAATTGGCACTGGAGATCTGGTTTGAAAGAAAACCGCAACCAGAGAGATACAGGCAGCCTTAATTAATGGCGACCATCAAAAAGTATCAGCAGTATGCAAATTTCTGAATTGTTATAGATCTGCTGTTTTTTTTTTTTTGTTTGTTTTTTTAAATTTAAAGCCTAACTTTAAATTCATGTCAAATTCTACAATGTACTTTAGTAGTTCTTAATGTTTATAACACTTGTTACTTTAAGTGACATTTTCCTTAGTGGTACACAGTAGATTTTCATTGACTTCATTCCCATTGAGAACCATTTAAATCTTAAAGACACCACTTAGAAATACAATATGAGTTATTCATCAAGAACTTGGATATGTTTTACTTTGCATTGTTTATCCATTTTATGTGTCTAAAAGGAAATTTAAATTATACATTAACAGCTGATGTTTCCATAATCTTCCTTTAGTTGTAATCAAAGTGGCCAGGACCCTGTATAAAAAATGAGGATTTACACTAGAATGAATATGCCATTCATTTTACGCATAATCTTATGGCATCGAGTTAAAAGCTGTTAAAATTTAAACATTTCGTCAGTTTTAAATTGTTAGAAGTAGGAAAACTGCTGGTTCAATTTCAAGCCCCGCGGTCCTGGTGGTATACAATGTAGCCCAACTCAGTGGTAAACTTCCTTTCTATAAGCCAAGCAAATGCTGCCCTGTGTCAAAACCTGGAAAACAATTCTTTTCTTTCTATTTTTGTTTACCCTCTTTAACCTGTGCTAATAGCACTGCAAGAATGAGGAACTTGGTCCTCGGGGCAGAAAAGAAATATCACACCTCTTTGGATACAGTTGCACCTCTTTACTGATGTAAGATTGACATTTGATGTTTAGGCCAGACAAAACTAATAAGTTGGCTAACAAGGGTGACGGACCCAAATTTTCGAGAAAATCTGAATTTTTTTACACTGATTTTTTTCTAACAGTTGTACCTCCTTAAAAAAGAGAAATTCAATTTTTTCTGTTAACTTAATAAACATGTGGTTATCAGTTTCACTTGATTGAAAAATACATTCAAAAGGAAGAAAAATTTTTAAGAAAAAATAAACAATCATTTAATACTTCAACTGATCGCTGAAAAATATGCCTGATAGAACATCTTGATATGCATAATAAAACATCTGATATGATTGATATGAGGTAAGCAATTGTAGCATATACTGCATCAGAACATTGGCTTCAATGCTAAGTTGGGAAATTATCTGGTCCACTATAAAAATAACATAATGGAGTAGATGTAAAACACTCTAAAAGTACCAAACAATATTTTAATTTATCTTAATGTCTCTGATATTTCCAGATCTGCAAATGCCAGTTTGTCCTGTACTTTGACGTCTCTGACCCAGTGATGACTGAGCGTCTTCTGGAGAGAGGGAAGACCAGCGGCAGATCTGATGATAACGAGGAGACCATCAAAGAGAGGCTGAAGACTTTCCATGAAGTCACCGAACCTGTTATCACCCATTTTGAAGCAGAGGACAGGGTCAAAAGAGTAAGTATACATTGAGGGCAAACCCCATGGAAGGTGAGCCTTTCCCCCCCCCTCTCTCCCCCTCTCTCTCTTTCTCTCTCTCTCTCTCTCTCTTGAGCTCTTGAGCTCTCTCTGCTCAGCATTGGGGTAGAGACACTTAATTAACTCTCACCTTTCAGTCCAGATATACAATTAAGTTTGGTAATTGGAATGGACATTTGTGTAGGAAATCTTATACAAGATGTAATTGAGCATGACAGTATCGCACACTTTGGTAGAGAACAAGCCTAACTATGACATAATTTCTAATTGCAAACATATGGCTCTGTTATCAATGTCTGGAAGATATTTCATGAAAAGTACTCTAATTTAATTTTTGTAACACGCAGTTTGGTTTTGCTAGTTTATATTTTAATTGCAGCGATGGCACATTTTTGTGATAATACATAAAATTTTTAATGTATTCTTCTGCTTTTGAGACATTTCAAAGCTAATGTTCAGAGAAAATTAAGTTCACAAAACACATTAATGGAAACCTTGAATAAAAACAACACTTAGATATATTCCATGTTGTCTTTTCTTAAAATGTTGTTAACATTTACAAAATATTTTTATTCTAAATCTGACAACTTTAACTAAAAAGTAGCAATTACTTTTTAAAATCTAATCTACCTTTATTTATACTTAATTTACTCCTTGAACATAAACTTTTTCCAGTCGAATCATTTAAACAGTAGCTTGTTAGACCTTGAATTTTCTGTATCCTTAGTATTTATGAAGTTCATCTAAATCAATTTATTTATTTACTTTATTTATTTATTTACCCCCCAGGTGGACAGCAATGGCTCCATTGATGATGTCTGGGCCAAGGTGCAGCCCATCATGGATGAACTGGTGTCAGCCAGTAAGTAAAAATTTTCTTTCTTTTTTATTTCACGAAAAAGTTTAATATATGCTCTGAATATGTTAAAAAAATGAGAATGGACTGGTCTGTCCATCAGGCAATGACTATGGTCAGTTAATTGCAATTAACAACATGTGCCTCTTGTTTAACGAATTTTGGTCACTGTGATGGTTACTTTATGGACAAGTATCAATTTGTTCTAAGTCATAAAACCCATCCACAACCTAACATGTCTCTACAGTGGTAATCCCTGGTTGGAGTTGTATCAGTTCTGACAAGGACAAATTTCTACAAAAAAATAATTTTTTTAATATATATTTTTTTATTGAAGAATATTTTAATTTTAAGAATTATAGTATTTCATTCATTTAAAAAGCATTTGATGAAGTAAGATGTTTAGAATGCTAAGATTCATGTAGGGAATATTGAATTTGTTTTAAATATTAATTTCATAAAATGTAAGCTAGCTCAGTTCCTGAATAAAATCAACATATGACTAGCACCTTTGTAAACATATAAAACAATTAATCATAGGTGCTATCTGAGGGCAAATCGTCAGCCACTATCATATAAAGCTAAACACCCACGTTATTGTGCCAATACAATAAAAGCACTCACAATACACCTCTACAGGTAAACACGTAAGAATGTTGTTTATTGTTGTTGCTACCATGACAATGCTATGAATTGTGGGACGGGTAGCTAAAAATAGCTTCAATTTCCATGTGCTACAAAATTCAAGGTGAACTGGGTCACCCACAGATGACATTATAAGAGGAGGCTCGAGTGGAGACATGGTATTTTAGCATGTTTAATCATTTGGGTTAAGAGACGAGAGGATACGGATTATTACTGCTGTAATACAACAGCCATATTACATAGGATTTCATATTGACAATATCTAAGGATTTGCCTTTAACAGTGGGTAATTCATACATAGGGAATTATCTAGTCTTTATTTATAAAAAGGGGGATTTTATTACACAGCATACTTCCAAGTATTTGTTGTGGTAACAGTTCTTTTCAGCAGAGTAAGGAAACTTGAAAGAGACCCAAATCTGTGTTAGGTGAGAAATAACTGACCTGGATACTTCACCTGAGGGAATTTATATTGAGAAAGATATCTAGCACAGATAAGAGTGTATCAAATACATACAGTACATACTGTCAGACATATAGTTTCTTTAACCATGGGAGGAGGCTGCACAAAGAATGACAGCACGGCGGCAGAGCCGGGAGCTCCTAGCACCACACATGAAACGACTGTGAAAGATATACAGGAAAACAGTAGTAGTAAAGATCAGACTCAGAGTGAGCCAAAGGAAAATGGAGACAAAGTAGAAGAAACCAAACAGAATACAAACACAGCTGTTATTAGCACTGAACAGTCTGGAGAGGGAGATAAAGAAAATGTTACTGAAGAGGACGGAAGTAATGATCAAAATTCAGGTAGAGGGCCACATGGGTTAACTGTGTGATATTGGAATATGTGTATCATGGTTCAGATTATGAAAGTGTGTCAGTGTATATAGTTTGTTTATGATCATAAATATTTCAGAATAATGACATATTTACTTTATTTATTTCAGTTGGATTGGCTAGACTTAATATAGATGTTACACCACTAAAGAAGTGCAAGGTTTTCTTCGTTGTTGGTAAGTGTGATTCTTTTTATTTAATTTAAATAATATCTGTAAGGGAAAGCATGAGATAACATTTCTGCTAGTAAAAAAGAATTTTTTGATTATTTAATAATAACAATTGCCTGACATACAATAACTGCTATATTAATTGACACTCCCAATTTTTACTCACATCCTACATCAATATGTGGTCATTTAATTTCATTGCTCTTGAAATAGATGCACATGAATATACTACCTAAAAAGAAACTATTGTCCAGTCAAATATGCCATCTTATGGTTTGAAATATGAATAATATGTGCTGCTGGACTACATGTGAAGATAATGAAGAATCCAGCTTAAATTACAGTGTTTTCCATTCCTGCCTAGATATGAGTTCTATTCACTATTGTGAACTCTGTCATTCAAATTGATCACTAATAGTTCTGCATACAACTCCAGGGGGAACAGTATGATTGATGGATCAAGGTGCCTCTTGAATTTCTGTTCACCAAAACAAGGGGGGGTGGGGGGTGGATCAATATGATAGAAAACATTTTTTACCAGGGTTACAGCTCAGAAATGCCACCACTGCTTCTTCTTTTTCTTTTTCATTCAGAGCACACATAGTGAATAATTTCATCTTTAGGGAACTATGGCAACATTCATGTTTAAATGAAATAATCAATAGATAAAGCACGATAGGCTTAACCATTGCAGACGTAAGTCATTCCTGTGACATTTGAAAATTGGGTTACATGTTTGGTGCATTATCCAGTGGGAATTAGATAAATAGTTGACAGAATGGATGTTTAAATTTTGAGGTCAGACCAGCGATGGCATAGAGATTTGACAGGAACACAAACTGATAGATGATAGTCGACTGTACAATTTTTTAATATAAATTTCTTTTTAAATTTTTGTTTATGATTTTTATTTAAGTTTTTAAACTTTAAAAAGTTAATGACAATATTTTATCTGTGTTTAGAGATTTTAATGTGAAGACTCGATATAATTATATTTTAATCAAAATTATTTCTGAACAAAAAAACATATTTTGGTATTTCTGTTTTTAAATTTGCATGGTTTCAATGACAGCTGGAATGCTGTTCACTACAACAGCCTTTGACTTAATTATGTAAACATGTATCTTTAAAAAGAGAGCCTATTTTTATGTGATTGCTAGCACAAAAGATGTAATACAGTACACCTTGATAAGCTGTGATAATCTTCTCTCTAGTAACATCTTGTATCATGACAAACTGTTCAGTACAGTCCATGTGTCTCTCTCCAGGTGGTCCAGGCTCAGGCAAGGGCACGCAGTGTGAGAAAATAGTCCAGAAGTACGGGTTCACCCACTTGTCTACAGGGGATATCCTAAGGGACACGGTGAAGTCTGGGTCACCCATGGGGAAACAACTGAATCAGATGATGGAGAGTGGTCAGCTTGTGCCTCTGGTAACTATATGAGACAGATTGATGTCATGGAAAAATTAAAAATTTAGACAATTTTGTAGGCTTTAAAGGGTGAAAATATTCATACCTCCAATATTTTAATGTCTGTCAAGAACATAGTACTCGGGGAGGGAAGCTACCTAAGGCAACATTTTTAGTATTGGCTATTGATTTTCAAAAAAGAAAAAAAAAAAACGACTTTATTTTTACTGCATTTCACAGCTGATGAAATTGTACTCTTAGGATGTAAATAGCTTTATAAAAAGGGTAATTCTTCCATTTATGTCCACTTTTATTGGCATAATGGCACTAACTTCACTGCATTATGAATTCTATTTTCATTTCATTGTAATTTATCTCAATTTCAGGAGACTGTGTTAGATCTTTTGAAGGAGCAGATGGTGAAGAAAGCCAGCTCTACCAAGGGCTTTCTGATAGACGGCTACCCCAGGGAGCTGGACCAGGGAATTAAGTTTGAAAATGAGGTATTGAAATAGAACTGACTTGATAGCTTCTAAACTGTAAGAATCCTTATAATTATATGTCCTTGGTCACAGTGGTGGGGAAACTGTACACTTTGCTGTTAAAATTGCTGTGGCAAGCTTTAAAAAAGACATTTTCAGCATAAAGACCACTTGCTGCAGTAATAATACATGTACATGGTAATTATACCTATTGTTGTAATTTCAATACAGTCACAACATAGCTTAAAGCATGTACAAGTAGAACAAAAGCTTTACCCATAAAATGCCTTTGAAAATCAAAACTTAGCTTAAAAACATGATTTAATTGACAAATTTTAGATAAAAGAAGTAGAGTGTGTCGTCTACTTCGAAGTCAGTGAAAAGGTCATGAAAGAACGCCTAATGCACCGCGCCAAGACAAGCGGCCGTGTAGATGACAATGAAGAAACAATAGCCAAAAGACTGAAGACATTCAAAGAATGCACCACCCCTGTAATAAAATACTATGAGGAGAAGAAGAAAGCTGCAAAGGTAACTTTTGATTGGTTTTGTAATAATTGACTTTTAACTGCTTTGTTTACCTTCTAATCATAGGCTTACAATAAAAAAAACATTGCTACAGAGAAGATATCAACTCAACTACACTTCTTATTTGAATGTGATTAGACTCACTTCACATCTGTAAAAATTAAGTTACCCCAAGTGCCCAGTGATAAATTTTGACAATCTTTATTGAAAATAATTAATTTACAGATACTTGCAAAATGTAAAGAACTGCAATTAAAATAAAAATAATAGACTATTTGTAATTATCAAATATATAATATTTTCTTTTATGTCCAGTTATTCTAATTTACAACATATCCAGTAAAAGCTTCAAATTGTGTTTTTTATTACAGGTCAACGCAGAAGGCAGCATTGACGATGTTTGGAATCTAACAGAGAAAGCTTTGGACCAGTTTGCCCAGTAGAAATAACTGCCAAATCTCACCATAGCACACATGTACCCAGAGTCGCCCCGTGTTTGAGTGATTGACCCTACAACTGTCCCTGGTTTCACAAAAAAAAATCTCAAGTCAGTTTCCCGGGCTAAAAACTTAATTACCAAGGTTACATGGTCACATGGGCACATCTTACCCTATCAGGAGCAGTGTAACAGCACTCTCATGGAAATCCTAGTCAACTAAGCCAGGGAACTGACTTAAGGTTTTTTTGTGAAACTGGGGCCTGGACTAAAGTCAAGTGGTCAAAACCTGTGAGAAAAACTCACTGACCGTGCAAATTGTGGGCAGCTGTACTGAACAAATGGGGATTTAGATCTGTGGAATCTTTTTTAAATTAAATTCATGGAAGGGTTGAAAATTTGTTGATTAAAAAGCACCAAACTCCTTAAAGGAGTTTATAGAAGAGGCACATCAGAATTTATAAAATTCTGGGCTCCTAAATTATCATTGTCTGGCACAAATTTAGTTGTGTGTGTGAATGAAGATCGATTTTCAGATCTTGCCTTTTTTTCTTTTACCAATTTTGTTCACCAATTTTTCAATTGTGCTTACACCACTTTGTGCAATTAATAATGTCTAAAAAGGTATCTGTTTCTTACACAGCACTGTGTATTTTAATTGTGTCAAAAATTTAAGCTGCTTATTCTTTTAAGTCAACTTCACTTGAAGTGAATTTTTATGTCGTCAGCAATTTTTCTTAATTTTCTTAAATACTTAAGGTGCTTATTTCACTTTGTTCATTTTCTTCACAGCTCTTTTAAGTGGTATTTTATTTATTTTTACACCTTCATTTTTATGTATTTGTCCACAAGACCTCAACATCAACTCATAAGAGGCCTTTACACACTTTTGTGTCTAAAACTTTCAAAATAAACTCTAAAAAATATAAATAAAACTTAAAATACAGCAAACTTCTTCCCAAACAAAAATTATGGTGCCTCAAGTTTAGTTATTACACTGGGTCAGGTCTCAAGATAATGCTGCCATAACAAATGAAATGATAATTTACTGGGAGACATCTATTTCTGGTATATAATGTGACAGATGCTGTGATGTAGTGTCAGACACAGAACCGGCTGAACTTGCCCCCTGAATGTCAGAGTGCCATCAGAAACTGTCCAGAACTTAATAAATGAAGACTGCCCATGTTTGAATACTGTGAAATGCAGGGTAGTGTGTGCTAATTCTATGTAAGTTTACTATCCCAGCTTGATCCCAACTCTGCTGTGATACAGATAATTTATTCACGGGATGTTCAATGATGTAAATGTTGCTGTACATATGTAAACATATATGTATAAGGTAGAGGCAATCTGAAAGCCTGCTTTGAATAGATGATAACATTTCTGATCTCAGCGCAGTGTGCAGCTGTTATTCTTATTTGTAGAACCAAAATTTAAGGAATAAATGTATTTAAAATAATGTTCAGTTGTTTTATCTTTTGGATATCAATATTTTATCTAATATATTGAACACATACTTAAGTAGATAAGTGAATGTGAGTAGTTGAATGAATTTTTGACATTCAACAAAAAACGAAAAAAAAATCTTTTTAAAATCAATGAACACAATAAAATGAATAGAAAAAAAATCAACATGTGCAATTTTTATAACACTTATTTATAATATATATAATTAAAGTCACAGTAACATATCAGTTATGCACAAGTCAAAGGATGCCCACTGCTTCTTGTTATAAAAATTGTTTTCATCCATTTATTCTTTGAATAATATTTTCAAGGACTCTTTTTAATTAAAAAGCACTTTTATTTTAATTTATTTGTGCATAATTGGATTTAAGCTATGATTTTAAAAATTACTTTCATGAGTAAAAGAAACAGTAAACATATTTAAAATTAAGCAAAATCAATGTGCAAATTGCAAAAAGCATATAACATGTCAATAATAAGTGATCAACAGAATCACTACTGGTTTCAGCTAAAGAATGTAATATAATCTGCTTGCCCAATGTGTAGCAGATAGCTATTATATTACTTGTCAGAGAGTTCCTTTTTCCATTGTCACTTATGATGATAAAATATAATCTTTTTATGACTTCATAAGGCAACAGATTAAAATAAAAACAAAAAATCTAATCTTATCCAACCAATATGATGTAAAATAGTGGGTCCCTTGCTTACTAGATGTATCACCGGGATTGAATGCTGTATCAAACCTAGAATCCTGAGTTTTAAAGTCAACTTGTAACTGATTGTATGTTTGTAGCCTCTCTATGGCTATATTAGACTCCTCCCCCCCACTCTCTCTCTCTCTCTCCCCCCCCCCCATATTCGGCAGAGATACACATATTAGGAGGAAAGTTATTATACACTTACTGTATACCTTGAATCTTATGGCACATAATGTCTGGTTTGTGCTTGTTATCCAAACTAAATTATCAGTGAGACTAATTCAAAAAACGAAATACTGCACAACATGTAGTGTACAACATTATACACTAACAACTATAGTGTAGCATTAACTATGTACCCCCTGGTACATGTAAGCAACCTTTGTAACTGTGGATCATGAACAATACATATATTAACCAAGAGATCTGAATACGTTTAGTAGAATGCCAATAACTTAATTAACTTCATTAAGTATCAGCTGCCTGTTCTGCTGGATCCCCATCATTCAGTACATCAGTTTCACCAGCATCATCTTCACCAACCACATCCCCTACCTCACTGCCATTGTCCTCATCACTGCTGAAGATATCATCATATATTTCCCTGTCAGTTGTTACCCTTTCTCTGTCACCCTGAGCTCCCTCGCCTTCATGCATTCTGTGTTGGTGTATCTGGTCTGTTGTCTGGGGTACGTTTCTCTGCTGGTGATATGGAGTGTCTTCTTCATCATCGCTGTAAATGTCATCTTCACCCTGATCTCTATAAAAAGGTCTTGGAGCCTGCGGTTCATGTATCTCTCTTTCCGAAGCTTCTGGAGTTGTGGTACTGGTTGGACTGTTAGTAAATGTTCTTATGATAAATAAAACGAACAGTGACATTAAAACAGCTACCCCAAAGTGAAAGAAAACACTGTTGCGACTCTCAACAAAATAATAGTTCCCAGACTTTAGACCATAATCCAAAAGCTTACAAGTCAGGATCTTTCCAGACTTTTGTAAAAGTTTCAAGATGACCTTCAAGTCGGTCCATATGTTACCGATGTGCTTGCCTCCTTGCTCAAAAGTATTCTGGAGGTATTCCTCAGTGGTCCCTGCTGTTTGTTCAGAGGCAAACATTGCAATTGCTGTCCCAGTTCCAGAAATAATCTGCCACAATCTAGTGAAAACCAAGGAAAGCAACTGCCATAACTGAATGGCTGAAGATTTACAATAATGCCAGAACTCTGCATATTCTATGTCAAAAGCAAGATCACAGATGTCAAGTACAACAACATAAAGAGCACCCAGCACCTTGCTTAATACGAACCAAAGGTAGCTCATAACCTCTATGATATTAGACAATATCACAAAGGAAATTTTGATGATAAATGCCAACACAATTCCGGATAACTGTAATGCATTCCATCCTAGATGAAGGAGTTGGTCTTTCAATATTTGTTTCTCTCTTTTTGGCATGAATGAAAATAGCCCTGCCGAGATAATAATTGTGGTAACTGTTATGAAGAAAAAAGTAGTAAATGCTCTATCTACTACATGAGGCATTGTGATGAGTTCTGTGTGCGTTTCCTTTATCTTATGAAAGATAGTGTGTATGTGCTCAGACCATCAGCTGTATGTATTAATTAACACATCAGGTTTGTACATGTACATTTACTAGTAGTATAATGAGGTTCTGTTGTCATACTGTCCATTTGCTTCTTAACCAAAGAATTCACTTTGACTGTTTCTGGCCAACTGATACATGTAGATGTACTTGTGGTGACACTTTATGTCAACAAAGTTTCCTGCAACTCTCATGAAATTATCCCAGTGGACATGCAGTAATATAAACATCTAATGGCAGCAATTTTACTCCAGGCAACTCTTTGGAAATTTTTCAGCTTCAACACTGTCAGTTCAGTGCCTAAATATTGTGGATACTGTACAATCTGTGTACCTTTCCCTTTAAGCTAAAATAGTAAAAAATGAAAATAAATTAAAAGTACAAACATGCACCTGCAGGATAATGAAAATCAATATATGATGCATACATGTACATGTATATTTAACAGGGTGCAAAAACATTAATTGATGCAGTGATTGTTATGAAGAACATGAAACTACATCTCATACTACACATATTCAATAATCAATGTCAACACATCCTAATAAATCGAATTTACAAAACTGAAACTGCAGATTTAACAAATTTAATAAATAACCATATAGATGTTTTCCTACCCTAATTAAAATGACAACGGCTTCGCATATACATCATAATTACTTGTACTATAAAACTTTCTGTTACAATCAACATATAATTAAAGACACTTTATTAACCTGCGTGCTTCGCTGTTCTCTGTATTCTTTCCTCTGGAACAGAATGGAATGGAGGCGCTTTCGTTATCGACAACATATGCTGCTGCTGACTCGCAGTGTATATTTGTCAGTTTCTTATTGGTTTAATTTTGATAAACACCGAGATCACTTANAAATTTTAATTGCAGCGATGGCACATTTTTGTGATAATACATAAAATTTTTAATGTATTCTTCTGCTTTTGAGACATTTCAAAGCTAATGTTCAGAGAAAATTAAGTTCACAAAACACATTAATGGAAACCTTGAATAAAAACAACACTTAGATATATTCCGTGTTGTCTTTTCTTAAAATGTTGTTAACATTTACAAAATATTTTTATTCTAAATCTGACAACTTTAACTAAAAAGTAGCAATTACTTTTTAAAATCTAATCTACCTTTATTTATACTTAATTTACTCCTTGAACATAAACTTTTTCCAGTCGAATCATTTAAACAGTAGCTTGTTAGACCTTGAATTTTCTGTATCCTTAGTATTTATGAAGTTCATCTAAATCAATTTATTTATTTACTTTATTTATTTATTTACCCCCCAGGTGGACAGCAATGGCTCCATTGATGATGTCTGGGCCAAGGTGCAGCCCATCATGGACGAACTGGTGTCAGCCAGTAAGTAAAAATTTTCTTTCTTTTTTATTTCACGAAAAAGTTTAATATATGCTCTGAATATGTTAAAAAAATGAGAATGGACTGGTCTGTCCATCAGGCAATGACTATGGTCAGTTAATTGCAATTAACAATATGTGCCTCTTGTTTAACGAATTTTGGTCACTGTGATGGTTACTTTATGGACAAGTATCAATTTGTTCTAAGTCATAAAACCCATCCACAACCTAACATGTCTCTACAGTGGTAATCCCTGGTTGGAGTTGTATCAGTTCTGACAAAGACAAATTTCTACAAAAAAATAATTTTTTTAATATATATTTTTTTATTGAAGAATATTTTAATTTTAAGAATTATAGTATTTCATTCATTTAAAAAGCATTTGATGAAGTAAGATGTTTAGAATGCTAAGATTCATGTAGGGAATATTGAACTTGTTTTAAATATTAATTTCATAAATGTGTAAGCTAGCCCAGTTCCTGAATAAAATCAACATATGACTAGTACCTTTGTAAACAATTTAAAACAATTAATCATAGGTGCTATCTGAGGGCAAATCGTCAGCCACCATCATATAAAGCTAAACACCCACGTTGATGTGCCAATACAATAAAAGCACTCACAATACACCTCTACAGGTAAACATGTAAGAATGTTGTTTATTGTTGTTGCTACCATGACAATGCTATGAATTGTGGGACGGGTAGCTAAAAATAGCTTCAATTTCCATGTGCTACAAAATTCAAGGTGAAGTGGGTCACCCACAGATGACATTATGAGAGGAGGCTCGAGTGGAGACATGGTATTTTAGCATTTTTAATCATTTGGGTTAAGAGACGAGAGGATCAGATTATTACTGCTGTAATATAACAGCCATATTACATAGGCTTTCATATGGACAATATCTGAGGATTTGCCTTTACCAGTGGGTGATACATAAATAAGGAATTATCTAGTCTTTATTTATAAAAAGGGGGATTTTATTACACAGCATACTTCCAAGTATTTGTTGTGGTAACAGTTCTTTTCAGCAGAGTGAGGAAACTTGAAAGAGACCCAAATCTGTGTGTTAGGTGAGAAATAACTGACCTGGATACTTCACCTGAGGGAATTTATATTGAGAAAGATATCTAGCACAGATAAGAGTGTATCAAATACATACAGTACATACTGTCAGACATATAGTTTCTTTAACCATGGGAGGAGGCTGCACAAAGAATGATAGCACGGCGGCAGAGCCGGGAGCTCCTAGTACCACACATGAAACGACTGTGAAAGATATACAGGAAAACAGTAGTAGTAAAGATCAGACTCAGAGTGAGCCAAAGGAAAACGGGGACAAAGTAGAAGAAACCGAACAGAATACAAACACAGCTGTTATTAGCACTGAACAGTCTGGAGAGGGAGATAAAGAAAATGTTACTGAAGAGGACGGAAGTAATGATCAAAATACAGGTACAGGGCCACATGGGTTAACTATGTGATATTGGAATATGTGTATCATGGTTCAGATTATGAAAGTGTGTCAGTTTATAGTTTGTTTATGATCATAAATATTTTGGAATAATGACATATTTACTTTATTTATTTTAGTTGGATTGGCTAGACTTAATATAGATGTTACACCACTAAAGAAGTGCAAGGTTTTCTTCGTTGTTGGTAAGTGTGATTCTTTTTATTTAATTTAAATAATATCTGTACGGGAGAGCATGAATAACATTTCTGCTAGTAAAAAAAAATGTTTGATTATTTAATAATTACAATTGCCTGACATATAATAACTGCTATATTGACACTCCCAATTTTTGCTCACATCCTACATCAATATGTGGTCATTTAATTTGGGGCCGTAGCGATAGTCCGAAGGTTCAATAGTCCGAAGGTTCATTGGTCCGAATGTTCACTATAGAACCTTCGGACCAATGAACCCTTGATTAAAAAATCGATGAAAATGTTACCACTTTTCGGACCAATGAACCTTCGGACCAATGAACCTTCGGACTATCGAGACGCCCCCTTTAATTTCATTGCTCATGAAATACATGCACATGAATATACTACCTAAAAAAAAATATTGTCCAGTCAAATATACCATCTTATGGTTTGAAATATGAATAATATGTGCTGCTGGACTACAAGTGAAGATAATGAAGAATCCAGCTTAAATTACAGTGTTTATAGCTGTCTTCCATTCCTGCCTAGATATGAGCTCTAAACACTATTGTGAAGCCTGTCATACAAATTGATCCCTAATAGTTCTGCATACAACTCCAGGGGGACAGTATGATTGATGTATCAAGGTACCTCTGAAATTTCTGTACACCAGAAAAAAAAAAAAGGGGGTGGGGGTAGAGTCAATATGATTGAATACTTTTTATTACCAGGGTTACAGCTCAGAAATGCCAGCGCTGCTTCTTCTTTTTCTTTTTCATGCAGAGCACACATAGTGAATAATTTCATCTTTAGGGAACTATGGCAACATTCATGTTTAAATGAAATAATCAATAGATAAAGCACGATAGGCTTAACCATTGCAGAAGTAAGTCATTCCTGTGACATTTGAAAATTGGGTTACATGTTTGGTGCATTATCCAGTGGGAATTAGATAAATAGTTGACAGAATGGATGTTTAAATTTTGAGGTCAGACCAGCGATGGGATAGAAATTTGACAGGAACACAAACTGATAGATGATGGTTGACTGTACATTTAATATAAATTTCTTTTTAAATATTTGTTTATGATTTTTATTCAAGTTTTTTAACTTTAAAAAGTTATTGACAATATTTTATCTGTGTTTAGAGATTTTAATGTGAAGACTCAATATAATTATGTTTTAATCATAATTATTTCTGTACAAAAAACATATTTTGGTAATTCTATTTTTAAATTGGCATGGTTTCCATGACAACTGGAATTCTACAACAGCCTTTGACTTAATTATGTAAACATATATCTTTAAAAAGAGAGCCTATTTTTATGTGATTGCTAGCACAAAAGGTGTAATGCAGTAGGCTATGATATTATCATTGATAAGCTATGATTATCTTCTCTCCAGTAACATCTTGTATCATGACAAACTGTTCAGTACAGTCCATGTGTCTCTCTCCAGGTGGTCCAGGCTCAGGCAAGGGCACGCAGTGTGAGAAAATAGTCCAGAAGTACGGGTTCACCCACTTGTCTACAGGGGACATCCTAAGGGACACAGTGAAGTCTGGGTCACCCATGGGGAAACAACTGAATCAAATGATGGAGAGTGGACAGCTTGTACCTCTGGTAACTATATGAGACAGATTGATGTCAAGGAAAAATTAAAAATTTAGACAATTTTATAGGCTTTAAAGGGTGAAAATATTCATACCTCCAATATTTTAATGTCTGTCAAGAACATAGTACTCGGGGAGGGAGGCTACCTAAGGCAACATTTTTAGTATTGGCTGTTGATTTTCAAAAATGAAAAAAAAAATGACTTTTATTTTTACTGCATTTCACAGCTGATGAAATTCTACTCTTAGGATGTAGCTTTATAAAAAGGGTAATTCTTCCATTTATGTCCACTTTTATTGGTATAATGGCACTAACATCACTGCATTATGAATTCTATTTTCATTTCATTGTAATTTATCTCAATTTCAGGAGACTGTGTTAGATCTTTTGAAGGAGCAGATGGTGAAGAAAGCCAGCTCTACCAAGGGCTTTCTGATAGACGGCTACCCCAGGGAGCTGGACCAGGGAATTAAGTTTGAAAATGAGGTATTGAAATAGAACTGACTTGATAGCTTCTAAACTGTAGGAATCCTTATATATGTCCTTGGTCACAATGGTGGGGAAACAGTACATTTTGCTGTTAAAACTGCTGTGGCAAGCTTTAAAAAAGAAATTTTCAGCAGAAAGACCACGTGCTGCAGTAATAATACATGTACATGGTAATTATACAGTACCTATAGTTGTAATTTCAATACAGTCACAACTTAGCTTAAGGCATGTACAAGTAGAACAAAAGCTTTACCCATAAAATGCCTTTGAAAGTCAAAATTCAGCTTAAAAACATGATTTAATTGCCCACTTTTAGATAAAAGAAGTAGAGTGTGTCGTCTACTTCGAAGTCAGTGAAAAGGTCATGAAAGAACGCCTAATGCACCGCGCCAAGACAAGTGGTCGTGTAGATGACAATGAAGAAACAATAGCAAAAAGACTGAAGACATTCAAAGAATGTACCACCCCTGTAATAAAATACTACGAGGAGAAGAAGAAAGCTGCAAAGGTAACTTTTGATTGGTTTTGTAATAATTGACTTTTAACTGCTTTGTTCACCTTCTAATCATAGGCTTACATTAAAAAAAACATTGCTACAGAGAAGATATCAACTCAACTACACTTCTTATTTGAATGTGCTTAGACTCACTTCACATCTGTAAGAATTAAGTTACCCCAAGTGCCCAGTGATAAATTTTGACATTCTTTATTGAAAATAATTAATTTAGAGGTACTTGCAAAATGTAAAGAACTGCAATTAAAATAAAAATAATAGACTATTCGTAATTATCAAATATAAAATATTTTCTTTTATGTCCAGTTATTCTAACTTACAACATATCCAGTAAAACCTTCTAATTGTGTTTTTTATTACAGGTCAACGCAGAAGGCAGCATTGACGATGTTTGGAATCTAACAGAGAAAGCTTTGGACCAGTTTGCCCAGTAGAAATAACTGCCAAATCTCATCTAGCACACATGTACCCAGAGTCGCCCCAAGTTTGAGTGACTGACCCTTCAACTGGCCCCAGTTTCACAAAAAAAAAAAAAAAATCTCAAGTCAGTTTCCCTGGCTAAAAACTTAATAACCAAGGTTACATAGGCACATCTTACCCTATCAGGAGCAGTGTAACATCACTGTCATGGAAATCCTAGTCAACTAAGCCAGGGAACTGACTTAAGTTTTTTGTGAAACTGGGACCTGGACTTAGGTAAAGTGGTCAAAGCCTGTGTCCAGGACTAGAGAGAAAAACACTGACCATGCAACTTATGGGCAGCTGTACTGAACAAATGGGGATTTAGATCTGTAGAATTATTTTTAATTAAATTCATGGAAGAGTTGAAAATTTGTTGATTAAAAAGCACCAAACTCCTTAAAGGAGTTTATAGAAGAGGCACATCAGAATTTATAAAATACTGGGCTCCTAAATTATCATTGTCTGGCACAAAATTTAGTTGTGTGTGTAAATGAAGATCAATTTTCAGATCTTGCCTTTTTTTCTTTTACCAATTTTGTTCACCAATTTTTCAGTTGTGCTTACACCACTTTGTGCAATTAATAATACAATGTCTAAAAAGGTATCTGTTTCTTACACAGCACTGTGTATTTTAATTGTGTCAAAAATTTAAGCTGCTTATTCTTTTAAGTCAACTTCACTTGAAGTGAATTTTTATGTCATCAGCAATTTTTCTTAATTTTCTTAAATACTTAAGGTGCTTATTTCACTTTGTTCATTTTCTTCACATCTCTTTTAAGTGGTATTTTATTTATTTTTACACCTTCATTTTTATGTATTTGTCCACAAGACCTCAACATCAACTCATAAGAGGTCTTTCACACTTTTGTGTCTAAAACTTTCAAAATAAACTCTAAAAAGTATAAATAAAACATAAAATACAGCAAACTTCTTCCCAAACAAAAATTATGGTGCCTCAAGTTCAGTTATTACACTGGGTCAGGTTTCACGCTAATGCTGCCATAACAAATGTAATGATAATTTACTGGCGCCATCTATTTCTGGTATGAAATAACGTGATGGATGCTGTGATGTAGTGTCAGACACAGAACCGACTGAACTTGCCCCCTGAATGTCAGAGTGCCCTCAGAAACTGTCCAGAACTTAATAAATGAAGGCTGCCTATGTTTGAATACTGTGAAATGCAGGGTAGTGTGTGCTAATTAAATGTAAGTTTACTATCCCAGCTTGATCCCAACTCTGCTGTGATACAGATAATTTATTCACGGGATGTTAATGATGTAAATGTTGCTGTACATATGTAAACATATATGTATAAGGTAGAGGCAATCTGAAAGCCTGCTTTGAATAGATGATACCACTTCTGATCTCAGCGCAGTGTGCAGCTGTTATTCTTATTTGTAGAACCAAAATTTAAGGAATAAATGTATTTAAAATAATGTTCAGTTGTTTTATCTTTCGGATATCAATATTTTATCTAATATATTGAACACATACTTAAGTAGATATGAAGTTGAATGTGAGTAGTTGAATGAATTTTTGACATTCAACAAAAAGCGAAAAAAAATCTTTTTAAAATCATTGAACACAATAAAATGAACAGAAATAAAATCAACATGTGCAATTTTTATAACACTTATTTATAATATATATAATTAAAGTCACAGTAACATATCAGTTATGCACAAGTCAAAGGATGCCCACTGCTTCTTGTTATAAAAATTGTTTTCATCCATTTATTCTTTGAATAATATTTTCAAGGACTTTTTTAATTAAAAAGCACTTTTATTTTAATTTTTTGTGCATAATTGGATTTAAGCTATGATTTTAAAAATAACTTTCATGAGTAAAAGAAACAGTAAACATATTAAAAATTAAGCAAAATGAATGTGCAAATTGCAAAAAGCATATAACATGTCAATAAGTGATCAACAGCATCACTACTGCTTTCAACTAAAGAATGTAATATAATCTGCTTGCCCAATGTGTAACAGATAGCTATTATATTTCTTGTCAGATAGTTCTTTTTTCCATTGTCACTTATGATGGTAAAAAATAATCTTTTTATGACTTCATAAGGCAACAGATTAAAATAAAAACAAAACATTTTATCTTCTCCAACCAATTTGATGTAAAATAGTGGGTCCCTTGCTCACTACATGTATTACCGGGATTGAATGCTGTATCAAACCTAGAATCCTGAGTTTTAAAGTCAACTTGTAACTGATTGTACATTTGTAGCCTCTCTATGGCTATATTAGGGCGAATTCCCATAGATGTTAGATCGATCTATCCCTGTGGGGAGTCTCACTAGATTACTGTCAGATAATCCAGCGTCTGCCCCGCCTACTACAAGCTGTAAGGGGGTAATTAACTTCCGTGCGCGGTGGCCTGACTGCAAATTAGCATGAACCCCCAGGGAGTTAGGTCGATCTAGTAAGATCGATCTAAATCTCTGGAAATGCCCTCTTAGACTCCCTCCCCCACCCCCCACCCCCACCCCTATATACTGGGCAGAGATACACATACTAGGAGGAAAGTTATTATGCACCTACTGTATACCTTGAAGCTTATGGCACGTAATGTCTGGTAAATTGTGCTTGTTATCCAAACTATAATATCAGTGAGACTAATTCAAGAGACTAAATACTGCACAATATGTAGTGTACAACATTATACACTATCAACTATAGTGTAGCATTAACTATATACCCCCTGGTACTTGTAAGCAGCCTTTTTAACTGTGCATCATGAAAAATACATATATTAACCAAGAGATCTGAATACGTTTAGCAAAATGCCAATAACTTAACTTCATTAAGTATCAGCTGTCTGTTCTGCTGCATCCCCATCATTCAGTACATCAGTTTCACCAGCATCATCTTCACCAACCACATCCCCTACCTCACTGCCATTGTCCTCATCACTGCTGAAGATATCATCATATATTTCCCTGTCAATTGTTACCCTCTCTCTGTCACCCTGAGCTCCCTCGCCTCCGTGCATTCTACGTTGCTGTACCTGGTCTGGTGTCTGTGGTACATGTCTTTGCTGGTGATACGGGTTGTCTTCTTCATCATCGCTGTAAATGTCATCTTCACCCTGATCTCTATAAAAAGGTCTTGGAGCCTGCGGTTCATGTATCTCTCTTTCAGAAGCTTCAGGTGTTGTGGTACTGGTTGGACTGTTAGTAAATTTTCTTATGATAAATAAAACGAACAGTGACATTAAAACAGTTACCCCAAAGTGAAAGAAGACACTGTTGCGACTCTCAACAAAATAATAGTTCCCAGACTTTAGACCATAATCCAAAAGTTTACAAGTCAGGATCTTTCCAGACTTTTGTAAAAGTTTCAAGATGACCTTCAAGTTGGTCCATATGTTACCGATGTGCTCCCCTCCTTGCTCAAAAGTATTCTGAAGGTATTCCTCAGTGGTCCCTGCAGTCTGTTCAGAAGCGAACATAGCAATTGCCATCCCAGTACCAGAAATAAACTGCCACAATGTAGTGAAAACCAAGCAAAGAAACTGCCATAACTGAATGGCTGAAGATTTACAATTATGCCAAAACTCTGCATATTCTATGTCAAAAGCAAGATCACAGATGTCAAGTACTACAACATAAAGTGCACCCAGCACCTTGCTTAATATGAACCATATGTAGCTCATAACCTCTATGATATTAGACAATATCACAAAGGAAATTTTGATGATAAATACCAACACAAGTCCAGATAACTGTAATGCATTCCATCCTAGATGAAGGAGTTGGTCTTTCAATATTTGTTTCTCTCTTTTTGGCATGAATGAAAATAGCCCTGCTGAGATAATAATTGTGGTAACTGTTATGAAGAAAAAAGTAGTAAATGCTCTATCTACTACATGAGGCATTGTGATGAGTTCTGTGTGCGTTTCCTTTATCTTATGAAAGACAGTGTGTATGTGCTCAGACCATCAGCTGTATGTATTAATTAACACATCAGGTTTGTACATGTACATTTACTAGTAGTATAATGGGGTTCTGTTGTCATACTGTCCATTTGCTTCTTAACCAAAGAATTCACTTTGACTGTTTCTGGCCAACTGATACATGTAGATGTACTTGTGGTGACACTTTATGTCAACAAAGTTTCCTGCAACTCTCATGAAATTATCCCAGTGGACATGCAGTAATATAAACATCTAATGGCAGCAATTTTACTCCAGGCCACTCTTTGGGAATTTTTTCAGCTTCAACACTGTCAGTTCAGTGCCTAAATATTGTGGATACTGTACAATCTGTGTACCTTTCCCTTTAAGCTAAAATAGTAAAAAATGAAAATAAATTAAAAGTACAAACATGCACCTGCAGGATAATGAAAATCAATATATGATGCATACATGTACATGTATATTTAACAGGGTGCAAAAACATTAATTGATGCAGTGATTGTTATGAAGAACATGAAACTACATCTCATACTACACATATTCAATAATCAATGTCAACACATCCTAATAAATCGAATTTACAAAACTGAAACTGCAGATTTAACAAATTTAATAAATAACCATATAGATGTTTTCCTACCCTAATTAAAATGACAACGGCTTCGCATATACATCATAATTTCTTGTACTATAAAACTTTCTGTTACAATCAACATATAATTAAAGACACTTTATTAACCTGCGTGCTTCGCTGTTCTCTGTATTTTTTCCTCTGGAACAGAATGGAATGGAGGCGCTTTCGTTATCGACAACATATGCTGCTGCTGACTCGCAGTGTATATTTGTCAGTTTCCTATTGGTTTAATTTTGATAAACACCGAGATCACTTATTCAGTAGCCTTTGAACACGTAACGGTTCTTCACATGTTATAATCATGTCACTAATAATGATAACCAGTTCATAATTTGAAAAATAAAAAATGACAAGATAATAATAAGACTATAACAAGACAAGTTAATTTGAATCTACTTTGACAAGATAAGACATATGGTGTTGTCATGGAATCAATTTGTATGCTTCCAATAGTGTCACATAACAAAGACTTGAAAGTGTGAAATCTGCCCCGTTTCTGGGTGTTATAGTTTGGAGAAAATCGTTTCACTTCCGTGATTCCCCTGAACTGAAGGGGGATTCCCAAATTACGTCACAGGAACCTCGTTCTCGCAAGCGTTATCGCCAAGATGGCGAGCCTGGAGAGAAAGCACGAGACAACAACAATACAGATAAATACTGAAGGTGACAACATGTCATAGATAGAGGAAAATTCACAAAGTACCACGACAAACGAAAACTGCTTCTTTGAACAAAAGTTGTGGAGCAATTAGAAGTTCTTCCCTTTCTAAAATCCGGGAAAAACATGGCATCCATTGACATTGTTAGCTTGTTGACTGGGTTAGTTCAGTTTGTTGGTCATACTTTCACGACTTCGATGGACATTATTAGCACTGCCCTGTCCGTTAACTATCAGGTCGTTTCTTCACTCCTTAAGTTAATCTTAAGTACCACAAACGCTTTGATTGCCGTCTTATGGGCGCTATATGGAGCAGTATGTGACGTGTTATACTATTTACTAGAGTTTGTGGTTGAAATCTTCCATTTGACAAGTATAGCTACCAAAGGTGTACTAAAGTTGGGATGGATCCTCTTCGATGCTGTAGGACTCCTAATTCACGCGACGGAGAAATGTATTGCATATCTTTGTGGCTGCCTTGTATGGATAGCCAGACTTGTTGCCAATGAAATCACAGCTTATAATAGTGAAACAAATGAGATGGTGCGCACCTTGTGGAATGGAGTATGTAATATAGGGTCATTTGTTATTCTGTTTTGTAACAGTGCCGTCTCGCTAGTAACAGGGTCATGTTTGGAATTTTTGCACTTCATGCAGCATGTTTGTTTTGCTGCTCAAAATACAGTGAAAACGACAATATCTTCAATAGACAGTAGCATGGAATCATTGCTGCAGTTCGTATTACAAATCCCCCTTGATGCCTACATTGGGATAGTGTTTTGCATTGGGGTGATTCTTTGGCGTATCACAGGTCAGGGTTTTCATCTCTCTGCCTTCAGAGCCAGTGACACAATGGAGATAGAACTACAGGGGGAAGGAGCGGACATGTATGCAATAGACAGCAGTGATGATGAAGCTGACGGCAATGAAGAGAACTCCATCGCTGATGAAGATGATGAAGAGGAGGAGGAGGATTTTACTGATGCTGATGAGAACAGTGTAGACAGTCAGGATAGAGTTTCTATCACTGACACAGACAGTGATGATGGTTCTCCAGTTGAAGAATCGGGTGACTCAGAGGGCTCTGATTCCTCAGACGATGCACCCGTTCATGTAGAACTTCCACAGGGGTATGCTCTCCGTTCTAGAGCCTCGCCATCACCCATGCCATCTTATAGCAAAGGGAGCAACCCAGATACTTTGGTGCGTCAACTAGAAAGTGAACGAGATAAACGTTTATGTGTTGTGTGCCAAGACCAGGTGAAGTGTGTGCTCATTCTTCCCTGTAAACACATGTGCCTGTGTGTCCACTGTGCCCACCAAATCACTGCGGCCAGAATGGCCAACAGGAGAATATGTCCACTCTGCAGAACTAGGATTGAGAAAGTGATGAATGTTTACGTGTAGAGACATCCGTGACCAGTTGCGCCAAAGTCGGATTTCATTTTGTGCAAGATTCAGGCAGGCATTGTGTGCTTCTGAAAATGGCGTAAAGAATGTGTCACAAACAAAATAATAATAATAAGAAGAAGAAATTAATGAACTTAAAATTATTTAAAACATTTAACATAGCTTTATTGTAGGATATTGTCTTTTTTTTCCACTTATTTTGTGAAAATGGTTACTTGAGTATTTTTTTTTTTTTTTTTCAGATGCATAGTAAGGGTACTTTCTAATCATTCACTTTGCTTCTAGGGAATTTTGATTTAAGAATGGGTTCTTTGGCATCTGCTTAAATATGAAATCATAATGGCCACAAATCTATAACCTCATTTTAACATCTTGTTATATCTGGCCCTTATTTTAATTTATAGGCTAAAATGTTCTTAATTATGTGTAGAGCTCAAGATTAAATGACTTGGTGCCTGCAGTTTTCATGTTACAGTAGTGAAAATGGTTCTAATTAAAATTGCTCAAGTTTTCTCTCTGGTTATACAGATGAAATACCAAAAAATAAAATTTAAGAAGTACATCTTTGAATGTGCTTTAAAAATTCTGAATTTTATACAGTGTATATTCAATTTTTTTAAAGAAAGGCATGCTGCCCAAAGGAATGAGGAAAATGCACATGCAGGTACTATGTTCTCCATTTATTGTTGATACAGTCTGGTTCCTGGTTGTAAATTTGCCCTCCAGTGGGTACAGCACAGAGGGAAGTAGTGCAAATTATTTTGAGAACTAATGTAACGGAACTTGCATCCCTCAAAAGTTATCTCATTGAAAATTACTTGGTGGCATTTGGTCGGTTTAGCTGCAAAAATTTGACATTTTATGGCAGCGAGGAATTTTTTTTTTTTTTTGGGGGGGGGGGCGCTTAAATTTTGTTACCACTTAATAATTTTAACAAGTTTATGGACATGCTGTGAGGCATTTGCAGCAGGAGAACTGCTTACTGTAAAAAGTTGATGCCACTTTTGTTACTTAATGTGCCATGCCAGCCTCCAGCTAATATCAACTTCACAAACTTTCAAATGTTGAACAGCTGAGCATGGAAACCAGGAATTGCCACGCTTATACAATAAGAACTACACAGTTCACTTCAATACATAATACTGATTTATTCTAATTCAGTCTTTTGTATAAAATTTGGGCAAAATGCTGATGTTGTTTCACTTCCTGCGACCGCTGCTCTTGACGACAACTGGGCGCTGACTGCGGAGAATCGCACTTGCACGACGCAGAGCACTCTGAAAAAAAGAAATTAATTAAACACATTAGAATAAAGAACCAAGTGCCCAATGCTCTGCTCATTACCATTTTCTCCAAACATGTTATCTTCCTTTTCTCCACTATCAAATATGATCTCAAAAATACTTGGTTTTAGTTATTGTACCAGGGTACCCGAGTTATAAATCATCTACTCTATAACACATAAACGCCCTTAATCTACAGTTATTTCTTAAATGTTTTCCAAATAGGCTATTAACAGAAAGACATATACTCACCATTTTAAGGTCCTTCCTGGAACCACCGACCACCTTCCTGATGGTGCTCAGGGTGCGACGGGAACCCTTCTTCAGCTCTGTGCGTGTATACCTGGCAGCTGGCTTCCTTTGGCCTGCAATTGTCGCAAAAAAATACCATGAAAATTGATCATTTGGAAACTCTTTTAAGAAACTTCAACCCAGGCAGGTTTTTGTCAATTTAGACCAGTTAAAGTTCACCGACCGAATCTGCATAATTCCACAAAACTGTTGTCTTAATAACATACAAGTATAAAGCAGTAATTTACACATTATTTGTACACATAACAGTAATGTAACTTTTTTCAAAAAGACACATCAAAAGAAATAAAATGCCTTCAAGATTCTGACTTTGGATATTTGTTTACCAAAGTCTGAAATATCTGATATTACATCTAAAACCTGGGTCATCACAATATGCCTGGTGGCTGAAGCCAAATAACTAGAACACATTGTGTGATGTCCAATACCCGGTTATGTCATACTGACCAGTGGCCTTGGAGGTGACCAGGACCACCCCCTTTCCTCCAGGGGCAGCCTCCACGCCAACTGTCTTCTTGTGGACGAGACCATTGTAACGGAAAGAGTTGCGGTTCTTCAGGTTGTTGGGTTCCTGGAACATGGGCACAAATAAACTTTAGTAGTTTGTAAAAAATAAAAAAACACCAGCGCTGTCAAATATACAGATCTTTTGCTGAAAAACAGTCCTTCCGATTGCTCAGTTTTGAACGTAAGTATTGGAATACACTTAATGTTACTCTGTATGCAGACATGTTATGACTGTTGTCACTTTTTTTCATGAAACCAAGGCTCAAAACAGCATACTGGTTTTCAATCCAATGGCAAAAATAATTCATTTTCAAAATGGCTACAAATTATGTTTTTTTACAATTATCACAAGTTGATCATGCAAAAATCCAAATCCAGCACTAACATGCACCAACAAATGATAAAGTGAACAGGACAATAACTACCTTCAATTGTGATTACCAAATGTTAGCAATTGGATCATTCAATAAATTATTTCTTTAAACACAAAAATAAAAACAATAATTATTATCATCTCACAGCAGTGAATGTCTGTCCATTTCCCTTCCTGAGGAAGCAGGAGTTGTTCCTGATGATCATCCACTGTAGATCTGCTGACGACATCTTCAGAGCTAGAAAATAAATAATAAATAAAAAATAACTTCCACAACGTCTGTGCACTCCATACACTGACATTTACTTATCTTTTAACACAACCATCTGCATCTGTTGTGATTAAAAACCTTAAATATCCTCTGTCAAACAGCTTTCATCGGCTTCGAATTTTGGATTCTATAAATTTACTACTTACTACTGTGCCCATATTACACTGACTTGTCATTTTTGTAATCAAAATGTCGAACGAATAGTAAGTTTTCGTTTGCATAATCAGCTGCCATGACCAATAGTTTTAATTTTAAATGTCTACAGTATTCAGATGTAGAATGCTCAGTAAACGGGAAACGTGCCGACGAAGTATTTGAGGCGATAGACTAAGGTCGTAAGGAAAACTCGGATGCTTAACTCCGAGATCCGAGTACCATCTCCCACTTTCTATTACGACTGTTTTCCACCATATACGTTTATTTCAGGGCATTTTCAAATATTTAAAAGGGTTCATTTCGCAACAAAATCAATCTTGTTGGTAAACAGTGAAATTCAAACCATGAAATAACCACAGAAGATAGAGCACATGTTCCTAGCATTATACCTTCAATGGTGGCCAGCGAAAAGAGGTCGACCGGTTCACATATTTCATATCAATGCGCTACTTCCGCTTCAAGCAACTAAAGTAATTTATCAATAAAACGGGAGAGCTGGCTTATAAAATGAAGATGTTAAATGACAATTATCTTTAAAATGATATATATGAGTATTGTGAATCAGTGAGATTTTAATTTATGAAAAAATCTGTGAACTATTTTTTGCACCTGTAATGTGGTCTATCTTGATCGAGAAGGAAGCTGGCACTGCCCTCTAGCGGCTATTAAGGACGTGGACCCTTGCAGGTAAACATAAGGTATTATTAAGGTGCATGTGGATAAACAAACAAGAAAACAACGCACTCAATTATGCACTCTCGTATTTAATCGCCTGGCGGTTCTGGTCAATAACAACTTTAAATTTTGTATGAGTTTTTGAAGCAAGTTTTAAAAAACCACATTTTAATTTTTCACTCCTGTTTACCCAGTTTACAGCTAGTATACATGTACAGAGGTATGTCTCTGATATAATATATGCGTAAGCCACATAACTTATGTATGAATTTCCGTGCTGCTTAGTAAGTATGAGGGCTTTGCTAAGCTATAATAGTACAAGTTTTTGTTTGGTGAGCAAAATGTACTTACATGTATGTTTACAGAAAAATTGTGTGCATTTTGTTGAAATTGTCAGTAATGTCAAAATAATTTTTATCAAAAATATTAATTTTCAGGGAAATGGTAATGTCTGAACTTCCTAAAACTGAGGAGGTATTAGCGGAACACCTGTATGCCAAAGTACGCCTCCTGTGCCCAGCGTATGCAGAGAAGGTGACGGGAATGTTGGTCGAGAGTGGTAGGGAGGGATTGTTGCTGATGTTGAATGATGATGCTGTTCTCCAAGATAGGATTGTAACTGCTCTAAATACCATTGAAGAGTGAGTAAATTTATTGCTTGTTCAACTCTGAGAGAATGCAGCCATATTGAATGTTCTCTTGGTATATTAAGTGTATCTGCTAGATGCATGGCTGAGTTTATTCTGCTCTTTCTTAAATTTAACTGAGAGAAATGAGAAACTTCATCCCATCAGGTTTTCACTTATTTGTCAACTTATTCCATTAAAACAACATGTGCTAGCATCACCTTTTGATTTTATAAATAGCATATATCAGAACTATCAATTAGAAGACAATTTATGAATTAATGTATGCTAATGTTTACATGTAGATGTGCATAGTAGTACTGTACAGTATATGTTCAAGCAATAACTCCGTGGCATATAGAAGAACTGCAGATAAGATTTAAGCAGTGAGAATTTGTGGCATCTGTGTTTATTTCCTGGTATCACACACTCTAGCATTGTGTACACAAATAGTTACAGGTCGGATTCCTCATGCCATGGTGAACAAGAACCATGTCCCAAGGAGAGTGATCAAGACAGAGATGCGGTTGGGGAAGTTTTGTTTGAGAAAGTTGCAGAAATTGAGCCAGAGCTTAGTGCACAAATCACAGGTACATGGCAGAAGTGGGTAAATGATTGTCAATGAATTATGACCATGCAGACACATTTCAGTGGGGGATTTAGGGGGGATGTCAGGTCCTGACCCCCTTCCCCCCTTCGAATTCTGATAAAAAAAAATTTNTTCTTTGCTTTAACGTCCTCGCTATTCTTACATGTATCTATTGCGGGTTTTGAAAGGCCCGGTAAAACAGCACTACACGTGCTTTCGGCCGCCATATTGAAATTAAGTTTGGCACGCAAATGATTCGTAGCCTACAATGTGTAACTACGTTATAGATCAATATATATGCCGCATAAAAGATTGCAACTCCGTTGCAAAAATGTTTCCAACTGAAGCAAACAAACTACGTTTGTTTTAGATTATAATTCTGATAGAAATAGATCGCATCTATTTTCAGGCTGACTACCCAGCCGCATGTCACAAGCTAACTGAGTACGCATGCGCAAGCATATCTCATTTAAGACTGACCGATATTTTTATACGAAATAGAATTCCCCCAATGGCCCCCTTTTGAAATTAGAATTTCAACTAGATGAATCATAATTCTAAAAAACCAAACTAAATCATACCATTCGTCCTCTAAAATGCCAAAATTTTTGGGGCCCTTAATTTAGCAGTCCCAGAACCCAACACCAAGGGGGAGGGGGGGAATCAGTTAGCATCCGCAAACCCCCCCTTCAAATAATCCTGGATCCACCCCAGCATTTAAGTGTTTTAATAGGGAAAGGTATATAAATAAAAACTATTTTAAATTAATCTTAAGAAAAGCAATTGCTTATCAATATTCATAGATTAGTTTGACATGGTATTTATGATATTTATGTGATATCAGTCATTGTACAAGGACATTATGATAAATTTGAATAAATTGTTATCTCCACTGTATTTTAGATAAAAAATATTTTGTAGGTATGCTGCTAGAACTGGATGTCCACACACTTGAAAAACTTATAGAATCCAGCCAAGAGCTGACCATAGCAGTAGACAAAGCAAAATCTGAATATCTCAGGCATTGCAATGGTGAGATGAATTCTGCAACTAAAACTAGAGAAGAGCTTGGAGAAGAACTTTTCGAACTAGTGGTGTCCAGGCATCCGGAGAAGGCTGCCAAATTGACAGGTACAACAACTCTTAGATGTTAGTAGTGTGTTAGGGGTGCACCTCTTCACTTTCAGACTTCCTAACCCATTTTGTATCTTTGTATTGGTTTATTTAATAATTGCAAAGTTATTAAATGTTCAGGGCATCATATTAGACTTAGGTCTTTTTTTTTTGAAAGATTGAATAGCTTTTCTGTATGGTTGCTGTCTATTTTGTTTGTAGTAAAGTACAAACTTGCATCAGTTTGAACATTAACAGAATTTCATTTCAAGTAAATTACTGTTGCGGTAATAATATTGATATGGGATTGCTAAAATCTTTTTTGCACAATTCAGGGATGCTTTTAGAAATGCCATTGGAAGAGCTGCAGAGGGTATTGGAAGAGTCCAGTAAGCTGGATAAAGCAGTTGATTTGGCCGTGAAAGCTTTACAGGAAGAGGGAGAACCATGACACTTTAACAGAAGGCAGTATTCACAAAGTGGTGCTTTTTTTTCTTGTTAAACGAAGGCAGGCTAAACAGCTGAAGAATTAAGCTGAATTCCAGAGCTATTTGTAGTCATTACCAGATAGTTTACAGTTAGTACTAGAACAGGCCTGGTTTGGTTATAGTAGAGATCACAAACTCTTCTGTCAAAAACTTAGAACAAACCTTATTTTTTTCATAAAATGGGGGAGGGAAGCAGCTCCAAGTACTCTCAACTAGTGTCACACTCTGACACTGATGAAGATAGCCGACAGATTGTCAAAATATTTCATGTGAGCTATTATTTCTTTAGGTTTGTGACAAAAGAGCTTTTGATCTTTAGTACCATAGCAGCTGGCTACGAGGCATATCATGACATGATAATAAAGTCTGATCAAAATGAAAATTTGGGGCCACAACACTAATTCTGAGTAGACAGAGACTGGTAGTGAAAATTTCAGTATTTTAAGATTCAAATGTTGAGAAGTTTGATCATACTGTAACAAGGAATTTGTTTTTGCCTTATATCCAAGATTATTTCCCTGGCATATATCTACTGGTGCAGATAACATATATTTTATTTCATTTAATGTGCCATTTCACAGCATACAAAGACAGAAGTGTCTAACAACTGGTGTTGAATTGATATACTATATTCACTTTTTATATTCCTTTATGTGCATGTAGTGTTTACTGGTGCTAAATTTTAAATAGTTTTATTTTATCAGATATATTTTTTTCCTTCAAAACAGGAGAATTTCTTTATGATACAAAGGCATGAATTTAAGTTGAATAAGTACTGTGATTGATGTCCATAATTACAGTTTTTAATAGGATAATATCACTTTACTACATTCTTGTAACCCGACAGATATGTATTATGGAGGTTGTAGAAACCACCCAGAAAAAAAACAAACTTGTAATTATCCGACATTGTCCACTACACCCCCAAAATCCAGCTTTGGCAAACGGCCTATTTACAGATATGCCATTTAGCAGGAAATGTTCAGGAGAAATTGTCCATAAATGGGATTGTGTTCAAATGTTTTTGTGTTGGAATAAGCTCAAGGGTCCAAATGGCACCATTAAGAAATTAAAGCTTTCTGAATGTTTGAAGGTGTACTACTATCAGCTGTACTGCCAGTAACAGGATTTTACACAGTTGAAGTGGCATTGGGACTGGGTCAAACATACAACAGTATTTTAATGTTGTAGGATTGTTTCTTTCTTTTTCTTTTTTTAACATAAATTATTATTATTTATTTTATTTTATTTTATTATTATTTATTTATTTAATTTTTTTTTTTTTGGGGGGGGGGGAGGGGGGGGTCTCCTAGATAAGAGAACCTGATAGAGTAAGTACTAGTGACTTATCCCCCGTCTGCAGCCAAGGTGTAGAGAAGCCAGCCTGGCAGTGAACAAACTTTAAATGTCAAGCAGAAGGCTTATATGTCCTTCAGCAATCTGATAAGTACCCAGGGAGTCAGATTGTTCTGGGCATTTCTTTATCCCAGACCTTTAAGAATCTTTTGTCTTATTTAAGAATGGGACAATATGTAATCTTCAGAAATTTATCAGATATTAATCTTTTTTAGAATTTTGCTTTTTATTTTTATAAAGCTAGGTCTTGAAAGGATTAAATTTAAAAGAAAGATTTGGTAGAAAATGGAGACCAATTTCCTAAAACAATTTTCAATTCTTTTAATTAATACTTCTTTAAATGTGTATGAGATAAATTTGTTACATACCTTATACAAAATTTAACCTTCTTAAAATATGTGTATTTTAAAAATAATAGAGTAAGTTGTTAAGGAAAGGCTAGTATATATACTTAGTTATTAACCTAGGTGTTCTACTTAAGGTACACAAATAAAATGGTTACAGAAATGAGAAAATGAGTTTTGTGAGTATTCTTATGGCATTAAAACATATACTATATTTTAATGATGTGCATCCTTATCCTTAAAATGACTGGCAGACACGCTCCTTTCCATATACAAGAAATATAATGAAATTTACAACAAACTTACATCACAATAAAATACTTGAATAAGACGTCAAATAATAAGATCTTACTTTTCATCTATTATGATGGCAGTGGCATTGAGAAAATCAAAGCAATTTACTGTCACATTAATTATCAATAATTTTAAATTCACATCATACAAGACAATGTTTGTAGACCCTGTTAATATGAAAATGTTTGAGAAGCTAAGGAAATGCCAGAGTATGTACCACCAGCCATATCAGCCAATATCCCCAAAATTCAACTGGCAGATTTCTGAACTGACCATGAAAAAAATTCAAGACATTTTTTGCTTCACTTAACTCTCTGTTCACTGACAACTATAAAATATTTCTTGTTTTTTTTTTTTGTTTTTTTTTCGATACAAACTTATTCTGCCTTAAAATGATGGTCATTGATAAGGTTAAATATAATTTTATAAGAATAGTTTTGATGGTTTACAGGGATGAGACCAGTCCTCACTGAAAAAGGTAGGAAAATTGACCGGGGGTCCAGGGTACACGATTCATTAGAATGTCCTAATTAAATGACCCTGAAAAAGTTGGAATTCCAACAAAATTCATAAAAGTCTCATCACGGGTTTTAACTGTAACAGTATATTGCTCCGCAGCTGGCTAAAAATTCAGGAAGCCTTACTACACAGCTTCAGATGGGTATTCTTCGCACTCCTCCATCGGAAAGTTTTTTCACAGAACTGGCACTTGTAGGGATGCGGCTTGTGCATGCACCTCTTGTGCTCCCGCAAATATCGCTTCTGTCCAAACATACTTCCACATTCGGAACACCAAAAGTCTTTCTTCATCGTGTGGGTCTGGAGGTGCTGCTGTAGGTTGGTACTGTGGCTGATGACAACCTTGCAGATTGGGCACGTGACTTTGTTGAAGACATTCTCGTGGTGCGCGACATGGTGCAAGAGATGGCTGCTGGATGGAAATTCCTCACCGCAGATGTCGCAGAAGAAAGGCGCTGCTTGTACCTGTAACAAGTATTACACATGTAATGACCAGGTGTCAGAAGCCTGCTCATGTGCTGTAGCAGCATCCCTCATTGTTTGAAAATGAAAAACAAATGTACAAACTACACGATTTGTAACAAATTATAATCTTGGGCAAATACCTGAATTTGTTTTATTTATCCAAGTTACAATCGAACACACGGAACTCATATTTTCAACAAGGAAGACTAAAATTGACATTTCAATAATTTGTCCTGCTGAAAGTTGCGTCATTTTATTATTGCATTTTAAAAAGAATTCTCCATGAAGGGCTGGTATCTACATAATTCAATTTAATGTCTCTTGACTATCTTTTTAAAGAAGTAGGCAAACAGCAGTCCTGCATCTTTCATAGTAGGTTCATTTTATCTGCCTCAAAAGTGATGGGCAGCCCAGTTGTCTTCTGCTTCCAAGACACAATTTCTTTTACTCATTAAATTTAATGTTCATGAATAAATACGTGCATTACACTACATTGTTTCAAAACAACAATAAATATTTATTTATTATTAGACAGCATACTTTCATTCCATATTCCACATTTGTCATCAAATGCATAACAAATATCCAAAAAGAGTATATAAAAGTAACAAATATGTTATATTCTTCTAAAAAACATTGGACGAGACTTTTTTCATTTAGTACAAGACTGTTAAATGATTATATAAATCTTTAATAGGTATACCTTGCTTAACTTAAACTTAGTGTTTTTTTCAACTGGCAAAGGAATATGTCACAGAATATAAGTTTATAACATTTCTTATTCTACAGTAGAAGTGATTTGTCACTGATTAAAACAATCATTATTGCTGCCATGTGAAAGAAAAAGTGTTTGTCTAGGTATGGCTTGAACTTCTGAGTTGTGCAACCTTTCAGAAAAGCCTAGGCTAAAAAAAAATCCCAAATGATTCTACAGCAGGTTCCTTGTGATACAGTTCAAATACTCTCATCAAGTAGTAGCCATTGATTAATTGTCAACCATCAATCCCTGTGTCCATGTCTGTATGCTGTTACTAAGATTATGTCTCCAGTGAGGACTTCACCTCAGATAGACTGGGTTCCCATACCTAAAATGATCTAACAGGATTGATCCATCGTCAAGGGGTTTCTCACTAAATTGCTTTTAGCCTAAGTGGCTTAGATGTCTAGCGTTCCTACTGAAGCTGCTAAATGATAACTGATTACCCCCTAGCTGCTTCAGTCGACGTGACAGACATCTAAGCTGCTTAAGTTGATTGCAATTTAGCGAAAATCCCCTTGGAGATAGATCAATCCACAGTTAGTACGATAGGGTCTGGTAATGGTCCCATAGCGTCCTTCATAAAATGCCACAAATCAAATATACAATTTGAAGATAAAAATGTCAAAAGTACATTTCCGATGTTCAGTCATGAATTGATGACTTTAAGTTCTTAACTTTGAAACCAGGGAGATACATTCCACAGCTGCAGTTAAAACATGGGGGGTTGAGATTCCACAGGTTTGCAGGAAGTTTCATGAACAATTTTGCACCGCCTCCATCGAAACAATTCCCCACATTTGCGACACCTATACGAAGGTGGTTGGTGCTTCCGTTTCAGATGTTCAGTAAGATATCTCTTCAAAGCATATGAAGTTCCACATTTGTCACACCTGTACCTTTCTCCATTGCCTGCTTCGTGAATATCCATGTGATTGTTCAGGGAATATTTTGTTGCAAATGTTGATTTACATATTGGGCAAGGCCATGATTTTGATATTGCTTTCTGATGCAATGTACTCCGTGAAAACTGGTCTGGTAACTTTGTCCTGTGGGACCCAGCAGGAACCTGTAACAAATAAAAAGAGCTGTTATTTAAAATGATCAGTTACATGTAGGTGGTCAGTCTTCACCCTGACCCAAATGCCAATATACAATCCAAAAACTTAAACTCCTGCATCCAGCAGAGAATACATCAGAAAGTGCAATAACTGAATTCACTGAATTTATAATTAAACTCATCTGGACTTTAGCAATCTTTAACATCTAAGTATTCAATTTTATCTGTAAAATCTGTTAGTCATAGTTCACATTATGAAATAAAATGGGTTTACTCCTTGTTTAGGATAATTAAAAAAATTAAAGGCATCACACATTAATCATTAGATTTATTTTCCGATATATGTTTATATGAACATGCATTGTAAAAAGAGTAGTTTCACATACAAAATGACTTCTAACCAGCAACCTTAAACCAAGACAGGGTACATTCTACAACAATTATACTACTCATCTGCACCGAATTTATAAACTATACTGCCATGGTTGGAAAATAAATAAAACGAGTTTTCCTACAAACAAAAAAAAATGCTCATCACAAAAAAGGTGGGATTAATATATTAAATTTTCCTCTCATTTTTATTTTTTTCTATTAATTCTAAATAGCATAAAAACACTTACTTCCAATAAACAGAGCTGTGCTATGGCAGTGAACAGATTATTTTCAACCATATTTCCCAGCTTTCTTATGTCCTCTGTCAGGAATTCATAACCAACTTCTTGGTCCTCAATATCTGACATGTAAGTTATTCCTCTCTCTCTCTACACATCTCCAGAACACTTTGTCCCAATAAAATGGTACCGATTCCACCATTTGAATTGGTTTCCACCTTAAACGTGTTTGCCAAGGTGACACAAAAACCACACAAAGTATATATGAAAACTACAAATATTGAGAGGGAATATTCTAAATCCCCCTCTTTGCAAATTAGTTCATAAGTCTAGCATCAGATTAAGTTTTTATCTTCAGAAAACATTAAAAAAACTTGTGAAAATATTGCCTTTAAAAATATATCTGAGCCTTAACCACATGGCTTCTCTAAAATCTCAAATTTATCATCTAATTCAGCTGTCAGTACTGTGCAAGTATTTCTTTAGAATCAAAAAAGCCGATTAGTATTTGGTCCATAATCATATTATACATCTCCATCATAAACAAGGGAGACACCCAATGTAAGCTTTAATATTTATATAAATATAAGCGTTTCGTTGACTGTTTTTCTACAGACTGTGAAGTCTGTGCACCACTGTCATTTTCAAGTGTTAAGGCAAATTGAATATGTTCCTTATTATTTCTTCTTGTCTGAATTCTATGTAAATCTTCTTGCTCTTGTTTTTCTTCTGTTTTTCTGTTTCAAAAATTATTTGATTAATGTTCCTGAAAATATAACACTGGGTCGTAAGTCGTTTTATAACATGGTGATATACATATGATTTAAGGCATTTTATCAAATAAATAAATAAAAGAAAATAAAATTGACACTCCATGTTTAAATTTAATAATGTGGTTTACATCAAAATGCATTAATTTTAGAATCAATGTCATCTGGAATATGAATACTCTAATTTCTTTCATTTTTAAAATGAATGAAAGTGAGAGTTAATGTGCAACTACTTGCAGTCAGTATGACCTTATTTAGAAATAATTTGACCAAAATATCATTAAATTAATCACTGTTAGTGACTAATAACTAACCAAATTGTTCTTGATGTACTTTTTTAGATTTTGTATCTTTTGTTTGCATGTCACCAAGGATACCTGAGCCCACCAAAACTGACAAATGTCAGTTTCGAAATGGGAGAAAATGTTCAATGAATCAATCAGATTTGAATATTATTTCCAATGAAGATTTTGTGTTCACTCATTTAACACTTGAATAAGATGATGAAAAAGAATGCAATTAGACAAAAACAAGATGCAAACTTACCTCTTTGGTACGTGTATTACAAGGGCTGTATGTGCGGGAAATGACAACCGCTGTCATGCTGTCTGTCTACTGCTACGAAAATCCCACACAATTCTCATGCTACGTTAGAGGAATTGCCAATAGCAGAAAAAACACTGTAGTAGACAGGTAACATGATAAAATGGTGGGGGACAAGAAAATTCTGTATTGATTATACAAGTAAGAATACTGGCTTCCTTTCCACTACATAAATAGTGTTATGGGCATAACTGGATTCTGGATTTTTCAGCAAAAATTAAAATGCATATATCAGTAATAAAGAAAAGGCAAATGAACGATTCAATAGTTGAAATATATTCAAATTTTTATGTTGTTGCTTTCATCGATCATTTATTTTATGAATTAAAATCAAAAATTGATGGGTGATCATGACATGCATTTAGTGCTAGAAAGGACCTTTTTAGGTTTGGGGCCAATGCAACTTTTGTAAACATTTCTCTATTGCTAGTTTTTATGTAATCTTATTCATTCTTGTTATTTTCATATTTTATGAGATATATATTTTCTTTTTGATATTTAATTCAAGTACTGGGACTATTTTGACAATACAGTTCCATGCCGAAAACTCATATAAGATAATTACTTCATTTATTTTCAATATTCTGAATTAATTTCTTTGCCAACCTATTATCATGACAGTGAAAGTGCACCCCTCACCTGGAATTCTCCAGGATCCAGTTGATGTCCTGTGTCTTGCAGTGCTGTCCCCACCATGGAGAGATTCCCTGCAGTGTGTGTCACAGAATGTCCTGACAGTCTCTGGGGCACTGGGCGTCTCTTAAGCTGACACTGATTTGGTGACAGCGAGGGTGCACTCTGTGAAGATGGGGGAGGGGGGTGCAAAGTACTGTTCACCAATACAGGGGTGTTACCCTCTGAGCTGCTTTTTAATCTGACATCCAAGTCAGGGTCTGGTTCCACTTTCACCTCCAAAATGTCCTCCAATCCTTCACTGACAGCCTCCAGAGTTTGTTCTGCCAAGTTCTTGTCAGTATTAGCAGGGCCGGTGCTGGAGTCATACACTGGATTGCAAATACCAGGGGCCCCAGTCCTGGATTTCTTAGAGAGAGATTCCTGTTGCGTTGAAGCACATGAAGTTGTCACAGTAGCAGTGACGGATCTTTTCCTGGCTGTATTTTGAAACAGTCTCTTTGGGAAAGGATTCAGTGAGTTTGATGTACTCTCAGGTTCTGAAGATGGGTTTGGACTATTTTCTTGCGAGGTGCCGTCATACCACCCTGGCAATGTGGCTTCATTTTGTAACTGGACACCCTGTGAGTTGGACGTCTCTTCGCGCACCACTGTGGCGCCCTCTACTTCCTCCTCTCCATGAAACACTTTCAAAGCCTGTTCTATTTCAGCGACAAACTTTCCATCTTTGAAGCTGATCTTTAAATTTGTTAGTTCCAGTGAAATCATATTGTTCTGCTTTCCACGAACCTCAATGCTGTGTTGAAATTCCCCTGAAAAAAACAAACCGTCAAACTTCACATCAATATTCAGCACCCGCATGTCTTTGCATAAAAGATTACTTTATTTCTTGAAACATACAATATTTTTATGAATGCCAATTTTACTCCCATTTCTTCCTCTGCTGCTCTAAAACTCAGTGTCTGCTTGAACATAATTGTTTTCTTTCAGATAATGTCATACATTTCAGCATGTTCTACTGTACCTCATACAAACAAATTAAAATTTTCATTTATTTACATTGTTCTTGGACTTTTTTCTTATGTGTTGATAACACAAACAGAGAATGAAGCGAGAAAAAGAGCCTAATATAGATGGTCACTTCATACTGTATAATATTACTTAAACAACTGTATTATGCAGCATTTACTATAACGTCAGCTTTTATCTGTTTAAGGTGCATTATTTCAATCACAATGTTGTCAGTTAAATCCCTACCAGAACTATTTGTAGCAATAAACTTGCAAAGTTGTTTTTCTCGGACACCGGCACATGTCTGCACCAGATCTGTGGGCAGGTTGATATCAATTCTTGACACTTTCAGCATATTTCAGATTCAGTCTGGAAGGAAAACGTTTTAAAATGAAGAATAAAATCTGTGAGATGAAAACAACTGTTAACATTTAGGACACAGCCTATGTAATACACAAATATTTGTCACTTTCACCAGTGGCATTACAGATAATGCAGTGCCGCTTTGGCCTTGCTTGCTGGTGGTAAACTACTGACAATTAGCGTAATGAGAGACGCTAAGCGGACCATGCTGGTAAGCTTGGGCAATGTAGTAAATACACGTTTGTTTTTTCAAAGCATCTTTTTATGCATCTGGAACACTGGAAATTTTGTAATAAGAAGGTGATGTAAGATAATTAGATTCACAAGCACAACAACAAGAGACCGCAGATCAATGTGGTACTGAAAACAAAACGACTCGAGTTTCGTTTTTATGACACATGCCACAAACGCACCAAGTTCAGCACAAATTTTTTCCTGTAAATTATTCACATTTTCCCAGCAAAGTGTAAATGTCTGCTGACTCTCCAATATGCAATGAAAAGTGTCTGATTTACAAGACTTACAAGTTCTGCGAAATAGCATGAACGCCTGGACTTAAACGCAGCAAACTTAGTTCTTCTCCGCCGCTGCAGCACCGGATATCAGTCTCGGTTTGAAGAAAATAAAGGGTGCTTACCGCATGCGCTTTGCAAATAGTGTTTTCAATGTGTTTAATAATGTTTCTAAAATGTTTTGTTTTTGACCATATATATTGTGATTGTTAATATATCCGAAAAAATTCAAATAATATATAAGCACATGCATATTTTATAATGTGCTAAGCGACGCTTGGCCTTCGCGGCTGTCAAACTTAAAAACTGCTCCAAAGTCGTATTTTATATGTCTAAATATCCTGCAAAGCTACTTTCAGTCCTAATTCAGACGAAAATACCTGAGATAAAAGTGCATGATGACAATGCATTACCAGCTGAACTTGCTATCTAAATGTTATGTTCCGGTACGCACGAGAATCATTTAGAATTTTAATAAATTTGGACTAAATATAAAACACCGTCCAAGCCCCATGCTAGTGCAATGATTAATTAGTAGGCATTTTTCCCAAGGAAAATTCGATTTACAGGGAAAATCCCTATTCCGGTATCCGGTAGAGGAGTATATCAAAAAGTGACAATAGTCATAGCAGTTGACAAAAATATTAGCCTATCTTTGAATTTATTGTTAATTCTAATTAATATCACCATTAAGGTAAAAAAAAAAAAAGGCATTCAGGATTCGAAAACAGGTCGTTGAATCATAATTTGCTCAACAAATGTGTATAGCGTATACCTTGGTGATCTAGGACAGGGTTTTATTTATTTATTTATTTATTTATTTATTTATTTATTTATTTATCGTCTATCGACCTGTTTTTGAATTATTTATTTATTTATTTATTTATTTATTTATTTACTTATTTATCGTCTATCGACCTGTTTTTGAATTATTTTTTATCTATTTAAAAATTATTTTGTATTTATTTATTTGTTTAAGCCCTAGCGATAGGTCAAACCTGAACTGTACATGCATTTGGTATACAGTGTACATGTGTAATAAATCTGAAGACGAAGGGGGAGGGGAGTGGGGGGGGGGGGGGCTCTCGCGTAAAATAATCAGGCTATTTTATTGACAGTCTCTTAAAGCGTTTCGATAAAGATAAGTGTACCGTTGAGGTGAAAAGTGTCTTTCAGGATTTGCCGGGACGCTTATCCTGTGAGTCAGATGGGTCATAGATCAAACGCAGTGATCGTGTCTCCTGTCCCGGGCCAAGGTTATCAGTTGGACCCAACAAGCAGTGATTTCAATTAAACCGTTTTAAGGTAGGACTGCAGGTTGGAGATTTATCTTAAATCTAGTGTCTTAGTTTTACTTAAGTTTTATTCCTGTTGCAATTATAAAATGTATCTTCAAAACATCTAATTAAGCTTGAAACACAGCTCCAAATTCATCGTGTAACGTAATATTGGGATTTTTGGGACAAAACATCATTTTCGGTTTCCTGATTTTCTCAGGCATCTGGACAAATATAAACATACTTTTAATGATATTATGACACTTGACTAAAGTACTACAAAAGGGACTCAGGGATTTTTTCTTTAAAGACTTATTGTTGATTTTATCTATAAAAACTTGATTTTGAGCCCTAGTTTGAGCACAGCCCCACCTTACGACACTCGAAAAGCATGGCGTGCAGGTTAAAAGATTAGGGCTTACATAATCTGCATATAAATTAAAGCCAAACGCGTTGAAGCCAATCCCCTCGGTCTTAAACCAATGTCTGCGTATCTGGTGTTGGATGGGGTCTATCATTCTAGGATGTTAAAATGAGCTGATGTAGGACAAACTGGAATAAACTAGTTAGAGACGATAGACGGAGTGAATATTTGCAACAACTTTCACTTTTTAAGTGCCGCTGAATATATGCTATTCCAAGTAGGGAGTGATTTAATTACATTGATAATTTTTTAAACAGTTAATTATTCAAATTTAAGGAATCATATTTGCCTTCTGGAAGAAAGAAGAGAGAATACAAATTGTGCTCCAGTGCCTTTGGTGCTGCGTAAAAATAGGTTCAAGTGATTAGCCAAAGTTTCGAAGCGTGTAGGCTTATACGTTTTAAAACCTTCGACAGGTGAAGCGTTTCTCACCTGACAATGACAGGAGACAGCCTAAGACACACGTCTGATGACAGTGGGCGACAAATGGTAGAATATGAGGACATATTGGTTGAAGTTGGTAAGTCTACTAAGACTTTTAAAGTTACAACTAGACACTGTAGAAGGCAAGGGTACTTAAGCTGGGTTTGAAATTTTCTGCGTATTCTTCGGATTATTAAAAACAAAACGCGAAGAGAAGAAGGCTTTAATTCTATTAATAAAGGTTTTAAATAAGTTTTAATTTTGTTTAGCGATACTGAAAACGGGAACTTTTATAAGTGGGGCCAGACAGTCATCCAGCATGTTGACAAAATGCTCTCTCTTGCATCTTACATAATTTGCCTCATAGAAAATAGTGCTTGCTTTAACTATATAAAACATAGAATATAACTTCCGTATTGTATTTATATTAGTTATGCAGCAGCTGGGTTTCGATGTTTTTTAGTTCCAGTAATTTTTATTTTAATTAATTTTAGTAATTTTCCATAGTAGAAAGTGTTCAGTATGTAGAATTTTACGATACACTACAGTTTTTGAAAGGCTTAACTGATAACCTATACGGTTACTGTAACTAGCTTCGCCCTCTCTTTAAAAAATAAAGAAAAATATTCACAGTCGCGAGAGGTCGGGTGCTCCTGATTAATTCTTCTGAGACAGTGTTGATAACGCATGAATGAAGACCTTACAGAGGTGGGACCGCGCTGGGGAGATGGAGGGAAAGAACTCCGTTCAATGAACTCAGCCTTACTGATATCCTGAATCTTGAACCCATGCATGATAAAAGTTTTCCGTTTGACCCAAGCCACTATATCACTATCATTCTTTACACTTTACCAGAGGCCAGCTGTTATGACGTCAATCATAACGTGATGACGTCATTATGTGCAAAAATTCTCGCTGGACCTACAGGGTATATATGTGCTAATCGACATACAAATAAGAGCCAATTATTTCTGTCCCCGAGTTAATTGTTTTGTCTTTGTCGTTTCTAGGTGCGAAATACTCGTAACGTAATCTGTCTTCGCTTATCTGGCTAGCAAAGCAGTCTTGTCGTTGAGAGAGGGTTCCCAAAAACTGTCCACAGGCACATATTTTTCACAGAATTATGGCATAACAGTTACATTGTACAATTATGACTTTTAACTTGTCTTTAATGAAAATACATTTGGAGAATATCATATCTCTGTGAGCAATAATTCACGACTGAGACTGCAAGGCTTGAAGAAAATGCAAATTTTTGACATTACCATAAACAAATTCTTTCACAATGGCCCCGGTAAAGCTAGGATAATTATTCTTCCTTATTGTTGAATGCGACTTTTCTTTCGAACATTTAGGACAAATTGGATGGTACCAGCTTTCAATCGTCCTGATCATAGAGACAGGATGGTGCCTGAACACTGGTATGGACATGTTACTCTTGATGTTTGTTGGAGCCAATCCCGGCTGGACTTGCCCCGACCCCAGCGCCATCTACAATCAGTCTGTGACCAATTATTCTACCGGGCTAGTGACCACAGCTACCACACTATACTATGTGTATGAAAATAGCACAGAGTCTGTCCTGGGAGATGGGGTTGTTCAAAACGGCTGTGGTGTAGATAATAAGATATGTCCTGGATACGTCTTCAATACAGACTACACCTCCATAGTCACTGAGGTAACGAAGATGTATATTGTAAAAATTGCTGATTTAGAACAATTACTCTTTGTTATTACGGTACCTGGTCGATAACATTGATTCATTATATTTATTCGTCTCAGCATCGGAACTTTTTAAAATAACTATCATTATCAAAAATAATATGTAAAATTATGCAAAATAAATAATAACAANTGGCCTTGCTTGCTGGTGGTAAACTACTGACAATTTAGCGTAATGAGAGACGCTAAGCGGACCATGCTGGTAAGCTTGGGCAATGTAGTAAATACACGTTTGTTTTTTCAAAGCATCTTTTTATGCATCTGGAACACTGGAAATTTTGTAATAAGAAGGTGATGTAAGATAATTAGATTCACAAGCACAACAACAAGAGACCGCAGATCAATGTGGTACTGTAAACAAAACGACTCGAGTTTCGTTTTTATGACACATGCCGCAAACGCACCAAGTTCAGCACAAATTTTTTCCTGTAAATACTTCACATTTTCCCAGCAAAGTGTAAATGTCTGCTGACTCTCCAATATGCAATGAAAAGTGTCTGATTTACAAGACTTACATGTTCTGCGAAATTGCATGAACGCCTGGACTTAAACGCAGCAAACTCAGTTCTTCTCCGCCGCTGCAGCACCGGATATCAGTCTCGGTTTGAAGAAAATAAAGGGTGCTTACCGCATGCGCTTTGCAAATAGTGTTTTCAATGTGTTTAATAATGTTTCTAAAATGTTTTGTTTTTGACCATATATATTGTGATTGTTAATCTATCCGAAAAAAATTCAAATAATATATAAGCACATGCCTATTTTATAATGTGCTAAGCGACGCTTGGCCTTCGCGGCTGTCAAACTTAAAAACTGCTCCAAAGTCGTATTTTATATGTCTAAATATCCTGCAAAGCTACTTTCAGTCCTAATTCAGACGAAAATACCTGAGATAAAAGTGCATGATGACAATGCATTACCAGCTGAACTTGCTATCTAAATGTTATGTTCCGGAGAATCATTTAGAATTTTAATAAATTTGGACTAAATATAAAACACCGTCCAAGCCCCATGCTAGTGCAATGATTAATTAGTAGGCATTTTTCCCAAGGAAAATTCGATTTACAGGGAAAATCCCTAATCCGGTATCCAGTAGAGGAGTATATCAAAAAGTGACAATAGTCATAGCAGTTGACAAAACTATTAGCCTAGCTATCTTTGAATTTATTGTTAATTCTAATTAATATCACCATTAAGGTAAAAAAAAAAGGCATTCAGGATTCGAAAACAGGTCGTTGAATCATAATTTGCTCAACAAATGTGTATAGCGTATACCTTGGTGATCTAGGACAGGGTTTTATTTATTTATTTATTTATTTATTTATTTATTTATTTATTTATTTATTTATCGTCTATCGACCTGTTTTTGAATTATTTATTTTTTTATTTATTTATTTATTTATTTATTTATTTATTTATTTATTTATTTATCTGTTTATTTATTTATTTATTTACTTATTTATCGTCTATCGACCTGTTTTTGAATTATTTATCTATTTAAAAATTATTTTGTATTTATTTATCTGTTTAAGCACTATCGATAGGTCAAACCTGAACTGTACATGCATTTGGTATACAGTGTACATGTGTAATAAATCTGAAGACGAAGGGGGAGGGGAGTGGGGGGGGGGGGGGGCTCTCGCGTAAAATAATCAGGCTATTTTATTGCCAGTCTCTTAAAGCGTTTCGATAAAGATAAGTGTACCGTTGAGGTGAAAAGTGTCTTTCAGGATTTGCCGGGACGCTTATCCTGTGAGTCAGATGGGTCATAGATCAAACGCAGTGATCGTGTCTCCTGTCCCGGGCCAAGGTTATCAGTTGGACCCAACAAGCAGTGATTTCAATTAAACCGTTTTAAGGTAGGACTGCAGGTTGGATATTTATCTTAAATCTAGTGTCTTAGTTTTACTTAAGTTTTATTCCTGTTGCAATTATAAAATGTATCTTCAAAACATCTAATTAAGCTTGAAACACAGCTCCAAATTCATCATGTAACGTAATATTGGGATTTTTCGGACAAAACGTTAACATCATTTTCGGTTTCCTGATTTTCTCAGGCATCTGGACAAATAAAAACATACATGTACTTTTAATGATATTATGACACTTGACTAAAGTACTACAAAAGGGACTCAGGGATTTTTTCTTTAAAGACTTATTGTTGATTTTATCTATAAAAACTTGATTTTGAGCCCTAGTTTGAGCACAGCCTCACCTTACGACACTCGAAAAGCATGGCGTGCAGGTTAAAAGATTAGGGCTTACATAATCTGCATATAAATTAAAGCCAAACGCGTTGAAGCCAATCCCCTCGGTCTTAAACCAATGTCTGCGTATCTGGTGTTGGATGGGGTCTATCATTCTAGGATGTTAAAATGAGCTGATGTAGGACAAACTGGAATAAACTAGTTAGAGACGATAGACGGAGTGAATATTTGCAACAACTTTAACTTTTTAAGTGCCGCTGAATATATGCTATTCCAAGTAGGGAGTGATTTAATTACATTGATAATTTTTTAAACAGTTAATTATTCAAATTTAAGGAATCACATTTGCCTTCTGGAAGAAAGAAGAGAGAATACAAATTGTGCTCCAGTGCCTTTGGTGCTGCGTAAAAATAGGTTCAAGTGATTAGCCAAAGTTTCGAAGCGTGTAGGCTTATACGTTTTAAAACCTTCGACAGGTGAAGCGTTTCTCACCTGACAATGACAGGAGACAGCCTAAGACACACGTCTGATGACAGTGGGCGACAAATGGTAGAATATGAGGACATATTGGTTGAAGTTGGTAAGTCTACTAAGACTTTTTAAGTTACAAATAGACACTGTAGAAAGCAAGGGTACTTAAGCTGGGTTTGACATTTTCTACGTATTTTTCGGATTATTAAAAACAAAACGCGAAGAGAAGAAGGCTTTAATTCTATTAATAAAAGTTTAAAATAACTTTTAATTTTGGTTAGCGATACTGAAAACGGGAACATTTATAAATGGGGCCAGACTGTTATCCAGCATGTTGACAAAATGCTCTCTCTTGCATCTTACATAATTGGCCTCATAGATAATAGTGCATACATTAAATAACATGTCATATATCTTCTGTATTGTATTTATAGAAGTTTTGTCCCAACTGGGATGTCATTTACTAGTGTGATTATAATGAAAACATCAATTCGAAGTTTTTTTTAAATCCAGCAATTTTCCATTTCAATTAATTCTGGTAATTTTCCATAGTACTGTCAAGTGTTCAGTATGTAGAATTTTATGATACACTATAGTTTTTGAACGGCTTAACTGATAACCTATACGGTTCCTGTAACTAGCTTTGCCCTCTCTTAAAAAAAAAAAAAAAAGAAAAATATTCACAGTCGCGAGAGGTCGGGTGCTCCTGATTAATTCTTCTGATACATTGTTGATAACGCATGAATGAAGATTTTACAGGGGTGGGGCTGCGCTGGGGAGATGGAGGGAAAGAATTCCGCTCAATGAACTCAGCCTTATTGATATCCTGAATCTTGAACCCATGCATGATAAAAGTTTTCCGTTTGACCTAAGCCACTATATCACTATCATTCTTTACACTTTACCAGAGGCCAGCTGTTATGACGTCAATCATAACGTGATGACGTCATTATGTGCAAAAATTCTCGCTGGACCTACAGGGTATATATGTGCTAATCGACATACCAATAAGAGCCAATTATTTCTGTCCCCGAGTTAATTGTTTTGTCTTTGTCGTTTCTAGGTGCGAAATACTCGTAACGTAATCTGTCTTCGCTTATCTGGCTAGCAAAGCAGTCTTGTCGTTGAGAGAGGGTTCCCAAAACTGTCCACAGGCACATATTTTTCACAGAATTATGGCATAACAGTTACATTGTACAATTATGACTTTTAACTTGTCTTTAATGAAAATACATTTGGAGAATATCATATCTCTGTGAGCAATAATTCACGACTGAGACTGCAAGGCTTGAAGAAAATGTAAATTTTTGACATTACCATAAACAAATTATTTCACAATGGCCCCGGTAAAGCTAGGGTAATTATTCTTCCTTATTGTTGAATGCGACTTTTCTTTCAAATATTTAGGACAAATTGGATGGTACCAGCTTTCAATCGTCCTGATCATAGAGACAGGATGGTGCCTGAACACTGGTATGGACATGTTACTCTTGATGTTTGTTGGAGCCAATCCCGGCTGGACTTGCCCCGACCCCAGCGCCATCTACAATCAGTCTGTGACCAATTATTCTACCGGGCTAGTGACAACAGCTACCACACTATACTATGTGTATGAAAATAGCACAGAGTCTGTCCTGGGAGATGGGGTTGTTCAAAACGGCTGTGGTGTAGATAATAAGATATGTCCTGGATACGTCTTCAATACAGACTACACCTCCATAGTCACTGAGGTAACGAAGATGTATATTGTAAAAATTGCTGATTTAGAACAATTACTCTTTGTTATTACGGTACCTGGTCGATAACATTGATTCATTATATTTATTCGTCTCAGCATCGGAACTTTTTAAAATAACTATCATTATCAAAAATAATATGTAAAATTATGCAAAATAAACAATAACAGCGATTAAAATTATATAACTATTGTGACTATTTATCATTATTGAATGATAAAATATATTTTTATATAATTGGTAGGAGCCTCTGATAACTTCAAAAAGAAAATTGAATAACGATAAACGTACCGGTATACGATGTCTGTCACTTTGGGGTATNATTTAGGACAAATTGGATGGTACCAGCTTTCAATCGTCCTGATCATAGAGACAGGATGGTGCCTGAACACTGGTATGGACATGTTACTCTTGATGTTTGTTGGAGCCAATCCCGGCTGGACTTGCCCCGACCCCAGCGCCATCTACAATCAGTCTGTGACCAATTATTCTACCGGGCTAGTGACCACAGCTACCACACTATACTATGTGTATGAAAATAGCACAGAGTCTGTCCTGGGAGATGGGGTTGTTCAAAACGGCTGTGGTGTAGATAATAAGATATGTCCTGGATACGTCTTCAATACAGACTACACCTCCATAGTCACTGAGGTAACGAAGATGTATATTGTAAAAATTGCTGATTTAGAACAATTACTCTTTGTTATTACGGTACCTGGTCGATAACATTGATTCATTATATTTATTCGTCTCAGCATCGGAACTTTTTAAAATAACTATCATTATCAAAAATAATATGTAAAATTATGCAAAATAAATAATAACAACGATTAAAATTATATAACTATTGTGACTATTTATCATTATTGAATGATAAAATATATTTTTATATAATTGGTAGGAGCCTCTGATAACTTCAAAAAGAAAATTGAATAACGATAAACGCACCGGTATACGATGTCTGTCACTTTGGGGTATTTCAGTTAAAGCACTAATTAAAAGACTGTTGTTTTTTATATCACGTCATTAAATAATGAAAAAAACATTGTAAACGATTCTTATGAGAGTATAGATTAACAAAAAAACGAACTTATTATACAAAAATAGAATTACGAAAATCCCTTACAAAACATTACAGTGGCAGTTGGTGTGTGACATGGATTACGTAAGTGACACGGTTACCTCGGTGCAAATGGCCGGCGTTCTTGTTGGATCTTTGATATTTGGACAAGTATCTGACCTTTTTGGGCGGAAGAAGGTGCGTGTATGTATATGGACTTAAAGGATGGGTTGCTTTTCGGTATAAAGTATGTTAAGTACCATTACAGATTGTATCCAGAAAAATATCTTGGAGTAATCTAAAAGTCGAATAATAACTAAAGATCATATTGAAACAGATGTTCATGCTTTTCACCAATGTTTCAATTTTGTTTCACTTTTTCCAGACATATTATACTGCCTTGCTTCTCGTCTGTGTCCTTGGATTTGTGCAGTCGCTGACTTTCAGTTGGATCGTATTTGCTGTACTGCGCTTCTTTAACGGCGTGGCAATAGGAGGTACTTTTATACATACTGTGCTGTGCACAATTTATAGTCATCGTGCCATGTCCTAATGTTATGGTAATCAAGAAAGTAAAAATAGGAAAATGCGCCATTTATTGCACTTATGAATGTCTCCGTGTAATTTATAATAGAGTATTCCACAACTGCAGAAAATAAATATACGTTACACCTTTTAGAAGCATAACAATTTTAAAGGATGTTGAAAAACACAGTGCGTTCAAGATAAATCCACACTCTCTTCAAGGCGGAATTGTTGTTGGCTACATCTGGGGCTTAGAGTTCCTCGGGCCACGATACCGTCATTTAACAGGGATACTCGGAGTGTGGCCCCTGGGCGGCTGTATATTGACGGGGATAGCGTATGCCACTAGAGACTGGCGGAAGACAATGTACTGTACCTCACTACCGGGGCTGTTCTGGATGGCAGCATACTGGTGAGTTCAAGTACATGTAAGACTGGGTTCCCATGCATAGGTCGATCTAACAGGATCGATCCTCTAAGCCGCTTAAGTTGATTCCAATAAGCGAAAATACCCTTGGAGATAGATCGATCCACAATAAGTGCGATAGGGTCTGGGAATAGTCCCTGAAACTTTGGCCGTGTTCAGAATAGAAATTGTTGTGCTAGCAGCTAGGATCGGTATACATTTCAGCAGGGATTCTTGCTAAGGCGCAGGCAGTGTAATCAGCTTTATTTACTCGTAGCTTGAAGTACTTGGGTAAATTTGGGAAAACTTTGTGATATGGTCTATGATGTTGTGCATGTTGCTCTGTGAGGTAGCATGGCAGACAATAAAGCTGACTACATTGACTGGGCATTACCGAGAATCCCCGCTTAGATCGATCCTGCTAGGACGATAACTTCTGTTCTGAACACAGCCTTAAAGTTCAAAAGTTTAAAGATTGATGAGCACGATCTGAGGGCGTGCAGGTGTGACTTGAAATATGTGTTTGAACTTAAGATGAACTACACGTTTTCTTTGCTGTTCTAGATAGATCATTATTTCATGATCAGCAAAACTGGCCCAATTAAAAGTCGATATGAGGTTTGAATGAGATGCCTAGAATTCTGTGATAAAAACAGAAAACAGAGATACACGTATTTTGAATTATTGATAAGTAATAAGAACCACTTGGTGATATTATATAACTAACTGTACCTACCGCCAATTGTTTTCAGGTTTTTACCGGAGAGTCCAAGATGGCTGCTTTCTCAGCACAAGTACGAGGAGCTGCGAAAAATAACGCAGTTGATTGCTTCCAGAAACAAACGTCCAATGCCAGACTTTGACGACTTTGTTAAACGTTTTGAGGTAGGAGGAAAGCAATTTCGGTTAACGCACACACACATATATATGTACTACAGACGTGAAACACTTGTCTTTTAGTAGCAAAATAGGTGACGTATACCACTATGTGAGATGTTATTTGGAATAATTTGTTTGATTATTTGACATTAGCAAGATGGTCACCTGATAGTTCTGTTTTGTCTTCCTTAGGAAGGACAGACTTTGACGATGTCCCATTGTTATCTGCAATACACGTTTAGTGTTCGCACACAGTGTTGAGGAGTAACCTGCAAAATACACGTGCCCTGTCAAGGCGGAATGAACTCTCTCTTCGTCATTTTGAACATGAATCCCGTTTATAGTATGGAACTGCCATATTGGTGGTAGCCCCTCCCCCCTTATATATATATATTATCAAAGTGCCAGCCCCTGTAATAGGTTTAAAAGGGTGCTAAATACAACTATTGGATAGCAAGTTAATGGAAGAAAATACATTTATTTCAATATTGTTATCTTGACAATAAATGACCAGACACACTTTTGCAGGAGCAATCGTCCTCTTTGGCAGTTCACAAACACGAGAAGTACAACTACTGGGATCTGTTTAGAACTCCCCAGCTGACGTCACAAACATTTAAGTTCATGTTTGTTTGGTGAGTCCCGCGGGTAAAAGAGATGTGTTTTCATCTCTTTGGCCCCATTAAGAATGGATGATCCGAGTACTTACTGATCCGCCGATTAAATATGGCCGACGACAGTTCAAAAGCGATGTCGCTGATTCCTGATGGTCTCCGAGCCTGCACACTCGTCGTCGAATCAGCGCCATCGCTTTTGAACTGTGATCGGCCATATTTAGTTGGCGGATCAGTAAGTACTCGGATCATCCATTCTGAATGCGGTCTTTCTCTTATTCACATCCCAATACATTGGGTAACTCTTGGTATTTGAATGGGTCGGATCATCTGTTATCATAGACTGGCTGCCATCGGCTGTATAACGGTAATCAAGACATTTATACCATTCTGTTTAAAAGTGAAGTGGGTGAAATATAGACAATGGACATGCCTTACTAAGGTAGAATTTTCAAATATATTCCTAACTTTTTTGGCATCACGACCAAATTTCTCTTATGGCTAGCAAATCTTGGTGCAAAGTATTGGAACTTCCTTGAAACATAGCAGTTTATTCTTTTCTTTGCAGGTTCAGCGTCAGTGTCATAAGCTATGGCATGCGTTTTAACATCAAGAACATGGTTGGAGATATATACACAAACACGATTATCAACATGCTTACTCTTTTTATTATGTTTTTGTGTCTCTTCCATTTTCCAAGAATGTAAGTGCATTTTTAACTCTGCAATTTTTTTATCATACCTGCAAAGTTTCGTTTCATCTAGGCACTTATAGTCAGTTGATATCGTAAATAAACCATTGTGAATGGGATTGTGTTCATTACGCTCTTTCAGAACTGATCTAAAATTATGCATAGATCTTTAATTCTTATTTCCTTAGCCACTCAGGAATAGCTTAGAATCAAAATGAACTAGCAGTGGTTAAAAGTTTTAGGAATGAGTGCATTTCCAGCGACGTCAATTGTCTTATTATCGATAAAAGCTATATTTCCGCTGCAATTAATTATCATGACTATCAAGTAACTCTTTTTTTCTCAGCATCGGTAGGAAGAAAGCTGCAATATCTTACCAAGTTTGTGGATTTTTGTTTCTGATTCCAGTGATAGTGCTCTACATCGCCAGTAAGTAAATACTCTACAGATAGGCTTTTTTTATTTATTTGTTGACGACATAATGGTGAATTTGAGTATGTGTGCGCGTGGACTATTTGTGTGTAAACAAGTACCTGCAGGTGCGTTTGCATGGATTTCTATCCACCTTTTTCCCACCATAGTGGTGCTAATGAATATTTTTCTTCCAGACTTAAACGATGAACAGTGGCTGCTTACGAGCATTGTAATGACCATAGCCAATAATTTGGTTGGCATATCCTGGGGAGCCATGTTCCTGTGGACAGGAGAGAGTTATCCAACTTGCATACGGTGAGTATGTCTTTCCACAAAATATACCAGGTTTTTCAAAACAAACAGCTTACGTAAGTGCCAAGAGTTGCATTCTGTTAGCTACGGCATTTTGTTGTATGGTTCTGGCGATCCTTTCAATATATCTAAGCTTTGGCAGATCGGAGATTGTATTGAATTGCATGCGGTTACATGCACATGCATGCATTTGCCCCCAAAGGAACAGAACTAAGTAGCGTTCAACACCAAATCGACATTGAACATCATGGTTTCCGGACTTACCACTATACCCAGCAAACGCGTTAAAGAGCAATGACAAGATTGAAAAATACACGAATGTTGTCTAAATGGAAGGGCTTTACAATTATGTCCGAAACACATTGACCTGTTCATAAAATTACTGATATTAACTCTGTTACACCTATTGACAAAGATTCATATCATTTTATTCATGATTTAATCTTTATAATTTTTAAACTGATGCTTCCGTCTCCAGCGACATAGGGATGGGTATGAACTCGATGGCGGCTCGAATTGGCGGAATATTAGCACCACAAACAGCTTACCTGGTAAGACAGTCAACGTTAAGTCCTTCCAGTATGTACCTGATGCCCAAATCTTTCACGTTAATGGTTTTATTTGATTATTGAATTTTATATAGAAACGATGAACCATGCATATTTTACTTTACAGGGAATTGATATGTGAGTTGTAACTTTCGAGTAAATCTTTTTCTTTAATGTCATGTAATTTGAAGGTCTGAGTTTTTGATGATGAAAATGACCTGTAAATAAAGTTTCAAAAAGCTTAAAAATAACACCGACCAATATGTTGATTTTTGCAGCAAAAGCATTGGCCACTTTTCCCGTACGTAATAAGTGCAGTACTTGTGATTGTTTCCGCCATCTTGAATTGTTTCCAAAATGAAACAAACGACAAAGCCTTGGCAGACACTCTTCCGAAAAGGACATGGTGTTTTTGTGGACAAAATGAGGAAGAGGAGAACCATGAGGTCGAAGAAATGGTCATTAAGACAAGAAATGGCAATGTCAGTGACATTCAATTCAATACGTAATTAAACTGTTATCGACTTATTTACAACTAGAAGTATGTGTGAGCTTGACACGTGAACTTGTAAATGTCTTCACTGCCAACTGCGTGTTACTTTCAGCGATAACGAGGCAACTGTTAAGGAGGTGACGCTTGCTGCCCTCTATATGTCAAGGGCACAAGTCACCGGTACTCGGGTATCATGCCTCGTACATAGCTCATAATGACACATATGGTCGACTATGAGTATTGTTCAAAGGCAAAATGATACCATCATCATGTAAAAGTATATATCAATGTTTATACATGCGTGAACGAAAAATTAAAATGCAAACTTATCAGCAAAACTGATAGTTGAATTTTCCTCATACCTAGGTTGACTGTTGGTATAACTGATGAAACAAAGAGAATACGACACAGCGCACTATTTGTTAAATATTAAACACTGAAAAAAACAACATACTACTTGAATTGTAGGTGAAACATTGTGGAATAATCACGCTAACATAGCAGCAGCGAGACAATTTGAAAGCAGTAGTATTTTTCCCCGGGGTTTCAAACTGCTGTAGCATTTATTCGCTGTCTAGAGTGCAGCCGTTATCATATGGTAAGAGTAGTTTGCATATCATGAAAGCTCACCGATATCTGTCTGTGTCAATACAGGTGTGCCGAGAAGAAAGCATAGGTTTGTTCACTATCTACCGAACGTTTCGCTTTGTAAATATGACACAGCCCGAGGACATAACGGCACCTTGGGTTATATTATGTACAGGCAACCAGTTATGTCACCGTTATGTTGCCTTATACACGTGTGTGTGTGTGTGTGGGGGGGGGGGGGGGGGGTAGCTTTTCTCTTCAAATAGCATACGAAATAATAGACGAAGACACTTGTATTATAATATGTAGGGGTCAGGTATACGGGAAAATTCTTGGTTGTCTGGATCTGCGTTTTAAACTAGTTTTGAGAGGGAGAAACGAACTTGAGAAAGGAAGAAAGCCCCCTCCCCTCTCTCCAGACACCCCAGTAAGAGAGANCAGAAAAAGTGCACTCTCGGTAAAACTTGATCTAGGTGCAAGAAGGTTTTCATGGTAAAAGGTACATTTTTTTCATAAAAGCCCCCCCCCCCTTATTTTTTTTTAAGATTGCTGGCTACGGATCCTAGTTTACTTCTGGATTCTTTTATTATCTGTAGCCGGCTAATCCTGTGTCAAGGCTAGACGTAATGCCAGTTCTACTGTTAATTACGCATATAATAAAACGCTGTTTTTCTCGGAATTTCTTAATTTTAGTCAGATGAAAATAGAAGAAAGAAGCACCAGTAACCTAGGGCTCAACTTCGTTCAAATAAACAAGGGCCGAACCTGCAATAGATGCCGTGCAAAATGGGCAGTTTGAAGTTTTTTTTCTTAGGATTACAGTTCGGATTAGAGGCAGTAACTTTAACTACAAACAATGTCTATTAGCAGTGATAATAGTACCAGCACATTCAACACAGTCATACACGCTTGCTCACTTGCGCAAGTGTCTTGATTCCATGGCCCCGTATCTCGAAATAGAATCGGTTATGGAATCGAGACACTTGCGCACGTAAGCAACATAGCGAACCTTTCGAGATACGGAGCCCAGGTTAACTCTCTCTGCTTATGCCCGTTGCACCAAGACAAAAAATTATCATCTTTACTACGCCAGAGTAACGCTCCATTTCTTCACTGCCCAACAATACGTGGATGGAATAATTAGGCAAATGAGGAGTTCGCAGCTGCAGTCATAATGGAATGATGACATAACAGGGCCGTAGCCTCCGGGGGGGCAGGGGGGGCAGCTGCCCCCCCTGGGATTTAGAAGTTTCTACACTGGTAGGGGGACACCCCCTCCCCCCTCGGGGGCTTCGCCCCCTCGTGTCCGCTTACTGCCCCCCCTGGCATTTTGCTCAGGCTACGGCCCTGCATAAATAAACACAAAATGAGCATTTCAGTGACGTAGAATCTCATGAGCTACATTATTGCCTTTTGATTTAGAAATTAAAACGTTAATATACGTCACCTTTGCTGTTGTCTTGGATACACAGCAATAAAACCGTAAATGTATTCCGAATCAAAATATTATTATATAATAATATAATAATATAATAATCAAAATATTATTATATTATTCTAAAAAGTTAAATCTTTGATTTATTGGAGCCTGTTGTAAATGAGAAAAACGCGTTGGAGGCAGTACGTATTCCTATTAAGTTTTACGTTTGAAAAAATGCAAAAATTGCACCTGTATTTGCATCTGTAATATAATTTACAACAGTGTCAACAATTTCATGGCCTTCTTAACTATAGCTACAGGGGCGGATATAGGAAGTCTTCAGGGTCTTCCGGAAGACGGTCAGATTTTCGAGTTTACATTGACGGGTATCTAATTTTTTTATGTCAGAAGACGGTCAAAAATGAAGAATGGATCAATAAAGATAATTTGGAAGACCAAAAATATCTCAGTTACACCGTGAGATATATATCATTTAATTTAATCGAGCTTACATCTTGTACGTAGATTAAGAAATACAAGGGAAATAATACAGGCCTATTATATGAGCCTTAAAATGTTGATATTCTAAGCTTTCGTCTTTATGTTTATATATAGTAAAATATTAATAATAGGCCTATTAAATGTGAAGAAAAAAATGAATATACACTTTAGTTAGTTGTGGTTCGTCAAAAATTGTGAAAAGAAATAAAGAAACCGCACTGCTAAGAGTCAAGACTAACCGACATGTGTGATGACATTTAAATTGAACATATATGTTTATATACATACGCATATACATGGTTACACACATGTACTCCAACAATATAATTTTTTTTACACAAACTTGCTAACATTACCGACATCAGCTCATAATTTTCTCATCTTATTTCAACAAACATTAATATTTACGATAAGAAGGCTACTTAATTAATATTAGGTCTATTATAGGCCTATATTATGACATACATGCTTATTACAAAAGGATATAATTATATGACTTTTAAAACAAATGTTGAGCACATAATTAATTATGAAAAACAAATTATTTATTGTAATTATTAAGTTCAAGATACTCAGTAGGCCTACATTGATATTTATAAATTATAGGCCTATGTGAATCATTTGTAGGCCTAATAATGCCCAGTTTATTTCTCTTATTTAAACGGAATTACAATAAAATTACCAAACCTTTCTCATTATTAATATTAAGCAAAATTTTCATAAATATGGCAAAATAAATGCAGACTAGTCACGTTGTGTGAGTTACACATGTACCAATCTTCCTTTCGATAAACCCAAAATTTGTATTGGCGTATTGCACATTTGTATCCTCCCCTAAAAAGTCGATCATCAATAAACAACAAATTGGTCATGGACAAAAAGGATTTTTGCATCAAGTATTTCTTGAAGTATCTTTATTTTTTCAAGGTATTTCAAGGTTAATAAATATTATTGTTATGCGCCATCTAGATATAAACAACTGTCCTGTGTTGCCGTTTCCGCCATCTTGTGGCCTGTCCTGTCGTTTCTCCTAAACCGAGGCTGCATCTCAGAAGACTGCAGCAACAGAGAAGTTGAACATTTCTGCAGGTATTTTAACATTTTTGCCTCGTACTCTTTGAAGAAAAATTTAATCTGTTAAGACTATAGATGTCACACGTAATTATACGCCGGTATGGACGATACAGTTGATCAAAGTTTGCAATACAACCACTGGAAGTAACGGACCCAACCAACACTGGGACCCAACCGATTCCCACTCCCGCCATTGCGGCCATCTTCTGGCGGGACAAGCGGAGTCATATTTCTAGGATTATCCCTGGTCATGGCTATTGTAAAAATATGTCTTTGTTGCCTTTACTTCGCATATAACGCTAAATTTACTTATTGAATCACTAACAGACATGCAGTAGTATTTTCTTATATATGTTTTCTGTGGCTTTTTCTGTTACCCAGCACCATGGAAGTTTATCTGCCTGCACAGCTCAATAAAGGACTTGGTTATGATAGTATATCACGCTACAGGGCATCTACCGCAGGGCAGATCTAAAACCTGGGTAAATCCTGCATTCTTTTCCAGGTGACTGGCTCGTGGTGTTTTTTTTTTTTTTTTAACAACAAAGTAGTTGCACCATGCAAAAAAGAATTCACACTGGAGAGAAACCTCACAAATGCAGATTCTGTGACAAATATTTTATGAAACAAAGTGCTTGCACCAATCATGAAAGAATTCACAAAGGTGTGAGACGTTACAAGCGTAGATACTGTGACAAATATTTTACAGATCAAAGTAGTTGTACCGGGCATGAAAGAATTCACACAGGAGAGAAACCTTACAAGTGTAGATTCTGTGACAAATGTTTTGCACAAAAAGGTAATTGTGTAGGGCATGAAAGAATTCACACAGGAGAGAAACCTTACAAGTGCAGATTCTGTGACAAATGTTTTACAGTACAAAGTGGTTGCACCAGGCATGAAAAAATTCACACTGAAGAGAGACCTTACAAGTGTAGATTCTGTGACAAAAATTTTAAAGAACGTCGTGTTTGCATCGATCATGAAAGAATTCATAATGGAGTGAGACCTTACAAGTGTAGATTCTGTGACAAATATTTTAGAAAAAATAGAAATTGCACTTTGCATGAAAGAATTCACACGGGAGAGAAACCTTTCAAGTGTAAATTCTGTGACAAATATTTTACACAAAAAGGTAATTGTACTTTGCATGAAAGAATTCACACAGGGGAGAAACCTTACAAGTGTAGGTTCTGTGACAAATATTTAACAGTACAAAGTAGTTGCACTTTGCACGAAAGAATTCACAGAGGAGAGAAACCTTACAAGTGTAGATTCTGTGACAAATATTTAACACAACAGATCAATTGCATATCTCATGAAAGAATTCACACAGGAGAGAAACCTTACAAGTGTAGATTCTGTGGAAAATATTTTTCACAACAAAGGGCTTGCTCCATTCATGAAAGAATTCACACAGGAGAGAAACCTTACAAGTGTAAGTTCTGTGACAAATATTTTAAAGAACAAAGTGATCGCACCAAGCATGAAAGAATTCACACAGGAGAGAAACCTTACAAGTGTAGATTCTGTGACAAATATTTTTCACAACAAAGTAGTCGCATCATGCATGAAAGAATTCACACAGGAGAGAAACCTTACAAGTGTAGATTCTGTGACAAATGTTTTACAAAAAGAAGTGGTTGCACCAGGCATGAAAGAATTCACACAGGGGAGAAACCTTACAAGTGTAGATTCTGTGGCAAATATTTTTCACAACTAACTAGTCGCATTAAGCATGAAAGAATTCACACAGGAGAGAAACCTTACATGTGTAGATTCTGTGACAAAAATTTTACCGTACAAAGTAGTTGCGCTTTGCATGAAAAAATTTGTAGAGGAGAGAAACCTTTTAAATGTAGGTTCTGTGACAAATATTTTACACGACAGATCAATTGCATATCTCATGAAAGAATTCACACAGGAGAGAAACCTTACAAGTGTAGATTCTGTGGAAAATATTTTTCACAACAAAGGGCGTGCTCCATTCATGAAAGAATTCACACAGGAGAGAAACCTTGCAAGTGCAAGTTCTGTGACAAATATTTTAAAGAACAGAGTGAGTGCACCATTCATGAAAGAATTCACACCGGAGAGAGACCTTACAAGTGTAGATTCTGTGACAAAAATTTTTCACAACAAAGTAGTCGCATCATGCATGAAAGAATTCACAAAGGAGAGAAACCTTACAAGTGCAGATACTGTGACAAATGTTTTACTCAAAACGGCCATTGCATTAAGCATGAAAGAATTCACACAGAAGAGAGACCTTACAAGTGAACCCACTGGGCAAATTATGTTGTTTTAACGTTGAAACAACGTTGAACCATGACGTTGAGAAGACATTGGATAAATGTTGGATTTGAAAGTTGTGTCAACCTCAGATAGCAACGTTGTATCAACGTCAGAAAACAATGTTATATCAACCCCACCCAGCGGGAAATTAGCCTGGATGTGTTTAGCAGTAGGACATTTTTGATGGCTAAATATATGTGGGGTATAAATGTATGGCCTTTAAGTTAAAATTTCTAAGGTCAAGTTTAATATATATATATATATATATATATATATATATATATATATATATATATATAAAAGAAGATAACTACATATATAATATATATATGTCAAAGGCCCGGATCAAATCTAGTCCCATGTCTTAGCTCAAGGCGCAAATGAAGCCCATCTTTAATTTAACATATCTTTAGTAAATGTTACTAAATCAATCTACATGTCTTTTCTTTAAACAATAAATATCTTTAAAAAGTAGCATCCTCTGATGTATTTTACAAATCACAGGTAATGAAATACAAGTATATCTCATTTGCCACACCTGTAAGTATCTTAATATGTACCTTGATCTAAGACATCCCCTGCACATGCCATACAAACAAACCGGCAGCTTGGCCAATTAACTTGGTCATTTAGCTTGCCCATTATGCTGTTAACAATGCTGTTAACAATGTTTACAAAGGCACCATAAAGAATGAGCCCAGCCAGGGTGTAATAAACATGGGATCTGGGCTTCTTATGCATAGGACTAGATTTGATCCGGGCCTTTGACATATATATATATATATGACAAAGTCACAGTCTCCTCAACCTATCCAACTATAATAGCAGGTTACCAAGAACTGTTAACTCCATCACATTTACAGCAACTTATTCATCCTAGTGTTAGCTGACCTTGCAAGGAATTCAGTTTATTGGAATGTATTTCTGAATAACAAATTAAGAAAATTCACTAGTTAACTAAAGACACAAAACAATGTCACTTTTAATTTAAAACCGTTTTATTATTATTTTGATAAATTTAGTTACAGAATGATAAACAAAGTATCACGTTTTCAATAATTAATATTTTAAATTACAATCCATAACTGCAAGGTTGTGTCATCGACCAAAATACAACGTTGAGTCAACATGGCTGGATCAACGTTGATTTTACCTTGAATTTAGGTAGATCAACGGCAATTCAACGTAACAACCTGTTTTCAACGGTGATCCAACGTAACTATGCCTGCTGGGAAGATTCTGTGACATATTTTACAGTGCAAAGTAGTTGCACTTTGCATGAAAGAATTCACACATGGGAGAAACCTTACAAGTGCACACTCTGTGACATTTTTTTTACATAACAAAGTGGTTGCACCAGTTTTAAAAGAATTCACGAAGGAGTTAGACTCCGTTCACATGAAAAATCTATTTTCTAAAAATCTATTTTCTATTCGCGGTATCTTGTGATCACTCCAAGCGCAGCCGAGAATTAATTACAGCTTTGGAAATAACTGGCTCGCGCTGCCAGTAATTACGCGGCAGGGTATTCAGGGCACAGACCATGATCACAAGATACTGCAAATAGAAAATAGATTTTTAGAAAATAGACTTGTCATGTGAACGGGGCCTTAGATTAGACCTTACAAGTGTAGATTCCATGAAAAATATTTTACACGACAAAGTAGTTGCGCTGGGCATTAAAAAGTTCCCAAAGGAGAGTAACCTTACAAGTGCAGATTCTTTGACAAATATCTAACAGATCAAAGTAGTTGCACCATTTATAAAGAATTCACACAGGAGAGCATCCTGACAACTGTTTATTGTGTGACAAATATTTTGCACGAAAATGTAACTGTGCAAGGAATTATAGAATTCACACAGGAGAGAAAGCATTCCGGTTCGGTGACGAATAATTCATAGAACAACTAGCACCAAGAATTCACACAGGCGAGAGACCTTACTCGTGCAGATTTTGTGACAAACATTTAACTGAACAAAGCATTGATCCAAGCATGAAAAAATTCAGACAGGATAGTTCAGATTCTGTGACAAATATTTTATAGAGCAAAGTGATTGCCCTAATCACGAAAGAATTTACAAAAGAATTAGACTTTACAAGTATAGATTTTGTGACAAATAATTTTCACTTAATAGTAGTTTTGCCAGGCATGAAAGAGTTCACACAGGAGGGAAACCTTGTAAGTGCACGTTCTTTGACAAATATTTTACAGATCAAAGTAGTTGCACAAGGCATGAAAGAATTTGCAAACTTGTAGTGAGACCTTATAAGTGTGGATTCTGTGACAAATATTTTCCAGAAAAGATTGGTCACCAACNCAACACTGGGACCCAACCGATTCCCACTCCCGCCATTGCGGCCATCTTCTGGCGGGACAAGCGGAGTCATATTTCTAGGATTATCCCTGGTCATGGCTATTGTAAAAATATGTCTTTGTTGCCTTTACTTCGCATATAACGCTAAATTTACTTATTGAATCAGTAACAGACATGCAGTAGTATTTTCTTATATATGTTTTCTGTGGCTTTTTCTGTTACCCAGCACCATGGAAGTTTATCTGCCTGCACAGCTCAATAAAGGACTTGGTTATGATAGTATATCACGCTACAGGGCATCTACCGCAGGGCAGATGGATGTACAATTAAAACACAGCGGTTATTCCGTTGATATTGAACATTAATCCTCAAGTTGTCATGAAATTTTATGCCGAGCCCTCACTCTTGGGGTGCTTTCCCAGTGATTTAGATCGATCTAAAGATTAAGTTTTAGATCGACCTAACTCCCTGGAGGTTCACGCTAAATTGCAGTCAGCCGAGCGGGCACCATAGTTAATTGCCCCCTTACAGCTTTTAGTAGGTGGGACAGACGCTTAAGCCGGCCAAGCTGACAGTAATATAGTGAGACTCCCCACAGGGATAGATCAATCTAAAAATCTATGGAAATGGGTTGTTGTACTCTTAGCAGAGAAAGACATGGTCAAACTGATGATTTCTGATGGTGGTACAGTTTTTCTACAATTTTTTTCACTAAATGGTGAACTCAAGAGTGAACAAATGCAAAAGAGTGGATAATTGCCATGCTTGGGTTTTAATTTTAATCAGGGCCGTAGCCTGAGCAAAATGCCAGGGGGGGCAGTAAGCGGACACGAGGGGGCGAAGCTACCGAGGGGGGAGGGTGTGGTGTGTAAAATTCCAAATTCCAGGGGGGGCAGGTGCCCCCCCTGCCCCCCCGGAGGCTACGGCCCTGTTAATACATTTTAACATGTGCCCTCCAAAACAGCACCAAGTCTGCTGTACCCACTGCATATATATATATATATATATATATATTTTATTATTTATTTTTTTTAATGGCTTGTCCTTTATGGTATTCTTGACTCTAAGGCCACATTCAGAACAGTGGACTAGCTTGACTGTGGATCAAATATGGCAACCCACTAAAAAGCTTGCCATCTAATTTGCTAATAGACACTGTATATATTACCCTTTGGGAAGTATTCAAGTGATATTGGATTTGGCTATATTTGACCCTCAGAGTTACACACCATTTCCATAGATTTTTAGATCGATCTATCCCTGAGGGGAGTCTCACTAGATTACTGTCAGCTTGGCTGGCTTAAGCGTCTGTCCAGCCTACTAAAAGCTGTAAAGGTGTAATTAACTGTGGTGCCCGTTCGGCTGACTGCAATGTAGGAGTTAGGTTCATCCAAAACTTAATCTTTAGATCGATCTAAATCTCTGGGAAAGCACCCTAAGTCCACTGTTCTGAATGTGGCCTATGACAGAGTTACATCTCTGTTTGAAAATCAATCAACCTGATTTGTCCATTTTTCCTAAAGAAGGTTTTTTTTTAGCATATTTTTTCCAGTATTATACAAATAAAATGAAAACCATGTCATATTTTGCTTTTTAACTTGCATGACTGATTCAAAGGTCAGACATATAGATCAAGTTTGAAAATAAGCTTGATTAGCTTATTTTTGTTGAAGTCTTAGCAGTAATATATTTTATGCATCATAAATTTCTGCTTTTTGTCTGTACATTAGACAGCTTTGCAGTTAAGTTATGTCTTTTTTGTGTGAAATATTCATTTTTCACATATTGGCATTTTCAAGGTTGGACACTGAATTTCCATGGACTTGAAGAACTTTGATAGTCACACTTTTTGAATAACTATGTTACCTGTGGTGCACAATTAAAAATTGGTGGTGATTATGCTGTAAAGCATTATGTAATATCGCATCAAAATTGACTAAAACTTTATTTTGGCCTATATGCTGCCACAGTGACCATTCAAGGAAAACCATGTCATTTATGATTATGAAACTTACAGAAAATTTAGAAGCAGTCTAGAAGACTAAAATACAGCTCAAGTTGGAAAATCAGTCCGATTGGTGTCTTTTTCCAGAAGTTGTGCATTTTTTTTTTTTTTGTGAAATGTTCATTTTTTCACATATTGGTTTTTTTAATATGTGTGCCTTTGACCTTACTTGGTCTTGAAGATTTTACTTGTCGCATTTTCTGAAAATCAATTATATATTTATGTAATTGAAGGCTAATGTTGATCATGCTGTTGAGTATTTTGTAATATTGCATCAAAGTGACTAAAGCCCCATTTTATTTTGCTGCCATAATGCCCTTAAAAAAAAACAATATCACTTATGATGCGCACACCTGTAGAAAAAAAGCAAAGGCCTACATAACAGCTTGAGTTGCATTTTTCAAAATAGAAATGTGAATTATTTGCAACTTATCAATGCACAGTTTATTTCTCTTATTTAAACTGAATTTCAGTTTAACTCCTGTTGTTTCATTTATGGAATATCAAAATAACTTTTCTTAACAAGTGTGCAGGGGTGGATCCAGAAATATTTGAAGAGGGGTCCACAGATGCAAAGCCGACCCCCCCCCCCCGTCCCCCCAACCCCACCCCCTTGGCATGGGGTTCGGAGGCCCGCTGAAGGGTACCCGAAACATTTTGGTATTTAAGAGGGCGAGCG